AGCAAGGCAGTTGGCGATGATCTCCAGGCTGAGACGATCACAATCGCATCACACGCATCGGTGTGCAGGCGACAGAAAATTCTTCAATCGATTTGGTAATTCAATCGATTTGGTAATTGGGGGTTGGGGTTATCCGGATTCGAGGGATTTGCGTTCCCCGCAATTATAGATGATTTGCGATCTACCTGTGAACTTACGTGTACTCCGTACTGTACTCAAGTTAGACGCTCTGCTGCAGCCCGGAGTCATGGGCCGATTCCCTAATCTCTGGAGGCATGAGCGTCCTTACAGAGTCAAAGCCCATGATCTAGATCGCTATCGCTTGCGGCATCTGTAGGCTGCTAAGAGGTTCGCCCTGGTCTATTGTTGATGTATTTGGTGGGGATTCTATTCTCCACGGAATAAACGGGCGAACCACTCGATCCTGGCCGGTGATCATCGTCGAGTGCGGAGAAAGGTCATAGAACATGACTATGACCATGAACATGAGAATTGATCATGCTATTGCTCTTTGACCTTTGTTTGTCGGCTAAGCGGCTATTACTCCGTATGTTCAAGGTTCCATTGCCTAGTTTCCCAGTTCCATACTGATGTAGCTTGTCTCAGTTCATGTTGCAGAGAAAACGTACCTATCCAGGGACTTTGTCACTTCGTAGTACGGTGCCTGATGTACCTAGCTGCAGTGCATTGCTGTCTAGGACTGGATGACGACCCAAGCGTCCACTGTGCTACCGGCATGCACCGACCAGGTACTGCATGACCGGGCATTTTGAGTACAGTAGCAGCAGTGACGACTACTACTGTCCCATCATGGTGACAACCAGACGCCGCGGTGAGGTGTCGTCACATCAACTAAAGCGATCGAGATCCGAATCAAGACACTGACAAATCGGGGCGTACGGTACAGTAGATCTCTGCGGAGAAATTCCTACACCGTCCGGACGCCGGAGTAATGTAGTGCGATTCGACTTGGATCGGATCGAGGCGGGGGGTTCATGATTATTGCGTGCTTCCGCGACTCGATTATTTGCATCATCTTCGTACACGATGTGAATTTTGTACATAATGTCAGCTTTTAGATTAGTCTCTGACCGGGCCCGGTTGAAGATAAAGACGATCGTTGATAAGAAGTAATAAGTTGATCATGAGCATGCTGAGAAATCCATCGACTGGCGCAATTGACCATTGACTTGTCGTTATCAGAGCCCGTGACAGCTCAGTTCCCTGGGTTTTCAGTGTCAGGCCGTGTCCACTCCACTCAATTTCGAGTCAAAGACTCAAAAGCGCCTCTCCAGCCATCTCCGCAATCCTTAAAACTTCGGTAAAATGCGGGAAAAATAACCGCCTGAACCAGGTCCAAGTGCCCTTGCCCAAGGGCCAAGTGCCGTGCTTCCCGCGATAATTCTTCGGATCTCACGAACCCCAGGTTCGTTCGCTCGCTCGCCGGCGCTAAGTTAAATTGAAAATAAATTGGCTGTGCTATCTGTGCCGTTATCCGACACCTGGCAGTGCACTGGGCACGCTGGTACCTGCGTGAGTCGTGACTCCATAGCTGCGGTCCCACGATATCGGATTGAGGCTGGCTGGCTGACTACTACTGTACTGGTTGTGCTCCTACATAGTGTGGGGTGATAACAGCAGGCATGATTCGCACTTCTGCCTATCTGTCTTTCAAGTTTCGGCAGTCGGGCCGGCATCTGCATGGATGTGAGAGTCACCTGAGGCAGAGACCCCATTGGAAGTGAAGTTCAAATGACTATCGCCCATTGCGTGCTGGCTACAAATGGTACGAGCACATGCTTCCGGTGCCCGCGCAGTGCCAGATAGGCAGACGTAGAATGATAAGGAAGCTCCGTGCTGTACGGGGTATGGCTATGCGAAAGCGAATAATGCGGAGGCGCAGGCCGTAGAACTTGGGGGCCTGGGGCTGGGCTGGAAGCCTGGGCGCGACTCGCGACCTGCAAGCCAGCATCTGGACAGCTGTCCATTTCTTGCGACCGCCGACCAGCGCCTGTGAGAGGCATAGTACCTTTGCTCCGCCTCGGGGCTGTTTGGGGCTGCTTTGGCGTCCTGCGCTCCCCTGTAGCTTCCTGCGGCGCTGGCCGCGGCAGCCGGAAGGCCGCAAATGAGATCCGTGATATTGTGACGCGGCCAAGGAGGGCATCCCTGAGGGCAGATTCAGATACGAGCCGAGCAGATTCGAGACCCTATCAAGGCTATAATGCGACATCTGCTGATCATCCGAGGGTGTCCTATCAAAACAAGGGGTGAAGCCACCTGCCAAGTCGGTGGGGTATCTCCTTGGGGTCTCCAGGTCCAGGATACCTAACTGCCCAGAGCGGGGACGAGGATGACAAACACTGTAAGCAACTCGATTTTGAGATAGGGCCTGCTTGTTCTGTGTGTGTTAGGCAGGCTATACTATCTTACCGCCAATTCGCAATCGTGGTCTGTGTCAAGAACTTAAGATCGGGCTATGTATGATCGACCACTAGGAAGACTCGCTGAGACGGCCTGCTGCATGCTGCCCAAGACTTTGGATCTTGCTTCAGACCCAAAATCCAGGTTAATTAGCAGACCGCTCTCCCTTGCATCGTCCGTGGATTCCTTTTACCTAAAGGAATATTGAAGGAACTTAGGAAATCTTCAAACTGACTGACCTCATTTCCCCGGATGCGGCGTCATTTTCTGGAGTATACATACGAGTACGGAGCACCGACGGATTCTCAACGGAGAATATGGCATCCAGTAATCGCTTGAATGACGGGAATCATCGCCCCAATGGAAACGCTTCATGAGCCCATGCCCGCTTGCATACCGGTTCTCCCTGATTCCTGAAGAATTCCAGCTGCCAGCATTCCATTGTCCACAGCGGGAGGTGGATCGCGCCGAGTGCGGAGGCCAATTTCCGACAGCCCCTTGCTAGCCACAAGGTCCTTCTTTGTTCTTTCATGATGGATAGCACGACGAGTCGAGGAGTTAAGGATTCGACAGGAAAGACGCAACTTCGCAAGACCGGGGCGTGATGAGATGAACAGTGCACACCCCTGTCCGTGGCCTAGACCAGTCGCAACGACCATTATATACCTCCAGATACCCCGGTAGCTTTGAGGAGAAGATACTGAGTTGCCAGCTGAGCCTGAACTTTAAAGCCGATAATTATGCGGCTATAACTTCCTCGACCTACCTAAATTGGTGAACTACAGTATATCTTGTTTTCCGAGCGAGCACCGAGTTATCAGCGCCCTGAGCCATCCATGGTTACCCGGTGAGTCAAGAGGCTGATGCAATTCTTTTAAGTCTTCCCCGCAATCCGCATGATCCCGGGATATTTTCGTGGCTCAGTAATGAGTTCACCTCTGCTGCAGACCTGGAGTTGGATCTCGGATCTCATCATCATCATCATCATCATCGTATGACTCTACGCCGTCTACGGGCCACGGCTACCACCATCGGCGCGTCGCCCTGCCTCGTCAACGTCGCGGCAGGGATCCTATTGGGCTGCGACGTCCGCCCTGCTGGTAAATCTGTCGGTTTATCAGCCAACCACCAGAGGTGGATCGACAGGTCTCGACTAGGCTATCTCCGAATCCTATCAATCGACGCTCCCCGTGGCGCCCCAGCCTGCCAGATAAGCTGGGGAAGGAATTTGGGAAAGTAAGGCGGATTTCCAATTCCAGCTGGACCCTCTTCTTTAGGAATGATAACGTAAGAACCCGGGTGACGATCTACCGAGCATCACAGGCTGGCCCCGTCCTTGGGTTGGTGTGGAAGTTTAGCATACTCCGTAGTATCATTCGTGCAGAGTGACCAAGATTGCATAATCTTCTTGTTTATGAGGGGTGACCACCTGAAGCCTCAGATGATGAAGGAGATACCATCACATGGATGCGACCAGTACCGTGTAAGAGCGTCCTCCGCAGCAGTGAGTCAAGCTTGGCTACCGCCTTTGTCGGTGATGCCATTCGCAGCATTGTGTGATCTTCCGCGATAGCCGGGTCGGAACCTTGTACGAGACACGCGTATTGGCCTGTATCCTGACAATACGCACACGCACCTGCCAGCCCACTCAGCCGCCTCCGTACTCTACGCAGCACTCCCCGTCCGTACTTCTGCTCATACCGACGAACAGGACAAGCTGGCCTCTTTCGTACTGTAGCCTGTGCAGACTGCAGAGTCGGCAAGCTAAAGAGACAAACATTATACAATTAAGCCATCGAATTGAGTCTCTTGATTCCATATAATAGTCCATCCTCTGCCCAAAGAGAAGATTGTACCAACCCCACACCGGGCCGGGCGAATCTCCAAGCAAAGCAGCCGATCTGGATTGAGCACGTTCTTTTTTTATTTCTTTTCTTTTCTTTTTGCCCTTTTAGCCCTCCGCCCCCCTCTTTCCTTTTATTATTTGGTAATTTTTATCTTTTTTTTTTTTTCTTTTTGCCCCCCCAATATCTTCATCCCCACACAAAGTCCTCACTTTATCTTTTTCTTTTCCTTTTTCTCGCTCCTTGCTCCGATTCCGATAACCACTGTCACTCCCCTCCCCCGAGCTCCCTCCGTCTCATTCTTCTTCCCCCTCCATTCCGCCTCTCATTCTTATATCCTGCCTCCCCCAGACTCTTCTCCAGATTCTCTCCCTCTCTCTTCCTTCTTCCGATCTTTCCCTCGACAGCGTACCCTTCGACCTTAACACACCCAACCATCCCAACACACCGTCCTTCGACTCGGGCTACCTACCTACCTTGGCAGCTCGTCACTCTTTAACACAGGAAAGCCGTCTATCTCGCGATTGCCTAGCCTGAGCACGCAAACAACAGTCATCATCACCCTGCCAAAATTCGATATCATCCGAAGACCGACCTAGGACATTTTAGCGTGGTGATCGTCTGTCGCCGAGCTACCCCCTGGTCGCGGAAACATCCCTTTTCTCGGCTTATCGCAACTCTTCAGAGCTCCGTCCCGCCTTGGTCTCCTCGGAGCTGCAGAAGGACGAGCTTCACATGCCGCAATCAGTTTCGTCAGTGGATTTCTCCAATCTGCTGAATCCTCAGAACACAGCTATCCCCGCCGAAGTCTCCAACACTACTGCTAGTGCTACAATGGCGACCGGAGCCAGTTTATTACCCCCTATGATGAAGGGTGCTCGCCCTGCAGCGGAGGAAGCTCGCCAGGACCTTCCTCGGCCTTACAAATGCCCTCTCTGCGAGCGCGCCTTTCACCGTTTGGAGCATCAGACCAGGCACATTCGCACTCACACTGGTGAAAAGCCCCACGCCTGCCAGTTCCCCGGCTGCTCAAAGCGCTTCAGCCGCTCAGATGAGCTTACTCGCCACTCGCGAATTCACAACAACCCCAACTCAAGGAGAGGCAACAAGGCTCAGCACCTGGCAGCTGCCGCGGCGGCCGCTGCTGCGAGCCAGGATGGTAGCCCGTTGGCCAACAATGCTGGGTCGATGATGCCTCCTCCTAGCAAGCCGATTACTCGATCTGCTCCTGTTTCTCAGGTTGGATCTCCGGATATTTCGCCCCCGCACTCGTTCTCCAACTTCGCCAACCACATGCGCCCCAATCTGAGCCCCTATTCCCGTACCAGCGAGAGGGCATCATCAGGTATGGATATCAATCTTCTTGCCACCGCCGCGTCCCAGGTTGAGCGTGATGAGAGTTTCGGATTCCGCTCCGGCCAGCGCAGCCATCCTATGTACGGACCCCGTCATAGCACGAGGGGACTGCCTTCTCTCTCAGCCTACGCTATCTCGCACAGCATGAGCCGCTCTCATTCGCACGAGGACGAGGACTCTTATGCTTCACACCGCGTTAAGCGCTCAAGGCCCAACTCTCCCAACTCGACCGCTCCTTCTTCTCCTACCTTCTCCCACGACTCCCTATCGCCTACGCCTGACCACACGCCATTGGCCACTCCCGCCCATTCGCCACGACTGAAGCCCATGTCACCGAATGAGCTGCACTTGCCTTCCATCCGTCACCTATCGCTTCACCACACCCCGGCCCTTGCGCCAATGGAGCCCCAGGCTGAGGGTCCTAATTACTACAACCCAAACCAGGCTCACGTTGGGCCGAGTATTAGCGATATCATGTCTCGCCCTGAGGGTGCGCAGCGAAAACTTCCGATACCCCAGGTGCCCAAAGTGGCTGTCCAGGACATGTTAAATCCCAGCGGTTTCACATCGGTCTCTTCGTCCACCGCCAATTCTGTTGCGGGTGGTGATTTGGCTGAGCGATTCTAGTTCGGATCGCGAACAGTCTCGTCCAAAAAAACCTTGTTTCTTGTTAGGCGTACGAAAGATATAGACACTGCATTTCTGGTTGAGTCATGGGCATCATTGGTGTCACGGAATTAGGTTGCTTTGATTCTTCACTGTTTGATTACACTATTTTGCGAGGCGTTGCCTATAGACGGATTATCTCTCTTCTTCACACACACAAGTCGTGTTTTTCTTTCGAGTCACTTCACTTCTCTTCTCTACATATACCTATTTTACCACACTTTTTTCTTTCGAGGCCCTCTCCAATCGGGCAAAGCTCCTCAGCTATTTGCTATGTTTCTTGAGGTTAGCCCTCACAATACAAACACAATTACGACAGTCTCTTTGAAAATTGTACCATTAAATATTCTGTAGATTCCTCAATGAGTAGGACCCATGAAGGACTTTTATATTTTTCGAGCTTCCCATCTCCAGGTCGCTTTTCTTACCTGGCGAGTACCCCGCGTCTACGTAGGGAGGGTGCCCCACCTACAGCCTGCTCTTCTTCAACCTCACGCGCTTTATTATTACCTCAGGGCTTTCTAGCTTCAACGTGCATGTCAAGGACAAGGAAATTTTGAACTACTATCCCAGGTCTGCCCTCTAAAGACCAACCCATACATTATTGCAAATGGGAAGAACTTCTTTTCCATGTATAACAATGCTCAGATTGCCGGAGCTCATCTGTTCTTCTACTCTCGCATAAACTCAATCCCCGCTCCGACCTCTGCCAGCTTTGGCTCCCAGGGCATAGCTCAAGCGTGCACCTACTACCTCGCGATGAAGATGTACATCGGTATCCAACGCTTTGCGTCCGACGAAGAGAGGGCGAGAGCGCTGGCCGAGCCATCGCCGTGAGGCGGCCAGTAGGAGTCCTTGGAAGCCTCGACTACCTAGCCCTATGGTTTGAGGATGTCGTGGGTGCTCTGGATATAAGCCATCATCACTGACCATATCCTTGAGCTCCATGGGTACGTAGGTAGGTCTACGACGGGACGGACATCCTCGACAACTTGATTCATTGCTCATGAAGCTTGCTAAACTTTTGGCAGGGCAATCAAGCAAATACCACGGAACAAGTGAAGATGAAGAGATACGCTACCAAAGACGTCGAGAAGCAGGCCCACACAAAGTGACAAGGGCTATTCCAAATACGGGGAGGAGCGCATTGAGTGATAACGCCGTGATGCAAGGATAGGAAAGAGATGAACATCAACGTATCATAAAAATAAGATACTGGGTACATTCATACGTAAAAAGCTATCGTAACTCTTCATGATCTGAGTCGGGCAAGATATCGATATCCGCAAAAGGAACAAGACAACGCCTCCTACTTCCAGGCGTTTAGACCGGCCCAAGGGTCGGGGGTGTTTGAGGAGGAAGGGGGAAGCCCCGTTTGCGGCGACGACTGCGAATGAGCCTTGTGGTGCTGGCTGCTCCCGTATGGTCTGGCCTGAGCGTACCCGCCAGGTCCTGAGGGGAATGGGCCGGTGGATGGTTGGTAGGTGGTCTGCTGGGGTCGGGGAGGTGGCGGAGGGGGTACGTAGCCTTGCGGCATGTATTGGCTTGAAGGCACGGGGGGAGTAGGGCTGGTGTAGAACGGGGTAGGTGTTGGGGAGTAGAATGATTGACTCGGAGGAGGTGACATGGATGAGGCGGGGATCGGGTATGCCATCGGGTTATAGCCCTCAGAAAGTGGTGCGGCAGCACCTTGCTGGAAGGACTGGGAAGGAAGGTAGGACACACCGGTCCCTGGAGGCATGTACTGGCCGTAAGGGGCCGGAGAATGAGATATAGGCGTCCCGTGCTGTTGTGGAACAGCCGGAGGGAAATGTGGTGACGCCTTTGGAGGAGCGATATTCGTCGGGTAAGCCGGTGCTTTGATAGGCGGCGGCGGAGATTTGGCTTTGGCTGGACCGGCGACTGACGAGGGTGGGGGAACGGAAGGAGGCTTGGGCTCTGTAGACAGACGTTCCATCAGCTGCCTTAACTTTTCTCGCTCGCGTTCCTCGTGGTCGGACGTCCCGGCCGCCTTTTCACGTTCGATCTGGCCCAGAAGCTGGGCGCCTTCAGCCCTGCGGTTGTTGATGAATGTCTCGACGTTCTTTTTGAGACTGTCGACAGTCTCAGCCATCTCAGTGTAGAAGGTTTGAGCCTGCTTTATGCCTGAACCTAAGCTGTTGAAGGAATCGTATATCTTCTTATATCTCGCCATCACGGTATTGCGTTGTCGGGTTATTGTCTCATACTTGGACTGCTCAGCTCTCACCCGTTTATCCTGCAATAGATCTCCATAAGTCTTCGTCAGCTCCTTCATCAGCGCTCCCTGTTTATGAATGGTCTGGACCAATCGCAACTGATGTTGGTGGAACTTCTCCAACTCGGCTTCGAAGAGTTGACTTTCCTGGCCTGTAATTGACTTCTTGTTAAGAATCAAGACATTGGAGATGTCATCGTTATGCACCTATAACGCCCGTTGTCAGCTTTGACACAGTATCCACACGTACTGACGGTAGGTACCTTGTCCTTCAAATCCTTCAAGACCTGTCCTCGCTCTCGTTTTACCAAGTTCAGTTTCTTCAGTATGGACTCTACCCGAGCAATTTGTTCGGCCACAGAAGGAACCCCATCGTCATAGACATCATCTAATAGACTGCCCTCTGCAGCTGAGTAAGGGCTTGTCACACCGTTCTTAGCTTTGCCCTGTTTGGAGCCAGCCTTTATCATTGCTCGCTGGAAAAGCACATCCGCCTCGTCCGTTTCTCCCGCAGACCGCATCTCGTCAAAGTCAGACTCGTACTGCCGAAGGGTTGCCGAAAGCTGCGAGTCACTAGCGCTGGCTTCATGCACCGTATCCCGGTATGTCCGGATATCATTGCGAAGAGTTGTATTCAATCGACTACTGGGCTGCTGGCTCCAATCGGCCCCATATTTCGAGCGCATTTTCTCGCATACGCTTTCTTCCAAGTCCAGCTGTTTTGCGCATTGGTCAAGTGTGGCTAGCACTTCCGACTTGCGGTCTTGGAGGCCATCGAAAGCCTTGGCGAAAGAATCATGGCCCGCCAGCTCTTGACACCACCGTTGGAATTCTTCATCAACCGTCATTTCCTGATCCATCCCTCCTTTCAAGATGTTCAAGCTACCAGGAAGCTTAAAATAGTCCAGGCTCGCTGCCATCTCGCCATTAGCCGTCTCAACCTTTTCCGTTTCTGCCCGTATCAGTTTCGCCTTCTCCTCATCGTAGAGGCTTGCCGTCTCCGTGACTGACATAGGGACAAGTTTCTGGAAGATATCTGGGCCAATAATCCGCTGGATATCTTGACCCTGATATAGTTCGCTAACGGGGATTGCCTTCGCTGCAGGGAGCTTGGATACTGCAGACAGTCCCGCCTCGCTTGGTATAGGTTGATGGTAGATGAAATCGTTGTCCTTGACGAGAGTAGTAAGTTGAGATTGCACGTTCGCAAGATGGAATTTCACGATGTCCACAAGATTGGGGCCAGCCTCTGATGTTAGGTTTGTGTTCGGTGAGACTGATGAGGGAAACGATTTAGCCCAGCCTAGTGCAGCTGTCGAATGTTTTTCCGCCAGCTGGAGCCTAGCGACAGCTACTCCGTGCGAACCGGCTTCACCGTCAGCTAAGGCCTGGTAGTACGACGCCACGGAACCCATGTGTGCCGACTTAGCCTGGAGGAGCGTAGCCCATGACTTATCAAAAATGCCTTTAGCATGCTCCTGCGTCCCCTCAATGGCCTGCGCGTAGAGATATGAGGCCTGGCTAGCGAGTTTCGCGAGGAATCCAGCCTTCTTGTGGTCCATTATTTGCTTCTCGAGGAACACCTCTTGACCTTGGGCGAGTGTAATGTTGATGAGTGTCTTTACGGTTTCGCGGTTCAGATCAGTGGAAGGGGCATGGAGGAAGTTCTCGTTGATGTAGGTAAACATGCCGGCGGATGCTTGGAAGTTGTGATATGCAGTCTTCAAGCCAGTATCGTCGGCGCGATTCTGATTTGCTGCATGGCAGGAAAGGACGGCGGAGATATTAAAGATGATCGAGGCTTTCTCGAAGGCGAGAGAATACTGCGAGGTTGGCTTGTGCGTGAATGCATCATACCTATAGGCAGCATTGGATGGTTAGCGAGGTTGGAAGTGAGCACAATTCGTAGGTCCAATACCAGGTGAACGATATCTTGATGTGGCTCTCATCCACGGGAAACCTGAGATCCAAGAGCTCGAGCTGTCCATAGTATCGGTAGAGGAGGTCTCGTCCTGTCGCGCTGTCCTTGCCAGCGCCCCTCATATCCTGGCGCAACCGGTTGAGCGTAGCACATTCCTGACCATAACGCTCGGGGTCTTCACCATAGCTCTGACGGATATAATCCTTGAGAGGCTGGATCCAATCGATTTCGTTGGTTTGTTTGAGAGGACATGATATCATAGGCGACTGAACCATCTTGCCGTCGTGGAGCGGGGAGCTCCCATTTACCTAAACGGAGAGCGGGGGGTGAAATAGGAGCGAGGAGCGATACGGATTATACGCTGTGAGAGATGGAATGAAAAATGAAAGTTCAGAGAACGAGAAGGAAAAGAAAGCAGGACCGAAAAGGAGAGCGATGGCTGTGGGGTAGGAAGGAGGATGTGATTGTGATGATATCCAGCGGCGGAAATTGCAGTGGTTGGAGTCGGGCTGATTCAATGGCGCCGATGCGATGATTGACAGCCAGCGCGGGGGACCAATAACTCAGCTCTTAAGGCGCTATTGAATCTTGATGACTATTCTAATATTACCGTCAAATAAAATATCGCAACTGGGAGAGTATGTATATACGGAGAAGTAGAGATGTTGTGGCTCTAATAATGTACATGCAGAGACAGCCTCTATGGTAATCCCTGGAATAGAACAAATGGTAATACAATCAAGAGCTTCCCAACATGCAGAATATGCAAAACCACCTAAACCAAAAGAAGAACACCACTCCCTAATCTCGCCGGCGCTATGATATACACAAAGAATTAGAAGGTAGATTGTTTGAGCGGAGTGGATTGACTGCTCCGCCCAGGGCGAAGATAAGTTCATGGTTCAGTCGCTCTTCTTGCCGTCCGAGGAGTCGGAATCCTTTTTGCTGGATTTCTCGTTAGATTTCTCCGATTCAGCAGGTTTCTTATGGTTCATCAGTTTGTGCCATGCGGACTTGAGAAACCCTTCGCCCTTTTTTGCATCTCCGGAAGATGCCTCGGTTGTCGAAGCAGCACTATGGCGGTTAGCTACTATCCAAAAACAAGGATTAATATAGGTGCCAATCATACCCGTCCCTTGGAATATCCATGATCCGCCTGGCAGTCTTATCGCCCATTTCGTCGGCAAGAACTTCAAGGATGGTACGCTGGTTACCCGTCAGGTACTTGGGCATTGCAACCTTGAACTCGACCTTCAGATCGCCGTTAGAAGTGAAGCCGCGGGACCGGCCGCTTAGTTTCTTCATGCCCATTCCCGAAAGTGTGATTCTGTCACCGGTTCCAGTTCCCGTTGCCACCTTGACCTTGACCTGCCCATCCAGAGTGGGGATTTGAACTTCACCACCAAGAAGCGCCGTAGTAAGCGGAATCGACGCCGTATAGAGGATATCGGAACCAGAGCGACTAAAGCGCTCGTCGGGAGAAACCCGGATGGACACATAAAGATCTCCACGCTGCGTCCGAGCTCCAGGTGCGGCGGCTGTCCCCGTAGGGGGTGCATCACCCTCGCCAGATATCCTCAGCCGCATGCCATCCTCAACACCTCCGGGGATATCAACTCTGACGGTCTTTCGGTCACGGACCACTCCGTTTCCTTGGCATGTACCGCAGTGCGAGCCTCGAGGAACAATAAGACCGGCTCCGCCACAGGCGTCACAGGTAGCAGCTACCTGGAAGCCGCCCTGCATCATGTGCACGCGCGTTCCGGTGCCATTGCACTGACGACACTGGCTGCGCTTCGCACCCTCTTTCAATCCGTCACCCTTACAGGTACCACACTCTTTCAGCGGGGTGATAACGACGTCCTGCGAGGTACCCTTGGCCGCTTCCATGAATGAGATGTTGGTTTGAACCTCAATATCCTCACCAACCAGTATCTCCTGGAACGGGCCGCGTTTGCCCCGACCGGAGCGACGGGCGCCGCCCGCGAAAGCCCCGAAAAGGTCTTCAATATTGATATCCGCCGCAAAACCGCCCGGGAAACCACCGCCGAATCCACCAAATCCGTGGAAGCCTCCTCCGCCAGCGAAAGGATTGCCTCCGGGTCCTGCGCCGGCGCTCGGGTCAAAGCCGCCGTTCGGATCAAAGGCAGAGGAGCCGTATCGGTCGTAGGTTTCACGTTTCTGTTTGTCCGAAAGCAGCTCATAGGCCGTCTGGGCCTCCGCAAATTTCTCCTTGGCGCCGGGATCTTTGTTGGTATCGGGATGGTACTTTTTTGCCATTCCATAGTAGGCCTTCTTGATGTCGCCAGCGGAGGCACCTCTATCTACTCCTAGGACTTTGTACGGGTCGGGAATTGCCGCGAGCATGTTTGTAGCGTGAAAAGCCTGCGAACATAAGAAAGGTCAGAGACTTTCGGCTATCAAGTCATATTCAGTCAGAGGTTTATCTACATACCCTAGTTTGGATGGAGTCTGGGCGTTTCTTCATGAAAATGTCTTCCCGCCGACGCCTTGCAGGCGAATCGATGGCGGAGGCATGATATTGGCGCGTTGAGGATGAAGCTCGAATCCCGCTCGTCTGCTTATGTTTCGAGCACTGCCGCGAGGTGCGCAGTATACAGCCGGGAATAGCCGTAGCTTTTGGTACGAGTACCGAAGAAGGGTTCATCGTGGAGATAATGAATGACGGGTGAAATTAAGAGAGCGAATTAAGCGAGGCGCAAGATGCCCATGCCAGAGGGGAGAGTGATTGCTACAATTTCCCCGAGTTTTGGTCTGCGAATCTTGATGGAGCAGAATCGAAGCTTCTCAGTCATTCGGCTCCATCAAAGTTTCCCGACCGGAAAAATAGCGGTCCGAGCTTCGAGATGATGGAACTGCTTGCTTCGGTAATCAATCGTCTGAGCTCGCCATCGCCTCCTCCTCGTCATTGCCTGGCCTTACCGGAATCCTGTGTCTTTCTCCTTGGTCTCCGTGCAAGACCCCCTCTGTTCTGTACATTATACTGTTTTCTATTTCCCACGGCCCCTCCGTCCTACCTCGTCTGTCGTCATAGAAGTTGGGAGCATGCTCCGCGGCCAGACCCTCCGCTGGAGAGCCGCGCTCCAGACACCGCGACCTTTCATCCTCCGGCCTCTATTTGCTTCACACGGATACAATCTCGGTTCCAGATCACTATTAGAGACGTCGCGCCGTTTCCGCTCGCTTCCGCTGTCCCCTCGCACATTTTCATCTAGCGCCGCCCGGCGGAGAGAGAAGCCTCCACCCGAAGACGAGAAGGAGGATCCGAACCAGAAAGAGAACAAAGATAACAAAGATGGAAGCGAAGATAAAGATGTCGAGCGCGAATCTCGTCGTAAAACGACAGATTCACCTGGGAAGCATGGTTTGTCTGTAGATCCCGGAGCTCCGACATCGGGCTTCGCAAGGCGGAGGGAGAAAGCGGCGGACAAAGAACAGCGTGGCGTGGCGGAGGATGTAAAGAAGGAAGCCGAAGGAAAAGGCAACTCTTCAGACACACCGTCTGCTATCCCTGTAAGTGAGAGTCCCTCGGACTCTAAGCCCAGCGGCTCGAACGGCGACGATGGTGGAAAGAAGGGAAAGAAGAACGACAAGGCTCTCCAAAAGCCTTCAGTACCCGATGTGTATCCCCAGGTCATGGCGATCCCCATTGCCAAACGACCGCTATTTCCTGGCTTCTACAAGGCCATCACGATCCGCGATCCAAATGTCGCTACAGCTATTCAAGACATGATGAAACGCGGGCAGCCATACGTTGGCGCTTTCCTGTTCAAGGACGAAAACGCAGACGGTGATGTGATTGAGAACACAGATGATGTTTACGACACCGGTGTATTTGCTCAAGTTACTGCTGCATATCCACTTCGTGGAGAGCAAAGCGGCGTGACGGCCGTGCTATATCCCCACCGGCGTATCAAGATCTCCTCCCTACTCCCACCGGGCGATTCTGCCAAGACTGCTTCGCCGGAGGATAAGACTACAGAGAAGCGTGGTGATGTTGTAGCAAGCTTCGAGGAGAACGCCGCGGAGCTAGTACCAAAGGATCATTACGAGCCTACCTCTTTCTTACGAAAGTATCCGGTCAGTTTGGTGAATGTTGAAAACCTAACGGAGGAGCCCTTTGATAAAAAGAGCGCCATCATTCGGGCTGTGACAAGTGAAATTGTCAACGTCTGCAAGGAAATTGCCACTCTCAACCCCTTGTTCCGGGATCAGATCTCGGCTTTCTACACCGATCAATTCCCCGGAAACCTGAGCGATGAACCTGCCAAGTTGGCAGACTTTGCGGCGGCTGTGTCTGGCGGAGAGTTGCATGAGCTCCAGGAGGTTCTCGAGTCAATGAACATTGAGGAGAGACTGCCCAAGGGGTTGGTCGTATTGAAGAAGGAGCTCATGAATGCCCAGCTTCAAACAAAGATATCGAAGGATGTGGAGGCCAAGATTCAGAAACGACAGCGAGAGTATTGGCTGATGGAGCAGATGAAGGGCATTAAGCGGGAGCTAGGTATTGAGTCTGACGGCAAGGACAAGCTTGTGGAGAAGTTTAAGGAGAAGGCCGAGAAGCTTGCGATGCCCGAGGCTGTTAAGAAAGTATTCGATGAAGAGATCAACAAGCTGGCACACCTTGAGCCGGCCGCGTCCGAGTTCAACGTGACCCGGAACTATTTGGACTGGTTGACCCAGATTCCCTGGGGCCAGAAGAGCGTGGAGAACTTTGGCATCAGCAACGCGACCAGTGTGCTCAACGAAGACCACTACGGTTTGAAGGATGTCAAAGACCGCATCCTCGAATTCATCGCAGTTGGAAAGCTCCGAGGAACTGTGGAAGGCAAGATCCTGTGTCTTGTTGGACCTCCTGGTGTCGGAAAGACAAGTATTGGGAAGTCCATCGCTCGGGCGCTGAACCGCCAGTACTACCGATTCTCCGTGGGTGGATTAACGGATGTTGCGGAGATTAAAGGACATAGGAGGACGTATGTCGGTGCGCTTCCTGGGCGTATTATCCAAGCACTCAAGAAGTGCCAAACAGAGAACCCTCTTATCTTGATCGATGAAGTGGACAAAATCGGCCGTGGCCACCAGGGTGATCCGTCGTCTGCACTACTTGAGCTTTTGGACCCTGAGCAAAATTCGTCGTTCCTGGATCACTACATGGATGTACCCGTCGACCTATCAAAGGTTCTGTTTGTTTGCACTGCCAATGTCACTGACACTATTCCTCGACCATTGTTAGATCGTATGGAGCTCATTGAGCTGTCTGGCTACGTCGCGGACGAGAAGATGGCTATCGCTCAGAAATATCTTGCGCCCGCTGCTCGAGAACTAACCGGCCTCAAGAATGTGGACGTTACTCTCAGCGAAGATGCGATTGAAGAACTCATCAAGTCATACTGTCGAGAAAGTGGTGTGCGAAATCTGAAGAAGCAGATCGAGAAAGTGTATCGAAAGGCGGCGTTCAAGATTGTTTCCGACCTCGGAGAAGACGTACTAGCGGAGGACAAGGCTCTCACAGCCGAGGGCAAGGCGGCGCAAGAGGAGTCGCAGAAGGAGACTGAGTCCATCGAAACATCGAGCGAATCGGAAAAGTCCACCACAGAAACCCCTCGGGTGGCACTCAAGGTACCCGACAGTGTACAGCTCAGCATCGGCAAGGACAGCTTGACCGATTACGTTGGCCCGCCAATCTTCACCACTGACCGCTTGTATGACACCTTCCCACCGGGTGTTACCATGGGTCTGGCTTGGACCAGCATGGGAGGTGCGGCTCTCTACGTCGAGTCCATCTTGGAAAATGCGTTGACACCCGAGTCACGGCCGGGTCTTGACATCACCGGCAATCTGCAGAACGTGATGAAGGAGTCCACTCAGATTGCCTACTCATTTGTGAAGTCCGTGATGGCGAAGCAATTCCCGGAGAATCGGTTCTTCGAAAAGGCAAAGCTGCACATGCACTGCCCGGAGGGTGCTGTTCCTAAGGATGGTAAGTTGTCAGCCCAATGAAGCAAGAAGAAGCTGAAATGAGCTAATCGCAATTAGGCCCGTCCGCTGGTATCACTATGGCCACATCCCTCCTTTCGCTGGCATTGGATCACCCTCTTGACCCAACGATTGCGATGACTGGAGAGTTGACAGTCACGGGAAAGGTACTGCGAATTGGAGGACTGCGAGAGAAAACGGTGGCTGCGCGCCGTGCTGGTGCCAAGACGATTATCTTCCCAGCCGATAACATGTCCGACTGGCTGGAGCTGCCTGAAGTGAGTGCTTATCTTTAGGAACATCCTGAGCTTCTTTTGGCTAATATTTCGTGCTATAGAACATCAAATCAGGAATCGAAGGTCACGCAGTGAACTGGTACTCAGAAGTGTACGACATCTTGTTCGCCGATCTCGATAAGGATGCTGCGAACCGTATCTGGCAGAAGCAGCTGTCCGAGGAGCCCAAGCAGAAGAAGTCCGAGGACGACGACTGAACTTGGGATTTCGGTCGGGGGCTCGCCTTGAACCGGCATTTCTTTGGTACCTAGACTTCTGTTGCAGTTGAGCCTTGGGATTAATTGGTTTCTGTGTTTCTGGTCATGTACAGGCGTTCATTGCGGAATGCATGGTCCGGAGTTGTTTCGCTTTAAATACATTTTAGACTTGCCGGCCCTTTGGATTCTCTTTTTACTAGAGAGTTGAAGAAAGAGCTTGACACACTCCGCTCTGAAAATGAGGATTGCATGATGAGGCAGCTGTACGATTGGATTGATTTGATATCTACGGACACATGCATGTATATAATAAACTATAACAAAACATGAAGAAGCCTATTCTCATACAATTGAACACCTTGCTGCTACTTGTAGGCTATGGAGGTACTTCCTGCAACCCAATTCGGTAAATAGTCAACGCTCCCGTCCCGACCACATACAAGCACGCATATAACATAACGATAAGACAAAGAAACGCTCGCACCACACTAGGCAAGTACCTCCAAGCCTCATCAAAGACCATGCGCTCATCACTAATATATTAAAGTCCAGTTCATACCACTAGTGACCCTTCTACCTATCGCAGACCCGGAGCATGCCAGCAGCGTGGCCAGTGCAGCATCACAGCGGCCAGTAAGTTAAGCCGAAGTAAAGCATTCGCTGCAAGGATCCCAACGAAGCAAGATCGGGTTCTGTGGGTGCATATGATTAGCATGGCAGCGTGGTCAATGGCGTATAGTTGTGCCGGAGATTTGCCGATGATTGGACGCTTTGTTTCATGGTGAGCTTCACTTTGAACAGGGGATGAACTGTGGTCGACTGGAGAATACTAGAGCAGGCTTCGAGAAGGATTTGGTCTGGGCTGTGCATTGCAGGTGTGGGGTCGTTGCGATGCCTATGCCCTGTGGGATGGAATGGATCTATGACCGAGTGAGGATGGGTTGGGGATATACCTAGGGTATACCGTATAGGTACGATGGGGTGTGGAGTACTTGGGTACATACATACCTTATACTGCCTGCTCGCTAAGAGGTAGTAACTTTGTAGACGAACCATGCCTAATGATGAATAGAGCATTTGGGCGAATTGTTATTTAGAAAAGGTTTATCACTTTACAGAGCATGAGATTGGCTTTATATCAACACTCTATATCGACGACGACGTAGGCGAAGAAGATCTATGAGTCTGTTCAGTATAAAACGGTATAATCTGGTTGGACATCAGGCACTGTCAGGCCGCAGTGCGTTTTTTTTTGGAGGAATAGTATCAGCTTAATCATAAGGCAAATCAGGGATTGTTCGTTTGAACTAAACTGCGAGAGTTTCTTGGTTTTGAATTTCGAATATCAGAAATCCCAGGTTCATTGTGCGTCCGCTTGACTTGCTTGTATACTGCATTATCGTCACCCATATATCGTCCTCCACCACTCCAACTGGCTCGGGCTCTGCGGTTCAACTCTTTGTTGATATCTGATAGTCTGCCAGTAGCTATAGGAACCATTTTTTCCTTTCCTCCAGTGAGTCATAGAGATAATAATAAATAACCGCGTGGCTATTCCAGGCGCGATCCTGGCTAATGCAGCGACAGCTTCATCCCATCTCATCGTGTTTTCCCTTGCCCTTCGATTTCTTTTCTTCATCTCCCAAATATCTTTTGATACTCGGGCTTGCTGCTTGCATTCCCCTTTAATATCATTTAATTGACGAGCATCGATTCCTAGACTCATCCCCTACTATTCCTCTGCTGTTGTGCGACCTGCTACGACGCTGAACCCTCACCGACTCGTCGAGGACCATTCGATGCTCTCTGCCTGGATCTGTCTGATTTGTCTGACTCCAGTTCGGGCTGTTTAAATTTTCCTCTGATCTTTCTCAAGCGCTGTCAGGTTATAATTGCTTTTCTTTTTCTTTTTTTGTTACTACCTAATCTGCTCCGAGTTTTCCCTCTGAAACCCTTGTCCACGGGAATTCCGCCGCAATAATTTCTTATGGCCGTCGCCTTCCCAGCCCCCTCGAGTCTTCAAGTCGTCCTCCTCCTCCCGACCGTCTTGAACTCTTGGGTTGTGCTGAATGGCCATCTCCATTGCCGATAGCTCCAGTAGCTCGCCCAGGTCGTCTCTGGCCTTTTTGCTGGACCCGGAAAAGGTCGAGCTGCCGCGTCCCAAGCAGAGCATGTGGCATCGCCTGGGTCTCCGGCGATGGCTTGGCCGCGATGACCGAGATTTTCCCTCTCGCTCCCCTGCGAGTGCGAGCAGTGATTCTTCCTCCCCCGCGTCCAACGATCGTTCCAAGAGCACCAATTCTCCACCACCCAAATCCCACGATAACCTCACGCGCCGTCTGTCGAGAAGGGTCGGCGTTGGCCTCCCCCGATCCACGACCTTCAGGAGACAACACTCCGAGCATCGGGATCGACTTTCCCCCGTCGACTCAGAGCCCCGGCCTCGCGCTGTTTCAGCCGACCGTCGTACATTGAGCCTGCAGCGGACAAAGTCCCCACAGTCTGTCGTGGATCCCAGATTATCCGCTCCCGAGATCAACTGGCCGCGCGACGACCCGGACCCAGACCCGAACCCCTCAACCAGAGTCGACAAACCTCCGGAAGCGAATGAGGAGACCCCCCAGAACAACGACGTCAGGTCGGAATGGGACCACTTCCCCCAGGTGACGGATACTCCCGAGGGGTATCCTGTTGATATTTTCGACATGGAGCTGGAGCGCCGGTGGATTCTGAACCTGAGCATGCACTTTCGGGATCGCTCAGAGAGGGAAAAATTTTTCGTCACCTACGCCGAAGCCGCCAACAGATGGCGTCGCGTTACAATTTCGTGCGACTATCGCGATGCCGAACCTGAGTCTCTAGAACAAGATTTGAAGGAACTACGGTACCAGAGAGACAAGTGTGCCCGCATCTACGAGTCAATTCGCGAATCACTCCCCGAAATTCAATTCTACGACACCGTCACGAACCTGAAACTAGAGACGCGCGACGGTCGTCTGCATGTCCATGTAACCGAGGACGTGAACGAAATCATCCCTTATCCGCCTATATCCAGTATCGGCCATTTACCCGAAGCGCGACTCGTCCCTGAGCACCGGCTACACTTCGAGGCACACTTGTCAGGATTTGTATATAATGTACGACTGGGCGATAGGTCGTTTATAAAGAAGGAGATCCCAGGACCGGATACCGTCGACGAATTCTTATACGAGATCAACGCCCTACATGCGCTTCAAGGAACGCCAAATGTGATTCAGGTGGAAGGAGTTGTGGTGGATGACCGAGAAGAGGTAGTCAAGGGACTTCTCATTAGTTTTGCTGAAAAGGGAGCCTTGGTGGATATCTTATATGAATACCGCGGGACGATTTCTTGGGAGCGCCGCGAGCGTTGGGCCAGACAGATTGTGCACGGCCTAAGCGAGATCCACGAGACTGGCTATGTCCAGGGAGATTTCACGTTGTCGAATATTGTGGTCGACGCTAACGATGACGCGAAGATTATCGACATCAACAGACGAGGTTGTCCGGTTGGATGGGAACCCCCGGAGATTGCGGCGAAGATCGAGAGCAACCAACGTATATCGATGTACATTGGGGTCAAAACGGACCTCTTTCAATTGGGCATGACACTCTGGGCTTTGGCTATGGAGGAAGACGAACCCGAGCGGCAGCGCCGACCATTCGTGCTGGACGATGACGTTCCCCTACCGGACTATTATCGGAGGCTGGTGTCTATTTGCCTGAGCCCTGTTCCTCGACAACGACTATCTGCCAAGGAACTGCTTAATTTCTTCCCTCCTGAAACAGGGACCTTCGACCAGCTGCCTAGAATACAACCCCAGACAAGCATTGGAGTGGGTCTACACAATGGCGCCCTGCCTTTGTACGACTCGCGCGCTGCGTTCTTGTACCCACGCGGCAGGCAGATAGGGAGCTTTGGCCACAGCAATACACAGATCCCATACCAGCCGCATAGTGACAGCTTCGAGAGCTTTTCTGCACCTGAAACGGACGGGGCGTTTGCCAACAAGGGGGAGGAAGAACGGCGACCCGAGCTGTATGACGTGGCGACGCAGCCGAACGGAGTAAGGAAAAGCGAATCCATAATCTTCGATGAGCGGAGTGCTGTGAATGACATTGTACCAACGAGGCTCCCAACACACCCGGATGCCGCACACCAATTTCGGAGAAGCTCATCACTTGACTATGAAGAGGACGAGTTTGGCGTTGATCCTCGTTACCGAAGCTCCTCAACAGATATGACAATGGTCGACCCTTTTTTCAATGCCGAACCGTTGTCAGGTGAACTGGTTGGTGTTGGCTCATGGAAAACCCCGTCTCGCAACAGTTCTGTCCATTACAACCCCCCTGAGCAGTTAGCCACCATACAGGCCTCTGCCGATATATACCCGTTGGATTCGGCGACCGAAGCCCAGTCTAGTCAGGAGCCGCTGCAGGATGTGTCAACACTTCTGCAGTCTGCACTACCAATCAATCCGGCGGCCGACATACAGGAGAAGTTGATCCCCACGACAACAGGCCACATTGAGCAGCCTCCGATTGTAGCGTCCTCAAGGTTGGCATTGGAAAATAGCCCACAAATTATCGCCCAGCAGAGCACTCTTTTGAGCGAGTCAAGTTTACGCTTTAACCCGGCCGTTCTAGGATTGGAAGAAACGACGCAAAAAAGCGTCGATTCCCAGGCGCAATCTTATATTCAGTCGACTTTTGAATATTCTGCAGACGATCACCACGATTCTCCTTTAAGCGACTCTCTTTTACCCATAAATCCAGCGGCCAAGTTACCGGAGACAGAGATCCCCGAGCCGGAAAGAGCATCTAATCTGCAGACTGAAGCTTCTGGACGTCACGAAAAAGCCATACAAGACCGGGTTCCGAATTTGAGCGAATCGCGCCTGCCCATTAATCCAGCAGCAACTGAATCGCCGAGCAGTTTTAAACCTCCAACGACTGCTCTGTCAGCCTCTCAGAACGTGCCAAATCAGGATTCCTTGCAGGACATACAATTCCAAAACATCATCAACTCCTGTTTGCCCATCAGCCCAGCCGCCGTATCCTCAGGGGAAACGCTCGACTACAGCATAGCTATCAAAGCGGCTCCTGACCTGTCGTTTCGATGTACTCAACAGATCGCCCAGGACCAGAACCAGAATGCTTTCCTCAGCAATTTCAGCTTGTCCGCCAATGCAGCCACAACGTCAGGGGAGGCACTCGACCACGGGATAGATACGAAGCACGCTCTCAACGCTCAACCGATCGTCCAGGACGAAAACCAAAATTCCTTCCTCAGCAATTCTCACCTACCCATTAACCCGGCCGCAAAATGCTCGACTGAAGCAACAGTCAGCAAACATCCAACTACTATACCGTCGTCTCCTGAGGCTCAGCCCGTTTCTTACCCGCAGCATAGCACCCACGACCGAAACCCCCACCTAAACGACTCCCATCTACCCATCAACCCAGCATTCACCGACAAGGTCTTACAGTTTGTATGACTTATCCATCACGACCTCGATAAAAATGTTTGATTAAATTCGCTACATATGCTCAACATTTCCGCGCAGTATTCCTGCGTTGTATACTTATTGCTTACCTCCTTGCGTTTCAGCACAATGCAGCGAGCGGGTTATGACGGCGAAACTTGGAGTTTCATTCCTTGTTCTTTTCCTTTCTTTTCTGACTTCATGGTTTCTTTTAATCTTGCTCAATTGGATATCGCTGCCGTCTTCCGTCACATAAAATTCTATTTGATAAGTTATCCCGTTTTTACCAGCTGCATATCTACCTAGCATGTTTCAGTTCAGTTCACTCAGCATCACTGGACAGACTCGATCAACTCAGAGCCTCGTCCTAAGGCCCTACTGACTGCATTTCCCTGCGTTTCCTGCTTATTTCACTGGCCTGTTTCCCTTTTCTTTTTGCCTCCTTTATGATGATACACGAATGGATGGATGGTCTTTTTTTGCTTTTGCTTTGATTACCGTCTGTTACCCTAGTCATTTCCCAGAGTTGGTTTTCTCTCATCTTCTTTTCTTTTCTGTTGCTTTTCTTCCAAGTCCTGTTCAGCTTCCCGGTCTCTGTCAGTGCCCTCGAGCCTTTGCATGCACGCCTCACATATTTGTACATTGATTGATGCATTTATTTGTTGATTTGGACGCGGCATCTATCTACCTACTTAGTACCTACAAGCCCACCCATCTACCATTCTTGAGGGTGACTGTATTAATCCAAAAGAATTCTTTCCTTCGGTCACGGGTATCTTTATTCTGACATAACTAGGCTTTCATGAGTCGCCATTATATGCAATCCTTTATGCATTGTATACTAACCCTAGCTATATACAACCTCATGGCTTTATACGTTTCATTCACCCTTCGCCAAAAACTCCTCGAAACTCCTCTGCCAGGGCCCAACGTCGCCTAAGCCCCGTCCAATCAAAACAATCTTACATTGTGATTTCGACTGGTTTTCATCCGAGCTGGAGGCGACCTCGTCGCGGATCTCAAAGACCTCGCGCACAGCCTGAATGATTTTACTTGACCCGTCCGAGAAAGCGAGGATACCTTTCAGCCGGTGGATGTCGAAGCTGAGTTTGTGAGATTCCGGTTCAGAACTGGACGGACGTGTGAAATCCCAGAGGACGGAGCGCAGCCAGGCGTCTACGAGGGAGACCTTGGAGGGCTGTAGGGGTGGGTGCGTTAGGGCTATTGTTGAGATGGACTAAGTACATGTATTAGTTGGCTGTTAATGCTTATTTGAGGTTGGACTTACCGGATCGATATGGCTATGCCCCTTCTGGCTGAAATCAAGACTATCGAGATGGTCGTACGCATGAAGATCTAACACAACCCCCTCAATCTGAGGCGTGCGGCTGTGATCCGTAACATGGATCTTCGCGGCACTGTTGATGGCTGTCACGCGATCCCGGACGCGCTCGAGTTCTTCCGGCATAACAAGATCCGTCTTGTTAAGAATGATCACATCCGCGTGGGAGATCTGCATATGTGCCATAGACAGGACCGGTCCAGAATGCTCGTGATCATGGTGATCATCTTTGTGGTCATCCACGGGAACGGTTTCCTCTGGCGTAGGCTCGTCAAGCAGGTGGAGGATGTTTTTGGCGTCGACGAGCGTGACGATCCCGTCAAGATAGATCGAGCTGCCGAGGTTGTCGTCTACCCAGAAGATCGGGGCGATGTTCCCTGGGTCTGCGAGGCCAGTTGTTTCGAGCAGGATGTAGTCGAATGTGCCGCGGCGTTCCATTAAGGATTCGATGGCCATGACGCCGGAGTCTCTGCGGTCTGGATTAGGTATTGCTGTGTAGATATGTTGGGATGACGAAGGCGTACTTGACTGAGCAGCAAATGCAGCCGTTGCCGACTTCCAGCCATTCGGTGACTTCCTGGCCGTCTTGGTTGACGGTCATAGGTTTCTCGATGTCCGTTGCTGGGGGACGTAAGCTTGAGCTTCCTTCAAGTTATGCTTGTGACAAGTGGTGGTAGACTTACAGTCCCCAAATTCTGAGCCATGTTAGCTGGGGTTTTGTATGTAGTGGCTTACGGATGACTTATACCGTTCATGATCACAGCGATTTTCTTGCCATGTTTCTCAGTGAGAATGTAGTTGAGCAGTGTGGTTTTACCGGCACCCAAGTAACCTTATAGAACGCAGTATCAGCCACCCTGTATTCCGCATTCATGTTTCTAATCAAAGAATCTACAGTATGTTCGTCGTACCCGTCACCAGCGTGATAGGCACGCGTTGCTGCGGAGGCTCTTCCAGAGACAAGGATTGAAGCTCAGACTCTGGGGGCTGGGAGACATCCACAAGCTCAGGGGGAGCGTCGTCATTATCCATATTGGGAGAATAAGCTAACCCACTTCGGAGTTGAGAAGCAGTACTGCGGCTCTGCAGCAGTAGACAGAATCCGGGGCAATTGGAAGATCAATGACGTTACCAAGAGGGGAAAGAGATAGGGCTTAGAAATAGGGCTACAGCGGTCATGGGCTAGTTGTCTCTCACCGCCCGGCAGATTCCTATCTTTAGCTCCGTTCTTCAGTTGGAGAAGGGCTAGGTCCCGTCGGCGGCTGTCTATCTGTCTACTCCGTACTGCTGAACTCCTCCGAACCCTCCCTCCTTTTGTTGCTTGCTTCCCGTCCGCTCTCTGATATACTCCTCCCACAGCTCCCTGACAATGGCTGCTGCGGGAGTCTCCCCGTCAAGCTCTCCGCGGCTTCCCAGTCCCCCTCCGTTCACAGAGGTGCAGATCGGACCCCAGTCGCCGTCGGTTGGCGAGTCGTTCGGCGGAGAGGCAGATCTACAACTTTTAGGTGTCTCACCCGGCGCAGATGATGGTCCAACAAGGAGGATTCGCCCAGGGTCGAAGAGCAGTGAGATGGCCGCTGGCCCTCCGTTAATTCCTCTTCCGCAGGTCAGCAAACAAATCGATGCCCAACCGAGGCATCTCACAACCCCCTGGCATGCTAACACGGCCTGTTTCTGTATAGCTTGACTCCCCATTCCAACTTCAAGAGCATTTAAAAGCGCTCTATAATCATTATACGCGGCCCGAGGACTCCGACACAGTGGTTCCGATCCAACGAGAGGTTGCCCGCCAGCTTGCGGAGCCGCCGGAGGGTGTTGAGCGGTCGTTATGGCTGTACGAACTCTGTCGTTTCTTGACCATGAAAGTGAACAATCTCATCATCGCCTTCTTCGCTGAGAACCCACCTTGCTCCTCACAAACCTGCCCTGAGATGCGCGCGTCGGAGTGGCAGTATCTCTGCGCCGTTCATGATCCGCCCAAGGCTTGCTGTGCCATTGACTACTGCTGCCACACACTCGATTGGGCCACCAATATCCTCACGTCGCCGAAGCACTTTCCAAGCAGGCTCACCCTGGGATCGGAGTCTGGGGGCGGACCGCAGGCGGGCTTGAGGCATCTCACGAACATCTTTCGGAGGCTGTATCGCATCTTCGCGCATGCTTGGTTCCAGCACCGGGAAGTGTTTTGGCAAGTGGAGACCCATGATGGACTGTATATGTTCTTCAAAACCGTTTGCGATACGTACCGTCTTATCCCGGACGACAACTATACTGTACCCCCTGAAGCAGAAGGAGAAGAGGCGCATCAACCACAACATGTGCCGGAACAGAGCGACCCGCGTCGATTGACAATCTTGCGCAAGGACAATGAATCATTGCTACCTCCTCTGGATCAAGTAGAGCCCGCGTCAATTAGTACTGGTGCTACCACTCGACGACACAAGTCTAGCCCTTCGATGGGATCTCGCGTCACAACCATTAGCGAGAGCGCAGAGGACAATGAGGAGCCGCCACAGCTACCGCCGGCGGAAGTAGCAGTGCCTAAAACACAGTCGCCGCCAGAGCCTGTCAGTGAATTACCGAGTGAGCCGGTCCGGTCTCCCACTCAAAGCGACGATTCTCAGGTTACTATTGCTGAAGTTGAGCCGGACGACGAACCCACGGAGACTACCGAGGCGGCCCCAGCCACAGAAGAACATGGAGGCATCCAACAAACAGACAGTGATAACGAAGAATCTCCTTCTGCAGCCCCAGAGGAGGAGACACCGGAGTCCAACCCCGAATCCGAACCAGCAGCCGCAAGCCCGGAGCCAGAACCTGAAGCAGAGCCGGAGACGAAGCCCGAGCCGGAGACGAAGCTCGAGCTGAAGGAGAAGGCAGAGGAGCCTGCTAAAGAAGACTGATGGATGCCACGCGAAATCGGTGTTTTCCTTCATGTGACGAGACAGTGCTCATGCTACGATTGTAATACGCCTTTCTATGCGGTTTCGACGTATTGGGTTATTCCAAGATCTAAGATTCATGTACTATACTTACCTACAGAATTAATAATGATACCCATATCTGCTGTGTAATGATAATCTGTCCACGAAGTGAAGGCTGCTAGGGTACCTTGTAGGATATGGATACTTCCGCCTTCCTCCGTTCTCCGCATCACCTCCGAATTTCCTAACAACCTTGCGCTCCGCACCCAAACCAACACACCATACCATGCTTTAAACTCTCCCTAGTCTCGTTCACTCTACCAACTATATACATGTCCGATCCTTCTCCTGAAGACTCTACGATGCCCCTCCCAAAAAGCGGGCCAATCCATTTCGGCCACTTCCTTGTCACCCCGCAGGTCCGTCCTCTCCAACTCTCCTCCAACCCCAAACAAGACCCCTTACTTACCTCACCTCTCTCCACATTCCTATATCCAACTCCTAACTAACCATATCCCATTACTAGGTCTTCCACACAACCCCTCTCAGCATCGCCCTCGTAAACCTGAAACCTATCCTGCCAGGCCACGTCCTGGTCTCCCCGCGCCGCGTCGTCCCCCGCGTCTCCGATCTGACACCCCCCGAAACAGCAGATCTATTCCTCACAGTGCGGCGCGTCGGTCGGATGCTCGAGCGCGTTTACGGCGCCACAAGTCTCAACATCGCGATTCAGGACGGCGCTGAGGCGGGACAGAGCGTGCCGCATGTTCATGCGCATATCATTCCGCGGAAGAAGAGGGATATGAGTAGTACGGATGAGGTCTATGAGAAGTTGGATGGGGAGGAGGGGGATCTTACTAGGGGGTTGAAGGGGAGGAGAGATAACAGGGAGGGGTTGAAGGTTGATGACGAGGCGAGGGTTGCGAGGGGGAATGAGGAGATGGAGGCTGAGGCTGCTATGCTGGCGAGGGAGATGGAAAAGGAGCCTGTTGATTGAGCTAGTCACAATCAACGGGTACAAAGCCAATGGGATGACATGGGCACAGTTCGTGGACAATGCTAATAAGATAGAGCTTTGCTTCCATTGTTGTGATGCTATGTCTAATGATGCGGGTTGGTATCTATTCAGGATCGACCGTACAACGCCTCTAAGTCAGAGAATCAAGAGAACTAGATAAGAAAATAGAGATGCGGTATCGTCAGACATTTCACCATCAACGTATCACTCATGAATAAATGTATCGATTCATGGTTCGACCATGGCTCGTTTGGCAGATCCGCGAGTCGCTGTTTATGCCGCAGCTTCAGATTCTGACGTTTGTTGCCTTGACTTCCAGAGTGCCTTGCGCTCCTCCAGCACGGTTTCCGCCCATTCCTTGATTTCCGGAAGATGAATTCGCTTGGCAACGTTCAGGAACTCCTCAAGGTCGATTTCGTAACTCCGCTCATATTCCACCATCTGCAGCAGAAGCTCCATCTTATCAACATCATGGACAAACTGCGCTTCAAGCGTCTCGTTCGCTTCGTATTCATTAAAGACAGCCAGGATACCGTCGCCTGCGGAGGCTCCACTCGGCACACCGCGCAACAGCGTGTTCGAAATGTATTCCATTACAGCGGCTTCCCGACGGGCCTTTTCCTCTTTCTTGACAGGGTCAACGGGAGTGATGTCGCCGACGAGCGATTCGGCCATGTCGTGAACAAGGGCCATCTTCATGCAGCGGGGTAGATCCAGACGGGCAGCGAGAGAGGGAGGGGCGAGCATAGTCATCATCGACATGCGGTACATGTGGTCGGAGATGGACTCGCCGTGGTTGATGTCAAAGCGGCGCCATCCTTCGCGCTTTGTGGTCTTTAGCCGCTCGAGGAGGTGGAAGAACGGGACTGGAGAAGTCGAGTTCTCTTCGGGAGGGTAAGGGAGAGTAGATAGGACTGCTGCCGTTAGTGATGTTGAGAAAGCTCGGTGGGTTGGAGGGTGGACGGACCGGATTGAGGGGTCCAGAGGCCTTGTTCGGAGGGAGTTTGGGAACCCATTTTGGAGCGCGAAAAGAAAGAATGTCAGAGAGACGGAGAGGATAGTTTTAAGGAGCAGATGGAGATGCCCTGAAAAGACAGAAATTACAGGTAAAAGAGAGAATGGGAGGCAAGAAGTGAGGAAGATGAGGAGAAGAAAAGCAAAAACGAGTTGACCGCGGAACCAAACAATGAACCATGGCCGCCGTTCCTCTCCACTGTAAACAACTCTTTTGACAACCTCTCTCTAGTCCGGAGTCTTTCACGCCCCTGATCTGATAGGTAGGCAGTTATCTAATGCTCTGTGACATCACTGACAAACAAATAGAAATGCAATCGTCCAGAACCCCCCGACCAAAACCCTCCAATTGGCCTCCTCAATCCTCCCACACCGTCCTGATCCGCAATCTCCAATTATTGGAGCTCGACCAGCTCGAAGACTGGCCGGGCATCACACTACGCACTCTCTCACCCTCATCCCAGAACCAACGCCAGCGCATCAAGTCTGTTGAGTGGATTCTGTATCGTTTGGTCGCACTTTGGGATCCAGAGACTGCTCGCGATGTAGGTTCAGTCCCCCGCTCAGACCACTGCTCCTGAAGAACTCAAAGAGCTGATGGTAGGATGCCTGTCGCATTAGAAACTTCGCCCCTTTTTCCCACCACTAGAACCTCTTCAGTCCGTCAATCTACGAGCTGCCCTCTTCCGTGTATTGTCCGATCTGAAGAAGAATGGAGATCTGGGCCGCGAAAGCATCTTGCGCAAGTCCATGTTGGACGATTGCAAAGGCGAGAAATTCGACGAAATCCTAGCTGTCTTCTCTACCAATGTGCTACGGAGAAGAGCGCAGGACCGAAACCCTGCTATTGACCTCTCGCTCGCTTCCGGCCTAACTCAGCAGGAGTATCCCCTTCTGCTACCGTTGATCCTTGCTCATAGAGCTTCGCTGAGCACCCTCGGTGAGCGCCGTGGCCGTGTTCGCGACACCCATGAGAAGTTCTCGCAGCTTCTGGATAGGAAGAAGGATGAAATCCAGGCCCGGTCCACGTCTGACAACCATGCCATACAGATACAGGAGGGTGACCTGGAGGCTCTCGCCCGGGAGACGAAGGCGAATTGGCAAGGAAGTGTGGAGTGGGCCGATGCTTTACTTTACGGAGGCCTTAGCAGCAGTCGCGACGCCTTTTTAGAGCTGCCGTTTGATAATGCCTGGTCCCAGGCAAAGGCTTCCACAATTGATGACCTCCAAACTACCTCGACTCGCCCTGACTTGGTCCTGGACCTCGAGAACCGCATCTCACGACAGCGAGCACGTCTACAGAGATGGCATCAGTATTCTGCTTCGCTCAAGCATTCAGGAGTGGCATCTCCATCCAAGCCTGCGGACACGAAGAAGACCCCTCAATTGCTTTTCCGTGACCACCAGGCCCTCACTGTTGCCAGTATATCAAAAGCGGTGCGACAACCTGTAAATCGAGGACCTCCAACAGCCGGCGACCAGCACATCCTGCACTCCATCTCTGAAGCAATGGAGCGCATCAATGGCCCTTCAACACAGCAACAGGCCTTGCCAATGACTGTCCGTAAGTCCGAGCCCGAGATAGAAGCCGAAGCCGAACCCAATCCGAAGGTATCAAGGCCGATTCTATCCATCACAAGACCGGAGTTATTCGAACCACCTGCCGAACCCACCACATATGAGTACACCGAGGAAGAATTGTCCAAGCGTCAACCTAGAGAAACATTCACCCTCACCGAACGCACCCGCAAGTCTATGTCCTTTTTCGAGGGAATACCCGAAAGTCCACCCCAGGCCGAACCCGAATCTCCTCCCACCGAACAGCGTTCAGAAACAACCCCCGAGGAGGAAGAACAGCCTAGAGAAACCTACACCCTCGCCGAACGCACTCGCAAATCCATGTCCCTACTTCCTCCACCTCGCGACCCCCCGCGTCCTCGGCGATCTCGCAAATCCCGCGTCTCTTTTCCGGTGAACCAATTCGAAACACCTCCCAAGACATCTTCTACTGCCAATGATTTCCCCAGCCGCGCATCAACGCCGCGGGACGAGTTATTTGAGGAGCAGGCTGACTACGCAAGTGTATTCAAGTCCAGACCGCGAATTGCATTGAGTCCTGTTGCGTCGCCCGCCGTGCATGTCAGTCCAATTGGGAACTTTGAACTCAGCGCGGACGCGTATGAGGACTCGGGGGATGATCGTGCCGAGGGGGATTTGGAGTATGTTACCACGGAGTCACCTTCGCGGTCTAGGGGAAGATGGTGATACCTAGTGTCTCCTTGGACATGATGATCTAACGATCATCGTGTCTTTTTACATTAATAATGTCTAGATTCAGCGCAGGATAGAAACATATAATACACGAGTCATGACCCTTTTGACTAGTATACAGCATTATTCATGAGCCTTCCTATTGTGACCAAACACCGTTCCATCCATCCACCTATTCCTAGAGAAATTTGAACTCCGAATGAACCGAGAGAAACAGACGTCCCATTTCATGTCTTCCTAGAATTGCGAGTACGTCTGCGCTTTGGAGGTGGAGAAGCCACATCCTCCGTATACTCCTCCGGCGACGATTCCTCATCGAAGTCTGGGGACTCATCTTTGTAAGAAACGTTTCGGGTTCGCCGCACAGGCGGCTTCCTCTCTTCCACAACTAGATCCTTGTCATCGATATCGTCGTCTCCATCGAGTAGAAATCCGCCGCCAAGGTGAGCTTCATCATTAAGAGTGGGAGAATCTTCTTTGTGCGAGATTCGCGGCACTCTTCGCACAGGAGGCTTTCTCTCTTCCACGATCAGGCTGTCATCGACATCGTCGTGCCCACCCAGAAGGAAGCCGCCGCCCCGATCCGCAGCTTCCTCCTCGTCTTCGTCTACAAGGCCTGCCGGGTGTTCTTCTCCTATTGGCGTACTGGTTTGCGTTCGTGCTTGTGCAGATGCTGCCTTCCGGCTTGCAAAGGGATTATGCGCATCAGGTAAATGCCCCTCCTCATCCTCAGCATACTCTTCCTGTACGCGCTGTGCAATGCGCAACCCGAACAGAAACTTTCGCCAGGTCGCCAAGATCTTCGCTTCAGCCTTTCGAGCTTCCTTACGTTGCTTTTCCTCGTAATCTGCGCGCCATGCGTCCTTCACAAGATCTTTATTCTCGGCCGCTACGACAACGCCCTCGATAACAGGCACGGCCATCTGGCTGCCGAACTCGAATCCTGTAACAGCTTCGGCATAGTCAATGCCTAGTTTCTTGCAGATGCGCGCGGTGCCGGAGAAGGGGATGTGTACTGCGCCTTCTGGAACCATGCGAGGGACGAAGCAGTCGATATTGCCGTAATCGTTTTTCGGTATGACGCCGTCTACAATTGGTGGAGGGATAATCTCTTGCGTTTGCTCAAGGGAGTAAAGGCCCTGAAGCGGCTTTTGGCCTGTTCGCCGAAGTTCTTCGTCCACTTCGCGTTTGCGAAGGAGAGTGACGGCGCGGATGGGGACGCGTTTGAGAGGCATCGCGGAGGGTCGGGGCTCGCGGCCTTCTTTGTGCCAGCTTTCAGCAGATTGACATTTGACAACATCAGAGCGGCGATAGACGTTTTCGGTTTTGGGGCTTTCTGCTGGCGGCGTTGCTGTGCCCTTGCCCTTGGCATTGGTCTTCTTCTTTCCGCCCGGGGTAAAGGTGCGAACGGGCTGAGCGCCTGGTCGGAGGGCTTCTTCCCGGCGGAGGAAGCGCTCTAGAACAAACTCAGTGGATGTGCGTAGGCTCTGCAGAGTGTCGACTGTTTCATCTGTTGGCTTGCTCTTTGTCGGCCGATTAGGGACCAAGTCTTGAGCATCCTCGATGTCGTCGACGGCGCTGCGATCCTTATGCGGGCGTTTATAGTTGAGCAGAAGAACACGAAACCAGTCCAGCGGATCATCATCAGGCCCCTTCTTCCCCAGCCGGAAGCCCTTGGTCTTCCCAGGCCAGGTCCGCCTGCGTAAATACCGAGTGGTTACGTCTTTCGCAGTCTTATCGGCTGAGAAAGCAATTACGTAGCATATTACCTGTTTAGCCTTTTCCGCTTTGGCACCGCGCGGCTCCCATGCTGCTTGGAGCTCTTGGGTAGCCGCCACCGCGTTGGGGAGCACAAGAGGGTCGACAGAGACCACTTGATGTGTAATCGGAGATACTACCTCGGTCCAGTAGATCGGGAAAGGGAGGTCCTGGTCGTACCGCCGCGTAGACTTCCGGCCACGGGAGGAGGGCTGAGCTTCCTCGTCCTCGTCATCACTATTAGAATGATCATTTCCATTCGTTGCTCCCTTGGTAGGCGTCTGCTTCTCCTTCGACTTTGGCAAAGTGTACGACTCTGCCTTTGTCCAACCAAAGCCGAGCGGTTGTAGACTAGCAACAAGGCGAGATTCGATTGAGAGCGCGCGAAGTAGCGCGGTGAAAAGCTGCGCGCCGATATCGCGAGAGCCTTCCATGCGCTCGGCAGCTTGACGAAACTCTTCGACGCTGGGAACGAGCTCCCCGTAGAGCTCGTGGTCGTTTTTGTCTTTATGGAAGGAGGCAATTTGGGCCTGTAGTTGGGCCAAGGGCCGGTAGCCACGTTTTCGGAGACCTGGCGCTGTAACCTTGAATTTGCTCTTCCAGTATGCAGCAAGGATACGCATCAGGTGGATTATGGGATCGCCATTGCTCAGATCAGGTTGTCCGGGTTCTTGCCGGGACGAATTCTCACCCCAATCGCGTTGTTGCGACTGGGCCTGGCGTTTGGTTTGCCTGTCTTTCTTCTTCTTCTGCGATGGCGGCTCTTTAGGTGGCTCTGGCGGCTCGAGACCAGATGCCCGGCGCCATTTCTGTATTTCGCTTTGAATCGCAGGTGGCAGCTTCCCTCGTAGAATATCGTGGCATTTTGTGTCATTGATCCAGTCGTTGCGCACGGCATTATGGGCGAGTAGACACCGCACATGCAGACGATGGATTAGAATACGGATCTGGCGCTCGATCTTTGACGGCGCTTTCTGACCTTGAAGGATATCTTCCAGGTGCACCTCATTCCGATCTAAAGTCAGCTCTAGGTTCTCGTGCGGGGATACGAAGGTGGTGGTGGGAGCCGCGGACTGGACGGCGTCTTCCTGAATGGCATCTTCCCAATCGACCTCGTCGGAGTCGCCGTCATCAGATTCAGAGATAACCTTCGTATCTTCATCATCACTAAGATTATTGTCGAAGTCGGTCGGAACGGGAGTCAAGGAAGAGTCGGAGACTGGTGTTAGAGGAGAGCTACCGGAGGGCGAAGTCGCCGCAGCGATGGCATGGCGTTTAGAAGGGGGTGGCTCCTCAGAGGACTGACGTTTGGAAGGAATGAAAGGGGGCATCCAGTAGATAGCGAAACTAAATGCAATAGAGCAAGACAAAATCGGGCGATCGCATCTGACGGTGTTGAGCTGATGAGGAACCGAGGTTTGGAAATGATGAAATCGAGGGATGATCGGAGATATTTAATGATGACAGTTGCCCCTCATCCTGCCTTTCTACAAATCTTCATTCACGAAACCGTCCTCTATCTACCCTTTATAAGATCAAGCTTTGCAAATGGAGGCAGTCAAACGATTCTTCTCGTCTCCCCGCTTTGCCGTCGCTGGAGCAAGCAACGACTCCCACAAGTTTGGCTACAAGCGTACGAACCCTAAGAGATAAAGAGGAGATCATGTGTACTGACCTTGGTGCTAGTTCTGGCCTGGTATCATCAGCATTCTTTGCCGGTGACCCCTCTGAATCCTCGCGCTCCCAGTATTCAACTGTCGCCTTCCCATTCCTACGACACTGTCGCATCGCCCCGCCTGCTGTCCTCCCCGTCGCAGACTTCACTGTCGGTGGTGACTCCTCCAGCGGTCACTCTTCCTCTGCTCCAGGAGGCCCACTCGGTTGGTATTCCCGCAGTCTGGCTACAACCAGGGACCTTTGACAATGCAGTGCTGGACTTTGCGCGGTCGCACTTTGAAGCGGTGATAGCGGGCGATGGAGGTCGCGGATCGGAGGGATGGTGTGTGTTGGTGGATGGTGAAGAGGGATTAGAGGCTGCTGGTGTAAACTGGGCAAGTCAGAGACTGTAAAGCCCTAAATTTAAGGAGTTAGACCCTAAATGTTGAGGGTTGTTGAAAAACCGGTGAATGTGGTGGCTGGGATTTAGCTCGACTCCTCACGATATGATTTGGGGAAACTCCGCCTTTCCATTTCTCTTCCTGCAACTCTCCATCTCCATCTTTTCGCTCTTTTAACCACTCAATCTACATCTCATGCATTGATGAATCATTGAATAATCTAAGGGTCTATGATAATGCAAGCCTCTTCCTTCCTCTTCGACTCGCCCGTTCCCCCGCATCTCGATCTTGTGGGAGCTCCATCTCCACTCTTCCAGGTCCCCCCAACAGCCTCAGCGTCATCTGCTCTATACCGCTCCATCTCCGTACCTCAGCGCAAACGGTGCCGTCAGGGCCAGAGCCAGGATTACAGTCGTGTGAATGTACTCCAGACACCTCATCGACCCCCACCGCTAGCGAATGATTACTTCGGGGACCTCGATGAGACTTATGATCACGAGGACCATGATATTCACCGTCCCAGTCGCTATCACGATTATCCTCGAACTCCTCTTGACGCAAGTCTAACAGAATCTGTTGATGACTTCCGTCGCAAACGATGCCGCCTTGATGACCCCTCCATGGTCATCGCTGCCTCGCCTTCCGGTATAGACGAAAAAGCTTCGGTGCCCGAGCAGATGGCGACCGAAGCTAGGCCTTTCCGGTGGAGTCAGGCGGTCCTCAGTGTGGTGGAAAAGGTCTGGGACTTTTGTTGGTCTGGTCCGTTTCGCGGATTCTATGCTGGTGGTGGTCGAGGCTATCCACTCGACCTTCCACAGCCTTCACTTGACGATGACCGTGAAAACCGTCCTTCATCCACACCCTACCCTATTTCTATTCCCCCTCGATCTTCGTCATTGTCTCCGACACCGGCCGAAAAACCGACTGTCTCCGTGCCCGGCGAATATCCACTGGAAGCTGGAGAGGAAGCCCTCCGCGGAAGTTGGGTCATAGTCCAAAGCGAAGGCGCGGCCAGCCATAGCATGCCTTCTAATCGTCCCCGTTCACGCAAAAGCCATGCTCCTCGCCGTGTGGTTCACCGCCGCAGTCCTTCTAGACGAACGCTCATTCCACATTCTCCTTTCTCCGCACCTGCAAAGCCACATGAAAGTCCGGTCTCGGTCGAAACCCAGCGCTACCTTGCCAAACAAAGACGATTAGAACGCGAAGAGGATGCGAGCTTACAGCGCTTGAATCGACAATTACAGGCCATGATCAAAGAAGGCAGGCAAGCCCTAGGAACGCGTGTGGAAGTCGAAGATGATATGGACATGGCCAATTAAAACTGTTCTTACACTCACTTTTGACACTGGTCGCCCTTTCAACACTGATCGCACTCACCCTTATACCCGACTCTGGTCACACTCACTTTGCACTCTTTTTTTCACCTTCTTGCCTATTACCAGCCCTTGACGACTGATGACGAGACATGACGATGGCCATGACAACAACGCTTTGTCTTTATTATCCTTATTTTGCATGATAACCAAACTAGCGATTACTAGCGATAGCAATGACCCCCAAAAGATCAAGAATGAATGAGACATCAATACCACACATGATCAAGAAGTTCTATCTCGCGCATTCTATCTGATATTGTCTCACAGAAAGCCCACCTATCCTGATTCTCAATCACTGCCCCAAATTCCACAGCAACGGTATCTTCGCCTGCGAAAGAGCGCCCGATACTCCGCCGACATTCCCCAGTGCTTCCGGTAAACTCCCGCCGGAGATATGACGTGGGCTACTGACTTGTTCTGTTGTATTCCGTGGAGTTAGCCCCGTCCTTGAGAGAAAGACAATAGATAAGCGCTTAGGAAAACATACTCATTGCACCGGTGCGGCCATTTCCGCGGCCATTTCAGCAGCAATGACGAGCGGGAGGACGAGTGTAGAAAGGGAGAGCTTCTTTTTGGGTATGTTTTAGAATGGTAGGTTGAGCAGTGGACTAGAGAAGAGGTTGGCGGTGATGTTTCATGTTCAGCAGAAAGCTTTCAAGGTGACTTCGGACTATAATAGGCACTGGTTTAAGGTACAAGACAGCCCTAGGTAGGTACCCTAGGCTTGTAGTTGTTGCAGGCTGCTCTCCACCACGCATGCCCTTCATTGTCCCAATGGATACTTGCACACTCATGCTCAGCCTGCTGGATAAATTGACCGCGATGCGTGGGTTGTTTCTCGTCCAGTTCCGCGTGCTTGGTGTTGTCTCAAGTATGGGCAGGTGGTACCTAAGACATGGTAGGACTACGAGTACAGCATAACGAAAGGTAGATGGCTTGTCAGTTAAATAAGAGCACATGTCTATTCACATGAATCAAGTCACTGATTCTCATAAGGCAAGCCAGATGCCTTCCTAATAGCACCATAAACACCAGCAATGTCCCCCTTCTCTCCCTTCTCCTCCTTGACAACCTTCAAGAAGTCATCGGTCACCTTCACGCTAGGCAGACTCATGCCAGCCCCCTCGGCAAGGCTAGCAGCATGCCTCAAATCCTTCCTCGCCAAATCAACAGCAAACAGCGGCTCCTCACGCTTAAAGTACTCCCCCGTCGCCATGCGCTCAGCATACTTCGCAAACGGGCCGGGGAACATAGTCGACACCCACTGCTGGTACACGTCCGTGCCCAGACCCGACTTCTCAGCGGCGACTAGACCCTCAGCTAGCGTCTCCACGGTGTTCAGGATGAACGTGTTGCCGAGGACCTTGAGCAGCGAGGCGCGGCCGACGTCCTTCTCGGCTTCGGGGCCGACGTCCAGAACAGCCTTGGAGGTTACGCCTTCGAGGAAGGGCTGGATGCGCTTGATTGCCTCCTGGGAGCCGGCGGGGACGACGACCATCTGGCCTGCGTCGGCGGCGTTGGGGGCGCCGAAGACGGGGCACGCGATGAATGATGCGCCCTTGGAGGCGAGGGTGGAATGGATGCGGCGGGATGTGTCTGGGTGGACGGTGGAGCAGTCGACGATGATCTTGCCCTTGAGGGTCAGGGAGTCGTCTGAGGTGATGGTGTTGATGATCTGGTCGAGGGCTGGGTCATCGCCGACGCAGATGAAGGTGATGGAGGCATCCTCGACGGCTGTGGAGAGAGATGAGACCGCAACAGCCGCTTGGGACTTCTCGGCGTTGATGGACTCTGCAAACGCGCTTGCTTTGGATGCGGTCCTGTTGTAGAGGGCCAACGGGGTCTTTTGGGGACCTTTGAGCGCAATGTTGCGGCTCATTCCCTGGGATTGTTAGCCGTTGTTCTTCGATGAGGGGCAGGTGGTGTACCCGGCCGATGTTCCCCAGGCCAATCCAGGCTACAGTCTCAGATGCCATTGTGTCGGGGTGAGTGTTGAAGGGTTGTTCAGCTGGAACTGTGATGGATGAGACTTTAGGCAATTGATGAGGAGCGATGCGAGAGGTTACGTAGCTGTTTAAGTATGCCGCGGTTTAGGGATTAACCGGCTGCTTACCAACAAGAGGTCCTTTCAAGTTGAGTCACAAGTGATCGTCTCCCCACTCTGCCCCAGCTCGGAAGCTTGTTTCAATTGATTAGTCTACTTTTACATCTATACGAGGCTACGTACCATGGCCCAGCCTGGGCTCATGGCGGAGACTAGACCATGGCAGGCTTGGTGCGGCCCCAACTGCTGCCGAAATCGTCCGAAGTTCTACACCGAGCGAACTATACAGCTGAAACTTCTTAATTTGCTGAATAAACATGACAGTCAACGTTGTACAGAATGAAGATTCTTCCAGAACTTGCCAATACCCCCAAGATGTGGCTCTAATCTCTAGGCTCTAGGCTCTAGTCTTCGAGCATCTCTATGATCTTTTCACAGGCCACGACTCGTCCTTCCGAAGAGCCGAGCTTTGATGCAATTGCCTTGGCGTTGTCACGAATCGTGGTGCAATCCTCGCTATGCAAAACAGTGAGAAACGCCTTGCCTAGCTCGGGGACATTGACTGCAGGCGCACTCGTCTTGCTTCCCCAAACTCCTATTCCGAGGTACTCCACACGCGCGGCGAAGTCGTACGTGTCGAACCAGACGGGGAGGACGATCTGCGGTACACCAGCCCTAAGAAGATGTTTGTCAGCCAGCACTCTTATACGAGAAGTTTTTAGAGATACTCACCGTGCAGCCTCGTTATACGAGTTCGCGCCTCCATGGTGAACCATACAACAGACACGTCCGCTCTGGAGAATGCAAATTGGTTCGACGGGAAGCCACTCTTCAATACGTACACGGCCGACTGACACCTCGTCGAAGATATCCATCAGAGCTTCAGGGATCCAATCCGCAGGTTCTACCTTGCGGTCAGGCTTCAGCTTCCAGAGGACCTGTACATCGGGTCTAGCATCCAAGATCATGCGCAGACCATCGGCGAACTTTCTAGCCTGGATACGGTCATAGCACACAAGCGATCCAAGATTGATCAAAATAGTAGGACCATATTTCAGCCATTTGGCCAGGTCCGGGCACGCCTCGCTGATCGGAGCACAAGGACGCAGGATCGGACCGCAGCTCGTTATGCCGTCTGGGATGAAGCAAGGGAAGTCGATAGCAGGATGTGAAGCCATGAGTATAGGCGTGGGGCTCTTCTCGGAGGACATCATAACCGGGTATGGGCCAGTGATACCTTCGGCGTGACGGCGTTCATCGATGGCCTTGAAGACGGGCGAGTTGAAAAATGTGAGTCCGCCACTGATGGCAAGATATGCGTTGGGTAGGACGTATTTCCAGGGTACGGGGAATGAGTATCCAGAGCAGAGGCTACATCAACGTCAGTCAATATATAATTAAGTCAGGGTCAGATACATGCAAGACTTACCTCGGAAACTTCCAAAGATTTGCTAGATATGGCTGCACCACATGATCCTTCGCGGTGTTCGGACTCAAGATCACATACTTACACTGAAGCATTCGGCAAGCATCGATAGCCTGAGCAAGAAGAGGCTCAATGACGACGATTGAGGGCTGAACTTCCTTGATGATTTCAATGCACCTATTGTAGGCCGCAATATACTCATCTCCAGTCCAAGGTACCATGAGACCACACAGCATGGGATAAGCCTTACGAGCGCCGAAGAGGCCAATGTCATGGGAATTGAACCAGCTGCTGGATGGGCTGCCGGATGAGCTGCGGCTGGATGGATTGCTGCCAGTGCCGAACATCACAGCCTCTGCCATGGACCGACCAGGTAGAGCATGGAAGGTTGCGCTTGTGGACGAGGACTGCAATAGGGTAGCCTGGACTTGGACGTTGAGATGGGACACGGTTGGTTCAAGCCCTGGAAACGAGGCGATGTGGACGTCGTGGGACTGACGGATGAGGAACTCATGGGCAACTGCCAGGGCGACAGTAGCTTGTCCTAGCTCTTGGTTGGTCACGAAGAGAATGCTTGGTTTTGCCATTTTTTGGTGTTGATGGGTTTGACGAGGGAGATGGTGTTGGGAAGAAAGAGGAAATTGGAGAAAAAGAAGCTAAAACAGAATATTGGAAGGGCATTATATAGACAAGATAGATGAGGCAAATACAGGATGTGTTACTGGTTCTGGGTGGGGTGAATAAGATAGTGAATTCTCAATTAACACAGCCCTATGTACAGTGAGCAAGTATTCACTAAACAAGCTTCTTGACTCTAACCTATTTACACAGTTGTGAAGTAAAGAGTGTTCAGTGAATAGATATCGGACTTGTGTACCATAACATGCCACAATCAACTATCATCTTGAGCCATGCTTGAATAACAGGGCCACTGAGTAGAGCGGTACATTTCTCCAACAGATGAAATATAATCTATCTAGCACATCACACGGAGTCTCTTACCTCTAACAAACAATGATCAGGATATTAGACTGTCATACAAGCTGGAATAAATATCTAACCCATGCTCGTGAAGATAACAGCTTTGGGATGACTGTGTTGCTCCCGAAGCGACTGCTCTACAGTCAAGAGCAGACGCGTGGTACGGATATGAAGCTCTGCCGCCCATGTCAGCCTTGACCCAGAATTAAAAGCAATGAAAAAATACCATCAATCACAATCTCATAGCTGGAAAACGTTTCTTCGTCTCGATGGATTAGCACAGGGAAGTTGGAATCTGGCTTGGTGATCTCGCGGACTCGAAATTTCAGGCCGACATTTTTGCTTTGGTCAACCCACAAGACTCCATCATCTTGATTTACAGGGGTGTGTTCTTGTTCTCGCGAGTCCTGTGGGCGACCAACCTGGCTTTTGAGCCAGGCTCTGAACAGCCTCATCACACCGTCCTCGACACCTACGGCGCTCAGAAAGACATCAGTCCCTGGGAGAACCTTCACCACGTTCACGACCACGCATAGCTGGTAGAAATCTTCGAAGCTTTCGATACTGACGGGTCGTCGTACTGCGAGTGAATCTTCCTTCGGAACCGTGGTATCTTAGTCCGGTCAGCCTATCGATCAGTCTAGCATTGACTTTACACCATAATCAAGCCCACACTCACCCAGCGTCTCCTCGGTCTCTTCTGGCTTGAACACAGAGTATAATGTTCCAAGTCTCTCAAGTTTGTGTGCAGTGTCTATGTTCTCGTAGAGTGAACCTTCTCCCTCGTACTTGTCACTTAGGCCAGGTGTGCCGAGGTATTTACAGAAGGCGTACGGCTCGGTCAGCTTGGATGTTGGGTGATAGCATTCTAGGATCAGTTTGTAATCTGTCAATTGCGCTGAAAGAAGGAGTCGGTAATGCAAGAGACGCAGGACTAGGGCATGGAAGCGTTGGGAGACTGCGGCCAGATCGAGGAGTTCGCGAGTAGTAAACGGCGTTAGAATTTGGACGAACACCTGGCATATATTTAGAGCATATTTCAGTAGCATGCCAGTAGATAATACCTCATTAGGCAACGAGTATAGATGGAGTTCTGATGCAGAGTCGACGGCCATCTTGATAGATGTTTTGTTCACTTCCAGGAGTGCGGGGTAGCTGGGGTATGGATGAATCGCCTAGCTAGAAGGAAGAGCTGACCATGTCCTTGCCAGGTATAACATCACAAGAAGCAAACGGTCTTACATTGCTCCAGGGTATCTGAGGCTTATCTGGCTGGCGATAAGCATTCACTACTAGCATAGAGCAGTTGTACTCCGTATCTCCTACCCCAGCATAGAACTCCTCATGACGTCACTTACTGCCTTAAATACTAGGCATGTATCGGCCCGAGTCGGCCAAAATGTTTCGGCTCTCTCCGCGTTCCTGACTCCATACAAACGAGAGGGCCAAGGTGGCCGTGATACTGCTTCGTACTCAGGAGCTTCCCTGGATATCCTCGCCAATGTATCGTGTTGATATACCTCTTGTTGGGATACCTACCACATGCGCGATTTCTGGCTGGACAATACCTAGAACAAACTCAGAGCCTGAGAATATGAAAGCCCTCGCGGTCAAATGCCCCGAGGAAATTAGCCGTCCCAGCAAATGGCGAGTGATGTAGCGTCGCATTCTGACAGGAAATGCCCCTCCGCGCCCGGAAGAATTCATGCTTCGGTTCCCCGCGGTCTTCCCCTCCACATGTCCTAAAGCCTAGCTCATAATAAATTCTTTCCCTCTTGTTTAATTCCATCTTCTTCTTCCCCCCTGTTTTGCCCTCTCCCTTGACCCCTAACATATCCATTGAAAATGGTCGAAAGCGTCCTCAACGACATCTCCCATCGGAGATATAACCCTCTCCGCGGTGCCTACGTGCTGGTCTCCCCCCACCGTACCAAGCGCCCCTGGCAGTAAGCTATATCCAATTTCTAGTGGCCTTCAAGCGCATGATGGCGCGGGGAATGCAGAACAAGGTGTTTTCTAATATGCAACAGAGGCGCCCAAGAAACACCCTCCAAGACAACCCTACCTGACTACGACGCTACCTGCTACCTTTGCCCTGGTAACAAGCGTGCGCAGGGAGACCACAACCCCAAGTACGAAAAGACTTTCATTTTCGTAAACGACTACAGCGCAGTCAAGGAGGAACAGGCGCCCTACTACCCAGAGTCCGGAGACGGTACGTCAGTGGAAGACCGTCCATTACAATCTTCCTAACAGACCCTCCAGATGCCGAATCGTTCTTTCTCCGCGCGGACCCGGTCACCGGCAAATGCTACGTGCTCACCTTCTCTGCTGCCCACAACCTAACCCTAGCGGACCTCTCCCCGGCCGAGATCGTCCCTGTCATCACCGCCTGGACAGACGTCTACATCGCGCACCTGTCACCCAACAGCGCTCTCGCGGCCGACGCATCCAAAATCACCATCTCTCCCGACTCTCCTGCAGCAAGCCTCTCCAAGCCCAAAGAACAATACCGCTACATGCAAATCTTCGAGAACAAGGGCGCGGCAATGGGCTGCTCGAACCCACACCCGCACGGCCAGATCTGGACAACCAGTTCTCTCCCTGAAGAACTCGCCGCTGAACTGGAGCAGATGAAGAAGTACCGCCGCGAGCACGACGGAAGACACATGCTGGCCGACTACGCCGCACTCGAGAGCAAGAAGCAGGAGCGCGTGGTCTTTGAGAACGATGCGTTCCTTGTCGTTTGCCCCTGGTGGGCGATCTGGCCGTTTGAGACTATGATCGTTAGCAAGACGCACAAGCGTGCTCTTGTTGATCTTGATGACGGCGAAAAGACACAGCTTGCTGAGGCGATTGCTGAAGTTACCAGGCGGTACGATAACCTCTTTGAGACGCACTTCCCCTACAGCATGGGAATTCACCAGGCGCCGTTGGAGGGGTCAGAGGAGGAGATTGAGGCGTCGTACCTGCATCTGCATTTCTATCCGCCTTTGTTGAGGAGTGCGACGGTGAGGAAGTTTTTGGTTGGGTAAGTCCTCCCTAACATCTGAGTGTCAGTGGGTCGTTGCTGACCATAAACAGATATGAGTTGATGGCTGAGCCTCAGCGTGATATCACCCCCGAGCAGGCGGCCGCCCGGTTACGGGGTTGTGGTGGCGAGTTGTACCGGAAGAAGTTGGATTCCTAGGGATGAAGCCGACGAGTTGGTTGGATCTTGGCACCTAATGTAGATATGTAGCAGTAGTACGTGATAACGAGAATAACAAGAAAAATGTTGAAGAGGACGTTCATCATGAGTCATCAATAAAACAGTAGCAGGATCTACAAAGGTCAAGACACCCACCAGGCCGAAGACAAAGTGAGGCTAGCAAGGTGAACAGAGAGCAAGAGCAGGGAAAATAATGGGATTCGTCAAGAGACCCGATCAGTCGTCCGGAGTCACATAATATTTCTTTTCGATTTCTAAATGTGAAATCCTATTTCATTTTCCATTGCCCAATATCATATGCTTTCCGCCCGCCGGAATAGCAGCGCGTGCAATGCAGGAACCCAGAGCCGAACAAGGAAATCGCAAAATTAGAAGACAAGAGCGGCACCCTTGGTCTTCTTGTCACCACTGTACGAACACACATGTTAGCACCAGGCACCTTCAAGTATTCAACGAGCGCAACGTACCCCAACTCGAAGTGCTTGCAGCGCTTGAGAGCGAGCTGCTTCTTGGTCTTGCACTGAGTGCACTCGAGGCGCAGGACGACCTTCTTGGTGGTCTTCGCCTTCTTGTGGAAGACGGGCTTGGTCTGACCACCGTAACCGCTCTGCTTACGGTCGTAACGGCGCTTACCCTGGGCGAATAGGGAGGCCTGAATAGTCGCATCCATATCAGCATTCGTTCAGTCGTGTCCGTGGGATGCGGTGGTGTTCACCTTTCCAGCCTTGTACTGGGTGACCTTGTGCTGGGTGTGCTTGTGGCACTCCTTGCCCTTGCAGTACGTCTTGCGGGTCTTGGGAACGTTGACCTATTGCACGAGAACTCGTCAGTTTCTGGTGCGTGGAATGTAAACTGATGGACATAGTGCGGTCGGAGTCGGAACTCCGCTACACTGCATGTCCCTGGACTTTGAAGAAATGTATATTCGAAATCGTGCTTCGGAATATAAGCGTGCTAACAAAACTTCGTAGTCGTCGTCTATTGCGGGCTTAGGCTCTGGTCTCCGATCGCACGCTGGTTGTAATATTCGAGGTAGCCGAAGGTCGCTCCGTCATGAGACTGATTCCACAGACTGTTGGTCCCTTGCGCACACCATCATTCCGCGTGTCCAACCGCTTGCGTTGACGAAGATTCTTTCATAGGTGTCGAGTGCCGTCTCGGTATGCATTCGCCATCCTTTCCTTGTCGCCGTAGCCGCTATCGCCGTCCATTGAATCGCTCCGCAAAAGACGTATATTTCGAATCGAATTTCTCCAAAGTCCAGGAACCGACAGCGCACTCGATAATGGAATATGGTCTCTTACCATTTTGACTGATTTTGCCGGCTCGCGGGTTGCTGGTCGTTAGTGGTCTCTTGTCGTGAGATCAAGTCGGGTCAGGCGTGGTTGTGGGATTTCGTTTCGCTTAGGCCGGCCCTATCGGCGTGTGGACGGTCTAAACTTCTTTTGGTCGTGCCAAGCCATCGGATCCAACCAATTCTACTCCATCATGCCTGAGGCGCTAACATGTTCAATTCCCTCTCTATGTTCACTTGTCTATTGATTCTCTATTCAACATCTTATCAGAGCCTGGATCTGAGTGCCTGGCATGAATTCGGGTTACTCAGACGCTCTCCCGACCAGCACCTTCTCACCACCCCCATACCACGATGGCCCCTTGTTAAATTCCAAACCTTGCTCCTGCCCAACAACCCATTCTCCCTTCGCTGGTATACTATCCTCTCCATCTTCTCGGGGCCAGTACTTCTCTTTCAACATCGCATTCACCCCCTCTATCCTCTGGACTAATGTAGCCACATTGCTGCCATCCATTTTCTCATCGTCAAGCAAGAACCCATTCTGGGTCACAAATCTCGCAATGGTAACGTGCGCCGAAGGCACAACATACCTCGCCGCCAATGCAACTCCGGACTCAAGGACTGTGGCGGCCAGGTCTCGGCGTAGATGGTGGTAGCTATATGCATCTTCATGCGGCCATTTATCTACCGCTATAGGCTCTCCGGCGGCAGGGAGAAAGCTCAGTGCCATTGCCGAGGCGTCATAGCTGACAATGGGCTTGACGAGGCGTACGCGATGGTTGTTATCAGGTATGTAGTTGGCGAGCTTCTGTGCGGTGCCGTCCTGCAAGAGCCGTCCAGCTAGGGCGTCGATTTCTTCTTGGGTGCATGAACTGGCTATCTCCAGCGTTGTGATATGCAGCGACTCGGGAGGCGAGAACCAGAGAGCTAGTAGATGTTAGCAGATTTTGTTTACTTTCAGAGGTAAAGAGACTGGGTTGGTACGAACAAGGTGCTACATCAACAATCTCCTGCTGAATCTCAGCAACCAGCTCTTTGATGTGCTTTGGTGGCCGAGCGTAGAGATTCAAGTTATGACGGTGGTCGACAAACTTTACTAATGCTAATGTCGGTGCTGCTTCTGGCGCTGCGACTTCACCGTCATTTTGAACGACGGATTGCGCGACTAGCTTGCTCAGGATCTCGTCAATTTGCCAGCCAGCGAAGTCCTGATGGAGGAGTTTCTCCCGAAACTGGGCATTTCTGTTTGTACGGTGAGTTTCGTATCGCGCTTGGATCACCTTCTATTGGTATCGGAATTAGCATAGCTCTGATATTTGTTGTACCTGGAAACTAGGCCCTTACGGGGTTATTTTGGCAGTTGACAAGTAGCTCATCAAAAGGGTTCGTAAGAGGTGACAACATTATCAAGCTGGGTGGACAGATCCTTCCTTGATTGATGCCGGTATAGATCCCAAATCAAAATGTAGAGTGGTCTGCGGAAACTGGCTATATATACCGGTTAAAAGCATGGGCTACTGCGTGTATATATTTCCTTTTCCCTATCCTTCTTCCTATCGCGCGAAACTGATCGTGGATATGCAAAACACCCCTGACTCAGCACTGAAGTCCCATGAAAGCCTGCATATTCTTCTGTGATCAAAGATGTGTCCTTCACATTTGTTGTGAAGCCTATGCTAGGCATCCTTTACCATCAGTGTTGCTCTGCCCCACTATTACCTAGACCCCGCCACGCCCACGGCAGGCTTTCCGTCATCCTCTCTAACTCTCTCTATCAAACGCCGGCATCTTCCCCTCATTATCACCTCCATTAGCCCTTGCTCACCTATACCTCACTCCACCGAAATACTTTCAAGCAAGCGGTTAAACTGCCACAGCCCTCAAAATGTTGATCAAGTCAGTTTACACCATCCACCATCCATTCTCTTGCAGCGGCTAACGGGAGATCTCCAACGCCCAGGGTCCGTACACTTACCGGAAAGGAGATCGAGCTGGACATCGAGGCCGACTACAAGGTATAATATACGGCGCGATCTGATACCAACTCTACGATGCTGATAGCTATCCTAGGTTTCTCGGATAAAGGAGCGTGTTGAGGAGAAGGAGGGTATCCCGCCTGTCCAGCAGCGGTTGATTTTCGGTGGAAAACAAATGTATGTCAAGGCTTCTGGCATTTTTATTTCTATCGCTTACCTGTCTTCTTGCTTGTAGGGCCGATGACAAGACCGCCCAAGACTACAACCTTGAAGGTGGCGCGACACTACATCTCGTCCTTGCCCTCCGAGGCGGCTGCGACGCCCTCTAGTTGATTTCTTTATGTCGGGCAATCGAACGACTTACCCCTTCGGAAGCACAAGCGACAGGTCTTCTGTTTCGACCATGGTGACAAGTTGGAACGGTGGAGCCGGGCTGCACAATGGGAACGACGCGAAATCTAGGTACTGCGAGGTGGTTTGCGCTTTAATATACCCAAGTTGAAGACGGGCATGATATCTTGGTCTTGATGCTTTGCCGCTGGGAGCAAAGGAGCAGTATCATGCACCCGGAGTTTTCAGCATGATTCAAGAGTATGACACCCATATGGGCGCACTCACCTCATGTGACATATGAATCCACACGATAAACTATCTCGTCGCCGCTCGTTCGGCATCGGGTAAGCAGGACGCCCGAATATGTAGATGTTCGAATGACCGTGAGCACGAATGCGAACGCGTAGTATCCTAAACAGGCGTAGACGATGTGGAATTTGATTGAGGACCGCACCGGGGCATCGCTGAGAGACGGCACTCCAACGCCCACCCGGCTCCAAAAAAAAAAAACCCGTGTACATAGATACCCCAAACTCCGCAGCAATATCCGCCAGCTCACTAACGCCAAAAAGTAAACGAGATACAAAGTTCGTAGTCAAAACCGCCTACCGCACAAGCCAACGCCCATTGCTAAAGATAAATAGAGATAAATACCGACGAAGAAGAAGTTAGTTCATCCTCTTCTTCTTCGGTTGAATGAAAAGGTTAGGAGCGGGCCGTTTCCGAATTGTTGCGCGAGGTGGTGACGCCCTTGACGCTTCTGAAATCGTATTAGCACCAGGGCGAGAAGACTCGGCGCCCGATGAAGTTCTGGCTGACACAGATATTTCCGTAGAAGACATTTGTTGAGGGGTGTGGGATCGGGAAGAGGCTGCAACGTGGCCCGAGGCGATCGCACGTAGTCTGGCTTCTCTCTCCCGCAGAGATGAGTTATTAGCAGCTGGAGAGCCGCTTTGGCTTCTGCTTCCTGAAACATCCTGCAAGGGAGAGCGCCTGGGGGCCCGTAGCAGTGGTCGCCGAGCGACGGCCGGCTCAGCAGGTCGACGATGAGCCTCTACTAAAGAGCGTGGAGCCTGCTGCACCTGCGTCGCCCTGTTGTTGAGCTGCTTAGTCGGAACAGCTAAAACGTTGTTTCTCTTTGTGGCGGAGAATATGTTCTTCTTCTTTGGTGCGAAGCCCGCGAATGTGCTATATCGATGCCGGGCAGTCGTCCGGCTCCGCGGGACGCCGATGGTCCTTCGGTCGGCCACAAATTTGGTGCTATGCTTCTCTCGTTCCGAGCTCAAGCCATCGAGGGCCATCTTGAGTCTTTCCGCATCCTCATCTACTCCCCTTTGGACTTCATCTCGTAGTTCACAATATAGGTCGTACCAGCAGTCCGGCTGCTCTTGCAAGGGGAATTCGTCCCAGTTGGGTATATCGCGCTTTATAAACTCGAGCCATAACTCGGAATCATCATTCATAATATGTGGTGATTGCACTTCGAGGGATCTCTGACTCGCGGGTTAGGGGTGGGTAAACCGTAAGGGTGCGAGTCGGCAACTAACCAGCTTCTCCGGGCTTTCAATCTTGAGCAGGAAAGGGCGAGCAAGCGCATAAGGAATGTTGCCGATATCGTTGAGATCTAAAAAGCAAGTGAGGTCAGTAAGAGCGCCTGAGAGCGTAAAGGTCTCCTCCACTTACACTTCACGTTCCGAATCGCAGTCGCAGTACAGAGCTGGCGCAAGGTTGGGGGAGACATAGTGGACGACTCGAATGACAACCAAAATGAGACCAAAAAGAGAGCATGGGCGAATTATAACATATCATACTAGCAGAAAGGCATGCAAGAATCGCCCGAAATTCACAATCAAAGATAAGACGAAGTGAATGGGTATTCAAGCTGCGGTTCCAGCGTTTATATATGGCCGGCGGCGTCGATCCAGCCCGAAACGGATGACATCACATGATTGGCTGAGATAAAAAGAGACCGAGTTTCAGCCTCTCATTCACTTTGCTTTGGTATTCAGCCATGTTACTAAGTTTGGTCACTTCGGCGGCAGCACACTCTGCGCAGTGAGCGGAGTTGAAAGTGAAATACCTGAGACCAGTTCCTGTCTGGAATGGGACAGCTAATTCCAAAGAATGGCCCCCTTTGGCCGGCCGCACATATATTGTTTCACCGTGTTGGGGACCGCTTGGTTTTTTCAATCTGGACTGATTGTGTGATTGGCACCTTGTAAGTTGAGTATCGTTTTTGGAGTCGCCTGGATATGGTGCCAGTCTCCGACAAGTGGAATACGACTGTCGGCTTTCAAGTATACGGCCCTGTTACGACTTGAGCGACCTTTGTCCGCGGTTGAAGATCAAGTCCTTCAACGCGTGGCCTCCGTACTCATTGCGGGACAATGCCGCGAAAAAGATGAAGTGAGTCATCAAAAGCATGTATGATTGATTCTTAACCTAAACAACAACAGAGACGACTAAGTCGTCCATGGAATAGGACCTAACAGATAGCAAAACAGTCGACAGAAGAGTCGGGGAATCACAAGGTATCAAGAAGCGTGAATCAAACAGGGCTTATCACCCAGCTAGCCCTACTTGCTGGCCACGGCCTTGGGATTTGCTGCGCCTTCGCCATCTGGTAGCTGAGCAAACCATTGCGGGGGCTTGATGCCAGTCTGATCATGAATCGTGCTGAGCAGGGGAGGAAGACCTTGCATAATATTTCGGATCGGGCCCATTGCATCGCCAGGACCGCTTGCATCTGTTCGCACGGTTTATTAGTAAAATCCATAGCCGCGAGCATGAGGAAACACTTACCGCCAGTGTTCCATGTGGTGATCTTGGGCTGAAGACCTTGAATAGCCTGGCCGTTGGCCAGAGCCAGTCTCTCGTACATGCCGGTCTCGATCATCTTCCACTGGAGGAAAGCGTCGGGACCACCGAGGACGCCAATAAGGGCCCCGTAAGCCTTGGCCATTTCGAGGACACCTTCGGCTTCGCGCTTCTTTGTGTTAAACGCGGCATCTGCGTCTCTGGACGAGCGGTAGACTGCGCTTGATTAGTACACCCTTCGGCATGGAGACATTGCCCGGCGACTTACATTTCGCATCTGCTTCCATTTTGTCTTCGTAGAGCTTCGCTTCTGCAGCCTTCGTGCTAGAGTAGTAAAGCGCATCTGCCTGTTCCTGGGCAGACTCTCGCTCCACTTTACTCTTGGTGACCTGCTTAGCCCTAAGGCGCTCGAGCTCTGTCTCCGCCCGCTTGGTCTCAACCTGCTTCTGCAGCTCTGCGTCCCTCGTTTCCGTTTGACGCTTAGCAATGATCTTGCCCATTTCCACTTGGGAATCAAGCTCTGTCTGGCGGTTCATGAGCTCAGAGTCGGCCTTGGCTTTTTCGGCCTTTCGCTTGGTTTCGAGAACGGCGGTGTCCGCATCGATCTTGGAGATTTCTTGCTTGGTCCGTCCCTTCTTCTCGGCCTCACCAATCTCACCTCTCATCCGGGCTTCTGCGACATCTATTTTGGCCTGGTTCAGGGCGCCTTCGTGGGCCTTTCGACTTAGGAAGGCGAAGTACTCGCTGCCCTTGGTGTCCTGGAGCTCCTTGACGTTGGCATTGTAACTAGGACATGGTCAGTTGTAGCCCACTATATGGTATGACGGAACGCACATTTTGAGTCCGAACTGCTCAAGTTCGTTCTGGACATTGGCGATGACTTTCGACTTGAAGATTTGGCGCTCCTTGAAGATTTCCTCCATCGTCATGCTGGAAACGATGACGCGGGTTTCGCCTTCGATGATACCCTTCACGATATCCTGGACATGGTTTCTAGTAGCCGGTGTGGTCAGTTCTTCTACCGCCGGTTGCCTGGCGGACTTTTCGTCGGCTTTGCCAGATAGCAAGAGCGCGTATTTTTTGAGGGACGACAGCTTGTCCTCTGGGCCGATGGTGAATACTGCAGGTAGCGAGAACTGAAGCTTTTCGATTGTCATGGCCTGCAGGCTAAGGGAGAAGTCGAACGGCATGACCGAGATTCTTGCGCACTGCAGACATGGTCAGAAGAGTCGCTGATGACTGTGTCTTGTAGAACATACCCGCTGCCATGGCCATACCCAGGCTTTTTTGAGAATCTCGATGTCTGCGATCCCGGCTCCAGTGAGCACGAGGTACTCGCTTGGTTCAGCAATGCAGTATCTGCAAGTCCAAATTAAGATCGGTTGATAACAGGCTCAAAATGGATATTACATACCTCATGTTGTCAATGGATGGGCAGATATATATTCCGAATGACAAAGTATGAGACGAGACGATGGAAGATGTAAGGAGCTAGGATTACGACAGGCGCAGGGCCACTTATATATGCAGTTTTCTACGAATGCAAGACATGTAAATGGGTCAAAGGAACTCTCTTTGCCGTTTGCCGGGGACAGCTGGGCAGTGCCCTGTCGCCCGGTTTGAGAGGCCGTAAAGATGTTTGACAACAAGGTTTATCAGCCTACTCATCCGCCATGCGCTGCCGACCTTTCGCTGTCAGAGTAAGCGAGCGCCGAGCACATGCAGTACAGATGCACGCTCTGAGGTGCCGGGCAATTTGCAGCGGAGTATGCGATGCTGTTACTGGTTGGTTGTGTGCCCCGGGGGCCCGGACGCTGATCGCGGGGAAGACGAGCCTCATGGTAGGATGATCTTTCAACCAGAATGCCCAATAACGGCGAGAGAAGATGAGCCAAGCTGCCTTAGGCCGAGAGGCTATGATGGTCGGCAAGGCTGAAAATGCCGACTCCTTGACCCTACCGTCGGTAAGTTTGCGCAGCCTCGCGAAGCTTCAGTATCACTGCCCCTGGATAGGTAAGGCAGCTCAGCATAATGCCGGAGTTGCCCACTTGCCCGGTTGGTGGACCCATTGCGACAGTTTTGATCATAATGTCTCTGGTCGTTTTGGGGACGAAGAGACACTGAAGGAGAGAGAGCTGTAGAGGCCGTCGCAGTCTTTCAAGCTTGGTCCAATCAAATGGTCGGGTGGGGAAAGCTCATGCAGCCATGCTTCTACCCGATACCTACCTAAGCAGAACAAACAGTGCAAACCCCTTTATCACCAGCGTCATCGGAAGTGGAGGGGCAGAAGCTGGTTTAACATCGCTACCTCATCAAGTGCTCAAAAGTTGAATTTACTGAGACATAAGCCGCAATTAAGACAGTACGGCGTAGGTGAGTTCCGGGATCCTGTTTTTCTGAACCCGCAGTCGTATACTGCACCTTAAAGACATCAGAGTCATCGCGCTCTTTGTATGCTCCCCGCCACAACCATACTCCGAATATTGATAGGTTCTAATCGGCCACTGTTATCTCTTCCTATTTCTGCTTTTCCACATCCTGATAGAGAAATACTTATGCAAAGCTAAGGAATAGGAACATCATGGCTCCGCGCTCTCAGCTAGAAATCACCACAAGCGCCGTCCTGCGCCTGATCAAGGAAGAGGAGTCATACCGCCGCGAGGCAGAGCAGCAGAACGAAAGAATTGCGAAGCTAGAAGCTCAAGACCCTAGTGCAGATGAAAACAGAGACTACATGCTGAAGCAAGAGGTAAGCTGCGTTCTCGGCACTCTTAGCCTATCAGGCACGGCTTGCTGATCGTGTGTGTCAGCGTGCTGCACTGGATGAGACGGTGAGGATTTTCCCGAGTTTGAAGCAGAAGATTGAAGAGTCTATTACCAAGCTCGATGGCCTACTGGTGAGTTCTCGTTTTGATAAGCTTTGTGCGACCATACTGAGACTTGCGTTAGATCGAAGAGGGAAAGAAGGGAGCTGAAAGCAACGTTGAGCATATCAATGCCGCTAAAGAAGCCATTGCAAAGGCCAGGGTTGCCGAGCGGGAAATTGCTTGAATGATTGATGACTCCAGAAACCAATGATAAACATGTCCACTGGGACAGGAAGTATGTGAATTCATAAAAATCCGTTTCCGGGAAGTAAGCCACCACCTGACTCCTGACTCCGTGAATGCATAAAACCATATCCTCTATGTAGTGTCCATTTTGTCGCCGTTGCGGTCATCCGGTAACTCTTCGCCTTCCTCAAGATCGTCATGTTGTTCGCCCTCATCACCCGTCACCTCGCCCTCGTCCACCATGGTCGCGTCTTCTTTGTCTGTTTCGGCAGTGGTAACTTGCCGGAGAGGTGTCGTAGCTCCAGGCGTGGCTTTGTCCGCCGGTACTGCGAGAGGCGAACGACTCGCTTCATCTTGACCTGGCTGGGAAGGCGTTGAGCTCTCTTCTGGCCGAGGTGTGTTGGCACCGCTCAATTTCCCCTTGGAAGCTTTCTCATCGTCTTCATCCTCATCCTCTTGCATGCCTTCTCGACGCTCTACCTCCTCCTTCTCGTCTCGAATCAATCGCCGAAGCTGCATTCCTTCTTCCACAATGCGACCAAATTGTTCTCGTCTCTCTGCCCAAGTCTTCGCGTAATCTCTGCTCTCGTTTTCCAACTCTGCAATCTCCGCCTGCAGTTTTTGCAGATTTGCCTGCTGATCTTCTCGCGGCTTCAGCAGTCTGTTGCTGGTGATCTTTTCCGTCTGTTCGTCATAGCTTTTCCTTAGTATTAGAATTCGTTGCGCTTCCTCCAATTGAACGCGTAGCTCGGTAGTGCTATTGCGAACTGCCTGCATCGTGGAAAGAATTCGCTCCTTCTCGGCTACGTATCGTTCTCTTTCCTTCTCGTTGCTGGTGAGCAGGAACTGTATTCGTGCAATGCTGCCCTCAAAGGCCGCAAAGTCTAGCGATGCATCTTCACGAAATTGACGCCATTCCTCCAGCTTTTTCTGTTTCTCTGCCTCCGCAGCCGCCGCAGCCTTTTCGTCGGTTCCCTCGGGCGGGGGCGTAGGAAGCGGCGCATTCGTAATGACGATCGATTCGGGGTTTAGAAGGCGCTTGGAAATTCTTTTGAAAGGCTTTTCCTCGACATTCAGCAGACGCGACTTGTGGAGAGCATCTAGATTTCCAAAAGTTAGGTCTGAAACAAATCTGCGTTGGCACGAACCGACCTTCATCCGCCTGATCTAGCATCCCGTGAGACGTCATGATGGATGTGCTTATCCGCTACGCTGAATAAAAGGCGATGGAGGTGGGGGAGCGCGTGTTCCGCTTTCTCGGCCACCGAGAGGAGCTCGGGTCTGGCTTAAAGGGAGCGGTAGCGGTCAGTTGAAGCTGGAGAAACACGCTAGGCGGAAAGGTGACCCTCCGTCTCCTCTCAAACCCCCCATGCGGGTTGCTTTCTCAAACTATTACTGCAAATCTGCTACTATTGCTGTTACTGTTACTACTCCGTCTCTCCCTGAATTTTATTTCTTATATTCGACCAACCCTGCTGGCATCTGTTGGTTCACATTGAGCCCGGCTTTTCGGCTTACTTATTCAGATCGGCCCGATACCGTAACCTACTGGGATCCTCTGTGTTCGCCGTACTCACCTTTGCTCTTTCGAACACAATACCCTTCAGATCTATGATTACTGGTGCCTATTTACGTAAACGATGCGAAACCGGTCGTCGCGTTCTTGGGATCAGCAACATCGAATGAAATTCCACTGATGGAAAGCTCTTTCGGTACCGACTCGTCGCCATTCGTTTTGCGCCGTGAAACCTGATCGAAATGACGGAGATGTATTCGGGTCTCCATGTGGGCCAGCGGTTCCCATCGTTGGAGGACTTCAAAGCCCTGGTACGGAGTATATCTGTTCGGCAGCATTGGGAGCTTCGCGTGACGCGGAGCAACAAGAAGAGTGTGGTAATAGGCTGCCGGTCTGGGCCCAAGCCTGGACCCGACTGCTACTTTCGCGTCGTTTGTCGCGCAAATAGGAACGCAACGTATATCAGCAGTCTTTTGGATAATCATAGCTGTCGACACAATGCGACTTCCACGACGAAAACCCCGGCTCGTTCAGAAGCCTCCCATGTGCGGTTCCTGCTTCGTGAGATACCGAAATTGTTCAACATGCAGAACAAGATCAAGGCGCAGGAGGTTGTCGACGCGGTAAAGCGGTATCATGGATATGATATATCGACCAGACAGGCCCAGCGCGCTCTTATCAGGTTGCAGCAGCGGGATTCACAGCAGCAAAGCGATGCAGCCAATTCTTCAAGTGGGGAGGACCGGGAGAGTCAGCCGCCGCCTGTAGAAGGGCAGAGCGAGGGTTCAGCATATAGTGGAATTCCGGGCCAGAGGTGGCTGCCCGAGTCTGTTCCACCGAGTCTCGTTGATAGTACCCAACCGCCCCTGAACGGAGATCCACGAAACACGACCTTTTCGACCACACCTCTACAGGGACAGCCCATACAGCAACATCCGCAGCAGCTACATAATCCTCAGCGAGTACGACCCACTGTCCAGACACAACAGCCGCTGCCTCCGCCCACTCCCGTCCTTCAAGCGCCAGCTGTTCCACAACATGAGCAGACCCTTAACCATTCCCTCCAATCTCAGCAAACCTCTCAACAGCCTAACTATCCCCTACCGACTGCTACTCAACCTACTCGACAAACAGGACTCGCCAAATCTCCAACGCAAGCCCAACAACCTGGGCACGGTCATCATTCTGCACCCCAGCTGGTCCTGTCCAATTTCAAGATCGAATTTTCTTGCACTACGTGTGGAGCTCTGAATCAGAGTTTCTTCCCAAATCAAGGGAACGTCACTGGCGCACACTACGTTGCTCCGCAACCCATGCCCGAGCATGTCGGAATTCCACACGCGGGTCCCTCGGCACCTACAGCCGCTGCTCAGGGCATTGTTGAGAGCGCAACCGAACGCCTGAACGATGCGCATAGATTTGACAGCGCTCGTAGGGCTAGCACTCGCGGGGCGCCATCTCCTTGGGCGGCAACTGGCCCCATGGATGTTTCACTGGCTTCGGCGCATGCTCACAATAGCCCAACATAGGATTCGGGCCCTTGGCTTTCAATTATCTTTGCATTACACATTTCAACTTCGCCAGCGGAGCGCATTTCTCCTTTACTCTATCTAATACCCAATCTGACTCGGCGGACACTACCTCACTACTTATCGTTGCCGTACACATCTCTCCTACTATCTCAATTTCGCTCTCTCGTGCTATCTCCTTCGTACTCACCTCTCTGCCTGTCTTTTCTATGGTTCCTTTCTGTTCACCATCTATTCCCCACATACAGTGTCGAATTCTTCTTTTAGTGTATACCCGGACTCGAAATCAGCCGGTCCTTCAATATAATCCAATAGATAGGATGCATATCCTACATATTTTAGTAATCCACTGGCCGTTGTGTCTGGCCTTGATTTGAACTCCCGGCCAACAGAGAGCATCCAAGGGAAAAAAAAACCCTGTGGATGATAAGAGATGAGACATCATGATCGTTTCGATAGACTTATCACGATATCTAGTTAGTGCGATGTGATGAGTGGTGGTTCTTGGGCCAGGAACCGTCCACGGAACGCGTCTTGGCGGGTCTTTCAGATCCGAATGAGCCCAACCTTCTCCAACTATCCACTGTCCGTCATCGCCAACAATGACTACCCCTACCTCTCGCCATGAATCCTTCTGACCTGTCTGCCTCCCAGACAAGGGCTTCCTCTCCTTACCGAGACTACAATCCCCGCAAAAGAGGAAGAACGGCATGCACTCGCTGCAAGACCAGGAAGCAAAAGGTCGGTGCGCAATGTACTCTGAAACGCATCAGACTGACAAGTGTAGTGCGATAACGAGTACCCTGTCTGCTCTAACTGCCTCAGAGCCGGTGCAGAATGCGACAAGGCATCGGTCCGGCAGGAAAGTGGCTCTCAGAGCGAGTAGGTCATGTCAGCACCATGCATTGTTCTTACGGGAGCTGCTTACACGAACATCAATAGGTACACACGTGCTCTAGAAGAGCGCATTGCGTTTCTAGAGTCGCAGCTGGAGGCGGGGACGAGCAGTAGCAGGACTACCAGTGCACAACCGGTAGCTGCGTTTCTGTCTCCGAACAGTCAAGATGCTACAGGAGTAGGACAGGCAGGCTCTGCCGTGGGGCCTGGAAGTGGAATTGGAAATGGCATTGACCATAATGCTGTCGGGGAATTAGTCGGGTTTCTCGCCATCAACTCGTCCGAGGCACCTGCGTACATTGGCTCGAGTTCGGGGCTCTCCCTAGCAGCTAACCTGGGCGAGATGGTCCAGGCTACCGTGTGGAACCAGGTGTTGTCTTCGTCGCGCAACCAGCCTTCTTTGTCTGCTGATGGTAGAGGGAATGCAGATGCCGGCGTCAGTGGTCTTCCTCCGCAGCCCACGCCATCAGATAGGGCGCCTGGCTTGGACCGCCCGCGTACACTGCGCATGGAGGAGTTGCTTGCGAAGAGCACAGAACCGCCGAATGAGGAGATGGGCGGACGGATTCTTCATGCATACTTGACCAGACTCCATGTTCGCTATCCGTTTCTCGACCGCAAAGAACTATGGCGCCTGCACGAGGACCGGTGGCGGCTGGCCAAAGCGAAACGAGAAGAGCTTACCAAGTCTGAAAGATTTGGCATTTTCAAGCTGTATCTGACATATGCGATTGGAGCGACTACGATGCAGCTGAGCGAGAAGTACGACTATGTCCCACCAGAGGTACGTCACCTGTTTTGGACGCCAAAGCATGTGCTAACCGCGTCCAGCGCTTCTACATTACAGCCCTTCAGCAAGTGCCGGCTATGTGTGAGACCCGATCCGTAGAGAATGTCGAGGCAATGACCCTGCTGGTTGTATACCATCTCCGCTCTGCTTCTAGCCAAGGTGTCTGGTATATGATTGGTATGGCTATGCGTACCGCAATCGATCTTGGCCTGCACCGCAAGGCCAATGAAATCAACCTTGACCCAATCACGGCACAGATGCGTCGGCGTCTCTTTTGGACCGTATACTACCTAGAGCGGGTTGTATCAGTATCTCTCGGACGGCCTTTTAGTATTGCTGACAGGCATATCGACCTCCCTCTCCCTCTTGATGTTGACGACGACGTTCGTGATCCGGCGCTTCTTCCGCCAGCGTCTCCGACCATCTCACCCGAGGGTGGTACTAACAACCGTATCACGTCACTCACTTTTTCCATTTACCTTATCACACTCCGCCGCATCGACTCCCGCATTCAACACAAGATATACCGCGCCGACAGGCCGATACACTCACTCCGTTCAAAGATGGACCGCCTCTTCCTTGAATTGGAGGAGTGGAAGACATCCGCTCTCCAACGCTTTACAGGCTCTGACCTTGACTATCCCATGCTCCACTACAACCGGGCCCTCCGCCTCCTCATCCAACCCTTTCTTCCGTCACTCCCCCTCACAGACCCCTATTACCACATCTGCCTGCGCGCAGCGGGGGATATCTGCCAGACACATAAACGGCTCCACCAAACATTGGAATATGGCCACTCCTTCCTGGCCGTACAGACGGTCTTCATTTCTGGAATAACCCTACTCTACGCCCTCTGGACACATAGCGACCAAGTCTGGTCCGTCCGAATAAGCAATGACATCCGCGCTTGCTCGACTGTCCTGTTCGTCATGGGCGAGCGCGCCACATGGGTCAAGAAATACCGCGACGCCTTTGAGCTTCTCGTGAACGCTGCCATGGAAAAGCTCCAGGGCAACGAAGCGGCCAAAACAGCGGGGATGGCCGAGTTAATGACAGCCCAACATGCCGGACTCGGCGTTGGGCCCGGTGCTGGGTACAATCTTGGGATCGGCACGCCTGCCAGTCACGGCCAGGCCCCTGGTCCTGCAATGGCCGCGCCGGAGTATCCTGGTACTACGCATCCGCATCACACAGGCGTCGCCCCAGATTTGAATCTGGCCCAGGGACTCGTTGACTCCGCGAGTCAGGACCACGGCGTGCGGATGGCGCTACAGCTTGCACCTTGGATTGATCTCGAAGACGGACATGGGCCGTTCTGGGTTCCTGATTTTGAGACCCTAGAGAATTTCTCGGGAAATCTGTGGAGTGCTGGGGATCCCACGGCATTTAATCCGCTGTAGCTCCGTCAGTTTTGAAATTTCTGAAGTGACAAGTCCCAAGTGGACAGAGGTTGACGTATATCTGCCACGTTATTTGGTGGATAGACAAGCTCAGGGACAAAAAGAGGAGCCGTGGTTCCAAGGTTGCGCAGATCAGCGGATAAAGACCGCGCTCACCGCCCTGGACTGCGGGCCTGACTGCCGAGAAAGTGGCGGTCAATGCCTCCAGCCAATCAGAGACACGGGATGGGGCCGGTGCTGCACTATACAACGGTCTAGATCCAGGGCAACAGACGCAAGAGGGCTGATAGATTGCTATAGATTGTGATTGGGACTGGATAGGGGATACTGTCGGATAGGGGCAGATTATTGCCGACTTCATAGTCTTCAGAGAGACGATATCAATGCAGGGTCAGCACTGTAAGCACTGCTGCAAGGCACTGCTGAGTTGGAGGAATGCGGGGCATCAGAGTTCACTTGTTGCCCTTCGTGACAAATCTGAGAAGTCTAAACTTGCAAAGTGCTGACGATCGAGGACTAGACTGCATCACTAGCCGCCCGGGCAGCGAGCCCTCCACTCGTTCTGCAGCGTGGTCGTCGGTCCCTAGTCCCTAGTACGCTACTACTGTTTCTGTTGCCGCCAGAAAGACTAACAATAGACGGTGAGCGGCGATGTCGGCTGCAAGAAGGAGTGCGTGCTATAAATCTCCACGCCCGCGTTCTTTCTTTCTTTCGGCCCTGTCCGCTGACCACGTCCATACCACGGACAATTATCCGCTCCCTCTTCCTTAGGACCAAGATGTATCCCCTCCAGTACGTGTTGTCCAACTGCAGTTGCTATTGCCGCACGGACTGACCAGGCCAGACTACCCCTCTCAGAGCCCTAATCTTATCGCCTGGACGTCCTGGTGGCGCTCTGACAGACCTTCTTGACCATTCACGCCTTTTCCTATCCCGTATATCCCGCCAAACCCTTGCTGATCGTTCCGACCCTCCATTCGCGATCGCTGGGGCATGTGAGGCCATCCCGTCCTTCGTTGGAATTCGACTTCAGGCACTCATGACACAGCCTATCAACCATGGCCTCCATCACATGCCATCGTCATCTTTCTCCCGGCCCAGGTGGCTATGACCACTATGTTAACCATAATAATGGTACCCCTCCGCTTCATTTAGCTGCATCGACCCTTGCAGCTACTAGTTCTACTCCACTCTACTCCAATCCGGACCAACACTCGTATCCTACACCCACATCCCTGGCAGTGGCAGTGCCAGTGCCGTCTCTCGATATCCCGTCGGATACTAGTACTTCCTCTGGCGCTGTATCTGATCAACCTCACCCTTGCCACTCCTTCGACCTTGCTGGTGGCGTATATATACTTTCTGAATCTGAAACCACAACGCCGGGCAGACAAAATACTTCCAAACCTGCAAACGGCGGCATGGTCGAGTCTCCCTCATCACCTCCACCCTCATCCTCGCCCGATAAGCTGCGAACGCCGAAACGGAAACGAACTGTCTCTCCAACTGCTTCGTCCACAAAATCTCCCGGCGAGATCCGTTCAACTTCACGCAGTACACGGCGCTCTGGAGGGGGAAGTATAAATGGCCATACCCATAGTCGCCAAAGCTCGCTTCACTCCCATCGCCGGACAAATACCGTCACTTCACTCACACCATCTGTCCCGGACTCACCAATTAGGCGGGAGAACCTCCTAGCCCTGCACCGCGAATCCTGTCGCCTCTTCCAGGACAACGGCCTTGCCACTGCCACCGTCACCCGCCAGTCGTCTATCTCTTCCTCACCACCACTCTCTCCCCGTCCAGCAAGAACATACTCCAATCTTAGCTCTCCACCCGTTACACCAATACTCGAAAGCCACCCTTCACCGGCCCTCCGCCCCTCGTACTCCAGCTCGCATTCGAAAGACGTCGCTATCGAGCGCGTCGAAGTCAACCTTTCCACCACCGAAACAAAACCCACTGTAATCGAATGGACGTCCCCCTCCACCCGCCGCCGCGAGTACGAAAAGATCGACCGCGCCAGCAGCGGCGTTCGTGGACTCTGGCGAAGAGTCGCACCCCGGTGGTGCCAGTTCGGCGATAAGCGAGTGCCATTCTTCGAAGAGGGCAAAGACGGCAAGGCAAATTATGAAGGGAGCGTCCGCAGGTTCCGGATGGATCTCCCCGATGAGCCTGCTGAGTGCCGGAGGCGTGGGACTGGACTGAAGATAAAGCCGAGGCTCGTTGTGCAGATCCAGAGCAAGAGCAAAAGCAGGAGCAGGAGCAAAACGAACTCCAGCTGGTTATGATTGTGACTGTGCGCTTCTACTTCCACTGCTGTTAGCGTTGATTGCTTTCTTTGATCTATGGCTGGCATACCTGATCTTATGAGTTTGCATGTGATACCCAGATACAGATACCTACTTCTATATACACATAGAATTATGAATGCATTTCATATCATATAATTTCATTTCGCCTCAACGCCGTCCTTTTCCGTAGAGTTTTAATATCCGTATGCGATGCAATGCAGTAGTAACAAATGTTCAACAGAGGGTATCAATCCACATCGCCCCAACACGTATGTATGCAGCCAGCCTACATAAGATCAAAATCATCCAAGTTCTCGCGGTACTGCATGATATTCCGCTTGATCTTGCTCGAGTCCACCCACGTCACGAAGTCCTCCATATTCCGCGTAACAAGATAAGCCGGGTCCGTGACGACCTCCGACCCAACGCGCACATGCCCCTGCTCAATGAACGTAACAGCCTATCCACCCCATCAGCAAGAAAAACCCCACGAACCTTGCACCACCCAGAGCAAAGATAACCAGACGCGGGTACATACCGTCTTAATATTCTCCACCATCCCACTCCGCGCCATAATAACCGCCAACCGCCGCCGACAGAACGCACTAACCGTGACCTCGCGCTCGATCTTCGACAACCCCGCCCCCTGCTCGCGGCTCTGCTTGAGGATGCCCATGCGCCACAACTTATCCAGGACCTCGGACTCGGTCTTCTGGCGCACGGGGTCCGAGTCCGGGTCCAGCGCCGACAGTTTATGCGCGAGCTGGCGCAGCGACCCGACGATCGCCGAGTACTTTTTGTAGTCGAGTGGGTTTTGGAGGTAGTAGCGCTGGCTGACTTGGGATTCGCGGTGGGAGTGGTCGGATTTGTAGGTTGTTAGGTTTACTTTGCGGAGGAGTCTGGATGGGTCGGGTGTTAGTTGGGGCTGGGGATGGGGAGGGGGAGGACGGACTTTTGCTCGTGGTGCTTGAGTTTGCGGACCATTTTGGCGGAGTTCAGGTAAGAGTTTGATTCGGTTTGGTTGGGTTCTCGGGGTTGTTCTTGCTGGTGGTCTGGATAAATTTTCGAGATGATAGCTGGGCGGTGAGTGTTTTGCCGGTGCAAACGGGGCAAACAGGTATACTCCAGACGGTAACCCTATGTCAAGCCAAGCACCTAGGGTTACGGAGTATGGAACGTTACAAATGCAGGAAAGGGATTGAATAGGTCATGAAGTGTATGGTCTATCTAATGTACATCATAACTCATCTTTGACAGGAACAGGCGGCCGCTCACTGTCCTTCGACAGATCGACACCGTTCTTCTTGCGCCATTTCTCCCACAGTGCATGGAAGTCCTTCTCCATGCCACTCTCCATCTGGTCGGGAAGAATGACAGTGTACTCAACGTATAGATTTCCAGGACCCTCATCCTCATGATCGTGGAGGTGACCATCCGACCAGAATGGCATGCCTTCGCCGGCGACTGTCTCAACGGACAGCGGCTGCACGACTTCTCCGCGCGACCGGCTGAGCTGGACAACATGGCCATCAAGGTGTGTGAGGTTACGCGTCCAATCACCCATCCATGCCTCTCGCAGTGACAGCGTCTCTTTCCAGAAGAGATCGCGTCCTCGTCGGCGGAAGAATGTGCCATCTGTTCGGTGCTCCTCTGACGTGCCCAAATCTGGCTCCTTCTCTTCAAGAATCAATACCAAGTCACCGGCAATATAATCAGGGCTCTCGTCTCCCTCGTTCTCATACACAAGTCGCGTGCCCTTGTCCATACCCGGCTCAATCGTAACGGACGTCTCAACATCCTTTTTAACAACCCGGTGTCCGTGACAAACATGACAAGGCTTCTTGATAGTCTTGCCCTGTCCACGACACTTATCACACTGCATCTGCATCTGCTGAAACATTCCCGGGGCAAGCATGTGTTTTTGAATAACCACGCCCCGCCCCGAGCACTTATCACACGTCTCGACCACGCGATCCGCAGATCCTGTTCCCTGGCACGTCTCGCAAATCTGCTGCCTCTCAATATTCAACTCAAACGAGCGCCCGGTGTAGAAATCGCGCAGAGGAAGCCCAATCCGGAATTCCATATCGGGCCCGCGACGATGGCCCGGCGCATGTCCAAAGTGTCCGCCGCCGCCGAAAAACCGCGAGAAGAGATCGAATGGATCGTGCGCCTGGCCGCCTGCTTGTCCGCCCTGTCGGTGCTGTTCGACACCCTCGCGGCCGTACTGATCGTAGATCTTGCGTGTGGCTGGTGTGGATAGGACCTCGTACGCCTCGGCTATCTCGACGAACTTCTCGCGCGCGGAATCATCTCCTCTGCATTCATCAGTTACAGGAATCCTTTACCTGAGATTTGAGATAAGGCTGTCAGTAACTTACGGATTCTTGTCCGGATGAAACTTCTTGCTCAGTGTGCGATATGCGCGCTTGATATCCTTCTCCGATGCGCCCTTGTCCAACCCCAGAATCTTATAGTAGTCCTCTGCCGCAAGCACCAATTGCAGAAGCAGTAGCGCAAACGCAAAGGAAAGGATGAGCCCTCGTAGGAAACGCATTATGACTGATTATGTTTCAGCGCATTTGCAGCTGGAGTCTTAAATGTTATTTGAAGGTGAGTGTTGTACAACCCACTGTCGAGCGAAGCCGGATCGGAATGAAGCTCGAGCTCTAGCGGACTCGACTCCCGCGGAGTTAATTCTGGCGATGATGGTTCGACGCTCGTACAGTTTGTTGTTGGTGGAAAGAAATATCGACTGCAAAGTCAGTTATGCAAGGTCGGATATAGACCTCAAGATCAGTGAAGATCTCAAGAAAAGTCGAGTGTGAAGGGTGAAGTGAATGATTGGAGATAATGGTCTACTTCCGCGAATGGGATTCGTTGGCTGGGCTTTCGATGAGGTGGCCGGACCGGGGATGGTTGATCCTTTCCGATGGTCACGTGTATACATCTACTTCAGAGGACCAGGATATGAATCTTCTGACTATCGACAAGTGAGTTGATTCAAATTGAATAAGTGAATAGTGACATGGTTCATAAAGCTCATGAGAAGAAAGAAGATTGAGTGGACAGATCATAACGCATAAAAGTTAGGATATACATCGTTACACTGGGACATAAAAGTCCTAATAGGAAAGAAAGCTGGGTGATCAGATCATAACACATAAAGTTAGCATATACATCGTTATACTGGAACATCAAATATGGTATTTCTCCAGGTCCTGTGCAGCCCAGGAGTCTCCTCACCCTCTTCGATGGAGTCATGTGCTTGCAAAGCCTCCTCATGCCAGACCTTGACAAGGCTTCCGGGGGCATAGACGTTCTTGAAAACTCCTTGACCGGGTGCGTCAATACCAACACGGGCGTCAATATCAGGGTTAGGGGCCGGCGTCAAACGGGCCATGACCGCGCGGACGAAAGTATACAGATCGTGAGGGCTGGCGATACGCGCGGCTCGAAGACGCTCCCGAGCAAATACCAATTCCCGGTTGAGTGCATGAGCCGCCTGAACAATTGACTCGGCAATTTGCTTCTCCAGCACTCGACGGATCATGTGCTTGAGGAAGGGCTTGGTGAGCCAGACCAAGAACCTCCATCTGCCGCTGTGCACCTTGTAGTCGAGTTTGTGGATGCGGACACGCACTCCGCGCAAGGTGAAGATTTGCTCTAAGCGATCCCGACCGACTTCTATATCGAGAGAGATATCGACACCTCGTTTATCGAGGAAGAAGCTCGCAATGCCTTGGTCTTTGAGATAGAAGAAGAGTGCTTTGTGGGTGCGGAGCCAGAAGCCGAATTCTGAAGCACTCACGTTAATCCCGCTGAGTGATACGGTAAACATTGTCTTCAGATTTGCCGTCGTCCGCTTTGAATGACGCTTGACGACGTCGATGTCGTTGCGTGTAGTTACATGCATCCGATAAGGCAGGAATGACGAGTAGTTCACTGTGTGGCCGGGCTCGAGGATTAAATTCTCGATCAAAAGGTCCACTTCAGGTGCGGAAATCTCCAGGCGAGGAATAGGAATGTACTGGATGTTCCGGATAACAAGCGGCAAGAAGATCTCGAGCATATCCGCGGGTAGATTTGCACGTCGGTTGTAATAGCCGTCCGAGACATCCTTGTAGAGCTTGCGTGACGCGCTGGTTAGTTTGGAGACTGTTTCATCCTGAGAGATGGACCGCAGGGCTCGCTTTGCCTGGGCAAGGAATTCGTCAATGTCCTTGCGCAGACTAGACTCTGAACCGACTTGCTTGGATTTCTCCTTGAGCTCCTCAATCTTCTCCGGTGCAGAGTCGAAAGAATCAGGGTTGGTCATCATTTCCTGCATGGCGGATCCTATCTCTGATACCAGGTCCTCGAACTCAGGATCTCCACTGGCATGCTGAAGCACGTCGTGAAGACGCCGCTCCAAATCTTGCCATTCTTTGCGATCACCAATGGTCTGAAGCAAGGCCCAGAATTTACGTATGGCCTCTTTGAGGTCCTCGTTGATCTCAGTTTCATCCTCAACAGTCGAAACCGTATCTGTGGCGGCATTCACGTAGACGGAGGCGTATTTTTGCAACAAACGTGCCAATATCGCAACCGAGTCTGTATAATCTCTACGATCACGAAGCTTGAGGACTGTCTGCTTCAGCCGATACAACAAGGTCTCCTGCTCCTCTCCGGTAAGGTGCTCCTCGGCAGACTCTTTCGCTTCTTTGCCGGTTTGGACAAGTCCATTTTTGGCAACTTCTGCAACGTGGCCTAGTTCTTCCCGCAGCTCCTCGTTCGATACGTTATGATCCTCATCCGCGCCAGCGCCAGATAAAGCCTCTTGATCCGCCTGTTTCGGCTTGAGTTTCTTCCCGGCTTTTCGTGACGCTCTAGACAGAGAGAATGCTGTATCCGAAAATATCTCACGGCCAACGGTGGTCAAGTCCTCGACGAATAGGCGGAAGTCGGCGTTGGTTAGCAAGAGGTTTCCAACGGTTCGAAGGCTATCATATGCTAGCACAATATTAGCATTTAAGAAACAAGTCGGGTATTGTTCTATGATCATACCCGCTTTGGTATCTGCCTTGGCTTTGTTATGAGCCGCGCGTTGAGTGAGTTCCCCTGCATGCATAGTGGCCTTGCCGTGGGAGAGATGCCAAACGAATTCCTGCAACTGATCTTCGCCATTCTTGGTCTGCAAGAACTCAATCAACAATTGAATCCACAAGCGGCAATCGCGGACCAGCTGACGTCCCACGGAGCCTATATCGGGATTTCGAGGGTTGAAGATGTCGAACGCTAGCAAAGTGCGGAGATTGGCAATTGCTTGCTCGGTGGATGGCATATAACCCTCGGCAAAGGCGCGGAGCATCTGATAGGTATGGATCTTCTGATGCAGCCTACGCTGACGGCTCGTTTCGTCGTCATAGCGAGGGAGGAGGGGTTCCGTTTCTGCCCGGGACATGGTGGGCGAGAGGATCGAGTTGGTGTACGACTTGGGATGCAAGCTCACCGAGGTGCTTTGTTGGGATGGAGATCGCTCACAACGTGGGTGATGGGATGATGCACGGACCCAGCCGGATGATGGGGGGATGTGATGGGGAAGATTGCATGACAGAAGTGGGCAACCTTGGTTCTTCGAGCTGGGGTCTGGAGATGCTGCCTCCTTGCTTGGAGCTCGGGCGCCGGCCAGCTCACTCTTGCGTCACTGCCGCCGCTTTACCGTCAGGTGATTTCTCTCCACCAAGAATCGATCGATCTAGATTCTAGAGTCAGCATCATCCAGATAATGGAGTTACACATGTTGAAAAGAAATACAGATGTCTCGGGTTATCCATTCTTGGACAGTCTCTCCCTCTCGTGGGCCCGTAGGAGTAATTCGTGATCGGCATTGTCAAGCTTTGGAGTCTGCAGCATCCGGACTAGTGTATAGCTTGGATGGTTACTCCGCACGACATATGTATGTACATGGATGGAATCAGAAGTGCATGCGGGATTGCTTTTGAAGGAGTCCAATGCACCTAGAGATTGGGGGTGAAAGCGACCTTTTAGGGCTTCTGACACTTTATGCAATTGCATAAGGGGATGGATCGCACAGCCTCTTGACCCACACTCAGAAGCTGAGATCTTCGAGGTCTAGAGGCTCAAGGACCACCATGAAGATCGTCCCCATCGGGCATCAAGTCAAGTGCCTCTGGCGGTTTCTAGAGTAACATGGCGGCATTTGAGACTGTGGACCGGGTCGGGATGGTTAATCTTCGGAGAAAAAGTACGAGGGGTTTACTGCAAGACAATTGTATGCAAAGTACGGAGTCTTACTGAGTTTGTTCCATACTGCACTTACAATTCTATCTCTGACGAGCTGAAGAAAGACCAGAGTAGACACCGTGCAGAAGCTGACTATTACTGCGTGTAAAGCGGCTAGGGCTACAAAAGTCTCGGAGATGTCGCAAAGTTCGTATCCCGAGTCTCGGGCTGGCCGCCTGACATTATTAATGTTCAACCCGGTATATATTCGTGAGCGCCAATAATGGATCCGAAATTGACAATCTCATTTGACGGCGCTGTTTCAACTTCAAAAGGTGCGGAGAAGCCATTCAAACCAGCAGTGCAACGCTTCCGATATTCTCGGCCGGGTCCGATCGAGTCGGCTTCTCAATTGCCGTCTTGTCGGAGTTGCTGCTGTGCGAGTATGCTGTCGTTTACTCTGGCCTGAAGTCTGAGCCGGGTAGGACGAGATGCTGAGAAGTGCCTGGGATACTCCAGAATGCGGCATTTTCCTCCCGTGCATATGTACCTTGATGTCAACGCGTACTTTGTCTCCCGCAGCAAGGGACATGCTCAAAAGCACAAGCTCAGATCACGAATTGAAGCCGGGTGCATAGTAATCGGGCCGCGTGTGGCTGCGGGGAAGGGCGATGAAGAATTCGTTGAGCCACGAAAACTAAACGAGTGGTCACTGGTCCAGAGCTGGATGCCCCAGTCTCGTCCAGAATCCTTCCTCAAGGCGTTAGGCTCGGGAGTTGAGCTGCGCAGTTGCCAGTCGCAGTGAGGTGGATCGGGGCTCATGTGGCAGTTTAGGCTAAGAGGCTAAGACGGCCAGCTGGGCCCTTTCGGGGACTTGAAACTACTCGGTAGACCTAGTCCTGTTCCTTCTCTAGCGCAGGATTGGGGTTGGAGACTGCCCCCACAGGAAAAACATCGGGAGCATGCTCGGATGTCCGCATCATGACTGTCGAAGCATGGCTGTTGGGATATGCAGACAGAGCTGTTGGAGACGCGGCGGCATAATATAAGGTATTATGATTATTGTTGGGACAACGGGGCTTGAACTTAGTAAGACTGGTATTGACGTATCGACACAAACAGACGTCGCGTGTGCTTCAAGCGGTCTGCCCCCTACATTGTAGTTCCGGGACTGCAAAGAAATACCTCACCAAAATCTCTGCTTCCTCCAATAATCCTCACCACAATCAGACATCGTCTCCGACTCTTTGTCCATTTTGCTTTCTCCGCATTTATTTCAGGCAAACTAGCTGCCTAAGCACAGTCGGAAACGTCCCGTTTACTCCACGTCGCCCCCAAGGACGCGCTCATTTGCTGAAAAGCTTCGTTTTCCATCGATGCCCACCCTTCCCACCACTGTTCCAGCCAGAAATCAAAACGGTTCGCTGCCATGCAACCATCGTGCCCCCCGAAATATCCACCGTTGCGATCCCGACCTCCCTGAGTGGTCCTCTACTCCCCGACTCTTCCCGATTCCTGGCCCCAGACTCATCGTTTGGTCACAGCTCCAGCCCTGGTTCGAAGTTCATAGTCCTCGAGGCTCGCGACCACCTCCTTGAAGCTCGCAGGGTCGTCGTCGTGACTTTGCAATCTCGGAATGCGGTGGATTCCTTCTCAGGGGGGTTCAATGCTAGTGTCTCGTGGATTACTACATAAAATAAGACCGTCGCCGTCAGCTCAATTGCCTCTCTCCGTCTCTTCATCTTCTTCAATTGCTCTTGGTCCTCGCTGCCATAGTGCTGCTGTTGTGACTCAGAAACCCAAAATGGCTCGATTTCCCTCACAACAAAACCGTCCGGTCCATGCGACCCCCCATGTCAACCACAATGGGCCAATGTATGTTGCTCTCTGTATATTTAACTGTTCAAGGGCTGGGTGCTAACGGATATCTACTCCTAGTGAACAAAACTATGACACCGCCAACCCTGCCTACATCCGCAAGTACCTCCGCACATACGGATTGACTCCCCCTCGCGCAGAAAGCTACGAGACCCAGAAGACTCGGTGTATGTATAACATATTGGGTTATGTTCAGCTCGGGTGCTAACGAGATCAGGTCTCGCCCAGTTGGCGTTGAAGCAGACTCCCATCGATAAATTCCTCTACCTCAGCACTCTCCGTAAGAACAATGTACACCTGTTTTACCGTCTGGTCACAGACCACCTGCGGGTAAGATTTCGGGATTGCATCAAGCTGCTTGCAGATCACAGAGCTCACCGTCGAATAGGAAATGACTCCCCTCATCTATACCCCAGTCGTTGGCGAGGCCTGCCAGCGGTGGTCCGAGATCTACCAACAGCCGGAAGGTTAGTTTCATGCTGCAGCGAATAGCACAAGCTTCCGAGCACTAACGTTTGAGCTAGGTATGTACCTCAGCTGGGAAGACCGGGGTAACTTGGCTTCTGTCATTGCCAACTGGCCCCAGCCCAACGTGGAGATCACATGCATTACCGATGGTTCCCGAATTCTCGGTCTAGGTGACCTTGGCATCAACGGAATGGGTATCCCCATTGGCAAGTTGGCTCTCTACACTGCATGTGCTGGTATCCGACCTGAAGCCACCCTGCCCTTGACTCTTGATCTCGGAACAAGCAACAAGACTCTCCGGGAAGACCCGCTGTACTTGGGTAGCCGCCGCGACAAGGTTACTCCCGATGAGGAGCGCGAGTTCTTGGACGAGCTTATGGCTGCCTTGACCGAGCGCTGGCCCGGGTAAGATTGATCCACCCAATTTCTTCCGAGGATGCTGAGACTAACGGTGTACTCTCTTGCAGTATTGTCATTCAGTTCGAAGATTTCAAGAACCCCTTCCCTGCACTGGAGCGCTACCAGGACGTCTACACTTGCTTCAACGACGACATCCAGGGCACTGGTGCCGTCATCCTCGGTGGTGTCATCAACGCCGTGAAGCGCTCTGGAGTTCCCTGCAAGGACCAGCGTGCGGTTTTCTTCGGTGCGGGAAGTGCTGGAGTGGGTGTCGCTAAGCAGATTGTGGCTTTCTTCATGCGCGAGGGTATGACCGAGGATGAGGCTCGCTCATGCTTCTATCTGGTCGACACCAAGGGTCTTGTGACCGCAGACCGAGGTGATAAGCTTGCCGAGCACAAGGTCTACTTCGCCCGCACAGATAACCAGGGTCAGCAGTTCAAGACCCTTGAGGAGGTCGTCGACCACGTCAAGCCCTCCATTCTCATGGGTCTTTCCACCATGGGTGGCGTTTTCACACCCGAGATTCTGCGCAAGATGGCCGAATGGAACGACAAGCCCATGGTCTTCCCTCTTTCAAATCCTTCCCACAAGTCTGAATGTGACTACGAGGCTGCCGTCACGCACACCGACGGCCGTGTTCTCTTCGCCTCCGGTTCTCCCTTCCCTACCATGTCCTTCACCAACTCCGCCGGCGAGACCAAGATGTACTACCCCGGCCAGGGTAACAACATGTACGTCTTCCCTGGTATCGGGCTGGGCACTATCCTGTCCAAGTCCGTGAAGGTCACCGACAGCATGATCTATGCTTCCGGTGAGGCCCTCTCCAAGGCTCTCACTGCGGAGGAGATTGAGCGTGGTCTCCTCTACCCCGACCTGACCCGCATCCGTCAGGTCAGCGTTGTTGTGGCCCGCAACGTTATCCGGGCTGCCCAAGAAGCCAAGGTCGACCGTGAGGCTACCCTCCGCACAATGGACGATGAGGCCCTTGATGCGTGGATCAAGGCTCACATGTACGACGCTCACTCCGAGGTTCACCAACTCGAGCGGGAAGTTGGTTCTATCCTGTCTACCCTGGGTGCCCCAGGTCAACACTTCACCAATGGCTCCTCAGACGAGGCTAAGCTGTAAGGACCGACACCTCATCTACCCTCAACTTTCCCCCACCGCCTCTATGAAAGTCACAACATGAGCCGTGACATCTCGCATTTCTGTTTCTTGTTTCTGTCTCTAATACTGGCATGTCCAGGTTTGCTCGTCGATCTTGATTTCCAGCGGTCTTTTTCGTTTCGTTGATACGCTCCTTGGCTTGAGAGGATGCATGTCGATCTTCTTGTATACCCCATCCTTCCACGGATACTGGCTATCTTTTATTGCCATCTTTACACTGTTGCATGCCCATCCGGGTTGGGCTTATCTCATAGCGGGTTGATAAAAATGAATGATTTATGGCTCTTACTCTTGTTGCCCTTGTAGTTCTGACTGTGTGATAAACTTGGCGTAGACTTCGATCACTCTACCAATCCTTGATCGTGTTATTCAGTGCAATCTCAAAGACGCCTAGAATACTTCTCCGTACTCCAATCCTCAACTCTCAAGCAGAGCCATGTGACAGTAGTGGTAGTGACAGCCAATGATGCAAGACGTTGAGAGCCGCACATGCGGTGTTTCTTGGCATCAGCCGGCGTGAGGGCCTAGGGGTGAGGGGACCCTGGGGGCCGGGGCACAGGGTCCTGACCCCTGACCCACGGTTCACCGTCGTGGCAGGATTTAAGCTTCTGGACACTGCAGGGCTTCAAACCGCCAGACGATCGGATCAGAGTCCGGGGGTGGACCGCATGGTGAGGTGGTTCTGCAGGTCCGGACGACTGCGATCCGGGTCGGATGGGCGGATGTCATAGTCCCCTCTGCTATTTTCAGCACGGGCCCGGACATGGACGCTCCCGGGGACTGGGTCTTTTTAGGGCTCGATGACTTGCTTTGATTCGGAATTTCGGACTTTGTTGTTCCTTGCGAGAGGGGTTCGTCATCGTTATGGATTGTTGTGTTGTAGGGAGGTTGGTGATAGCACACAGAGGAGGTCTGGTCCCACCCATGTGGATGGAAATGGAAAACCTCGGCTGCCTTTTATTCTCCGTGCCGACCTTTGGTTGAGCTCCTCTCGATTGTTTATCTTGAGGACTGGTCCTGCGCGCCTCATTATAAGATTGTGTTCTTTTCTACATAATGGCTTCTCTAAGTGATTCGGTCAAGCTCCCATGTGGTCTGGTTTTCCCTAACCGCCTCGTCAAGGTACGCCCACGCCACTTCCTATCCTCGTAGCACCAATCCTGACCTCAACAGGCTGCAATGGCCGAGATGCTGGCCGGATTCCAAAATATCCCTACCCCATCTCTGATCAATGTCTATGATCAATGGGCAAAGGGCGACTGGGGCGCTGTTCTGACAGGTTCGCCTCCATAACACCATTTACGGCACGGAGGGGAACAAAAAATGACGGCTCTGACATGATATTCCTAAAGGAAACGTACAAGTCGACGTGAACCACCTCGGAAACCCCTTTGACGTAGCCCTATCAGGCGAGTACACCGACGCCGAGACGAACAAAGACCTGTTCGAGAAATACCGCAAGTATGCCGAAGTCTCGCAGGCCCACGGTACCCCGACTATCGCCCAGCTCTGCCACCCGGGTCGGCAGTCTCCGCGTCCTGCAGGGCGTAGGGGCGTCTTTGCGTCTACCATTGCGCCTAGCCCTCTTCCATTGGATATGGGTGATGGCTTTGTGCAGCGTTGGCTAGGCTGGTTTGCGTTTCCCCCACCGAGGGAGATGACGCAGGCGGATATCGATACCGTCACGAGGCAGTTTGTTGATGCTGCGAGGCTGATGGCTGACGCCGGTTTCTCGGGTATTGAGTTGCATGGAGCGCATGGGTACTTGATTGGTATGTTTTCCTGTTCTTTCTTGCTGGCTTCAGTGTACATGTGCTGACGTTCTCAAGACCAGTTCCTTAACCCTAAGGTGCGCTACCTACCTACTAGACTAGCAGACAAAAGAGATTGAGTACTAACGAGGATACAGAGCAACGTCCGCACCGATGCCTACGGTGGCAGCGCCGCGAACCGCGCCAAATTCGTCCTCGACATCCTCCAGCAAACACGAGCCGTCGTGCCCTCCCATTTCTGCATCGGCATCAAATTTAACTCGGCGGATCACACCTCGTCCAGCTTCGAAGACACCATGACACAGATTGGCCTCCTCGCCGATGCGGGGATTGACTTCATCGAGATTAGCGGTGGCAGCTATGAAGACCCCAAAATGTTCACTGCCGGCCAACAACAACCGCAACCAGAGAAATCTGCGCGCACTGCCGCACGCGAAGCCTTCTTCCTGGAATTTGCCGCTGCCGTGCGCACGCGCTATCCATCCCTAATTCTAATGCTAACAGGCGGTTTTCGCTCTCGCGCGGGTGCACACTATGCCCTCTCCCAGAATGCGTGCGACCTCGTGGGCATCGGGCGCCCTGCAGCGATTGACCCGCACTTCTCGAAGTTGTTGCTGGATGATAGTATTGAGGAGAGTGAAGCGCAATTGAAGCTGAACAAAATCCCTTTGCCGTTCTGGGCCAAGATGATTCCGCTTGCTGCTATTGGGGCTGGGGCAGAGAGTGTATGCTTTTCTTTTCTAGTTCTCATTTGCGCGCTTGGGAAGAGACTGGCTAATGCGATACAGACGTATTATACGGGGCAGATTCAGCGGATTGCGAAGGGGTTGAAGACGATTGTTCCGTTATAATTAGGCAAAGGGCTCGGAGTGGTTGAGATCTGACGAGTGCTGGATCCTTGGGAGAAGCGTATATATCAAGGATTGATGATGGTCATGGCTCATTGCAAGACCGAAGAGAGCTGACAGCATATATACCAATAATAGAGCCAATATAATATTTCTGCGCCGTCAGTGTTCGCATTGTAGCGTTGTTGGCTTTGCGCTCATTCGCTTGATGCCGCTATTCTGCGTGGTGGCTTGAAGACGTTGAGGAAGGAGCGATACTTCAACCTACGGTACAACACCTGGTCCTTCACAAACCATCATTACAATATCATCCGACCACTGGATAGTCTACCGTCATTCGGCAGATGCATATGAAATCTCCTTCGCAAGTCCTACGTTCCCACGCCAGCCGTCGGAATCGGGTGCCACCACCTGAATGACACTCGTCGGTACCTTCGCGGAGGGCGTATCCGGCGTGGGATGCCATGTGCAGCTGGTGCAGGGACTGTGGACTGACATGCAACGGTGAAAAAGCTCCACGTCCTTCCCGTGTCCCTGCAGATGTTCTCGCTGACGTCTCAAGTGTGTGTTTTCTTGTGTTTGTGCCCTAATATTCGCCCGGCTTCACTCTCTGATCAGGGTGAAAGTGAATGATTCTGTCACCAAAGCTTTACTTCTACCAGGCGGAGTACAGGTCCGAAGGAGTCATAGCTACTATCAGGTATAAAACATGCTGTCTGCTTCGTCGACCCCGTCTCATCAACCCGTTCGTTCTCATCTACGCCTTGTCTTTCTACAGCTTTGCTTGGATTATATCTAATCCTTGTTCTCATCATTTCATACCATCTGATCTGATCTCATCTATCTCATATTGTCTTGCTGGTTGCCGGAATTTTCGGTGCCATACAGGTAAGATATTCACCAAGCGTCCTTGATTTTGAAATCGACTGTTCTTCCTAACATATTGTGATAGATAAATATCACTATGGTTTACAATAAGCGCAAGGAACCCCCCGGCGATCACCTCCAAAGGCTCAAACGTCAACGACACCATGCAGCAGTGGCAATCATGCAAGCCGGAAGTTCAACTCGTGCCCCAGCACAATTCCATCCAGCGCTAGCACCCATACCTGGGGTTAACTCACCACTCGGCACTCTCGGTCGCCTTCCTCCAGAGCTTCGCCTCTTCGTCTACGAGCACGCTGTCTCCAACGGCACCGCCCCAGCCCTCATGTCCACCAGCCGTGCCATCAAAGAGGAATTTGAGCCTCGCCTCTATGACACCCTCGACCTGCACCTCTACCCAGGCATCGCCGGACCCTGGTACAAGGTGACTTTCCGCGGCCTCCAAGACGCCCACCGCTACGTCCTGGATGAAGACCACGTCTACGAATCTAAAGGTGGACTGCGCTGCATACCCTTCCACAAGATGAAAAAGACCCGGCTAATCGTCCACGCGCCCGAGTTTGACCCAAACCCCAGAGCAAGAAACGAGGTCCAACTGCTTTCTCTCATGCTCAAGTTCGATGTGTTCATTCAGGCCCTACTGGATTGCCACTCAAAAAAGCTTCACCTCATCAAGTCAAAGATTGAGTTGGATCTGCGCCCTTTTAAGGGTAATACCTGGAAAACAAGCCAAGTAGCCCTTCTCGGCGAGACCATGGCCGCTTTCTGCCGGAACCCCTTCCCTGCGTTTCCATTTCTTCGCTCCCCAGTTACGCCTATTTGGACTACAGATTTCTTCCATATCTTTCTAGCGCGCTTACACAAAAACCCCGAGTTCAAGTATGTTGTCTCCGACGGCTCGTCGCACAAGCTCGCGGACCTCGTGCTAGCTTTGCAGGTCTGGTACAATATTTGCTTGGACCACGGAAAAGGGGACATGGTCGACGCGCTTAAGACGAGGAGGCTGAGGATGAACATGCTGAAGCACTTCCTTCGCCCAAGGTGCGCGACGTGGGTAAATCCGTGGTCTGTGACTGGTGCTCATTATCCAGAGGCACAGTTGCCGGAGGTTATGAGGAAGTTGTTGAAGCCGCACGAGTTTGAGGATGAATATCAGGATATTTGAACTTGAGACATGATTTGGTTATCTTGGATCATCTTGCCTTGTGTGCCAATCTCGTTATTTTATGCCTTGGTTCTCTTGGATCGGCTTTTTACGTTTTGCATGTAACTACTATGTGCCCTATCATACTTAGTCTATGAGTGGCGCAGAAAAAGGCATATATTGTTTTTATCTGAACAAGACCGATCAGCTAGGTTTGGAGGAAGGCGGCTCTCAGGGGTATGAAATTTGAGCTAAATGGCCCTTCAAGGCTCCTGACAATGATTTGACAACGGAAGCAGCGGCGAGAGCAGATTCTGTGGAGAACCTTGGAAGCGCTCCCAGGAGCCTGCAGCTTTGACTGGAGCCTACTGGCCCTCGCTGGCTGTTGAGACAAGATAATCCACTCTCAGAGGCGAAGACAGAGAGAAGGTAAGACTAATTGCAGATGGCGTCGTCTGGATTGAGGCAGAACACAGGAGGTACTGAGGGACTAGACGACCGTGGGAAAGAGGACTAGGAAGGCGTGGATGGTGTTTAGAAACGCGGAAGTTGCTGACATCAACCATAGCAGAAAGTTCTTGCTTTGAAACTTTCCAGAAAATAATAAAACTAGGGCACTGGTTGTAGAATCAGAGGGGATTATTGCGTGTGTCCTGCATCAGAAATATAACATCAATTGTTCTAGGATATCAATATAAATTCAGCCGTCCATGGCGAGGCCTCTGGCCTAAACCTGTATATAATATGTTTGCTGGAGAGTAAGAAAGCCCCCATAAGGCCTTATTAGGGTAGTGGTGTGAATACAAAGCAATTCGGACTCTTTTCATCAACCTTGATTGAATCAGGATGTTGTGCCTGAAAAAAAGGGAGAGAACAAAAAAAAAAGAAACATTTTGATCTATAATGCTTTGAGCGCCAGCGCCCAAAGATCGACAACTAAACGTCTTCAAACTCCTCATCATCCTCATCAGATTCCTCCTTTTTGATCTCAACGTCCGGCTCACTCTTGATCTTCTTCGCGGCGGGGCCCTCATCCGCTGGCGTCGAAGGCGTCCCGTTTGCCGTCTGCGGCGCACTCGTCCCAGAATCCGTATCAAGCTCCCGCTTTATACCAGCAGTAGGAGCACTAGTCGGGGCAGAACCATTCACACCTCCAACTGCCGGCGAAGCGGTATCACTAGCAGATGCAGAAACGCCGACGTCTTCAAACTCGTCGAACTCGTCCGAGTCTTCGTCCACGCTGCTGGCGTCTTCTTGTGCCTGGAGGGCCTTTTCGCGCTCCATCTCAGCATAATAGGCGGCGACTTTGTCGTCGAGGTCGACAAGGTTGGGCTTCTGGTCTTCTTCCTCCTTGAGCTCAGGTTTAATTTTGATGTCGCTCTCGCTTTTGATGGCACCGACGTTTCCAGCTGTAGTGGAGACTGTGGAGTGGGTGTGCCATACGGGAAGAGCGTTTTGTTTCTCCAGAGCCGCCTTGCGGGCCGCCTCTTCTTTTTGCTCCGCGGCGCTCTTTTCTTCCGTTGAGGTTAAGGATATTTCAAGTGCGGCGGTGTCCGTCTTTAGGTTACCACGGACGGCTTCTTGCTTCTTGGATGGGACAACAACCGCGGCTCTTGTGGGATTGGTGTGCTGATTCCGGACGACATCGACCTTGTGGTCCCAAGCGGTATCGAAGTCGTTGGGAGGGATCTCAACGGAGTCAATTTGCTTAAGCAGCTTTAGCATCCCATCCAGCTGCGCCATGAGTTTGCTATTCTTCTCGTGGCCCGTACGGTCGATACCCTCGCTTCCTTTGACGTCCTCTGTGCGCTCGAGGATAGCTCCGCAGTTCTGACACTCAAAGCCCTCGTCCGAATACAGACTGAGAACGTCCAACTCCGTCCACTCGGACCCGCATCGCAAGCAAATATATTCCTTGCGTTCCTGACTCGGCGTATATTGCAGTTTGATGGTCGACGTCAATTTGGAGACCTTGTATTTGATTGCGTCGACAACCGGATGCAGCGGGATGTAGTAGTATTCCCGGTTAACGGGGCGGGTCGATCCATCGCGAATCTCGGCTCGTGTGTTACTACAGTCACACAAGAAGCGCTTTATTAGCCATGTGTCGTATACAGACGTAGTGTTCAGAATGACAAGGCAGGCCATACACTGCGATCAGGCGATCTTCGCGCAGTTTGGCGCAAAGTTTGCGCAGATCTTTCTGTTGCATTCCTAGAAGGAACGCAAGATCTTCGGCATGAAGCCTTTTTCATAGTAAGCAGTCAGCCAATGAAAGCTCCAGTATCTCTGTCTCTGCATCCGCAAGTCACACATACACCGAATGGATGAAGAGCGCATCGATCACGAGAATGTGGCGAGTCTCGTAGAAGGAGCGGGCCACCGTCCGGATTAGGGTGTTGGCGAGATCCATGGTGCTAGCGAACACAGGGCTGTCTGAAGGGAACGAGGTGATAAAAGTAAGGGAGTGCGAGAGTGCCGCTTGCGCGGAGAGGTTGGTGATGCGGTGCCTAGACCTGAGTTTCAGATCTCAGCATATCCCCGTCTCCCTGAGTACTGTAGGTAAAGACCGTAAGAAGTAAAAGAATCAAGTGAGAGAAGACGCCATCCGCCCGCTGAAGTGGTGAAAGGATGGGATGAAAGAGAAAACCGAATGAATGATGTCTTCGCAAGTTCGAGAAACCGAATGAGGCTCGGCCCAGACGGACCCAGACGCTAAACCCAGACAAGACTAGCGCCGGAGATGTGAAAAAGCTCCCGACAAGAAAAAAGACCACCCTTCAGCTCGTAGTCGTTCCCGATGCGCTCCCACCTCCTCCTCCGGCAGTTGTCAGCACCCAGTATCTTGTGCAATCGAAGATCTCTGCGAGTCCCCCGATCAACCTCAAACCGCCTTCTTCTCCCCTCTGTTTGCCACGGAGCTCGTCTACAATGGTGGATAGTACCCAACCCGGAACAATGGAGAATAACGCCGGAGGAACTGAGAGACCCCAAGAAGCTGGTCGCAAGCATAAGAAAAGAGATATGGGCAGAAATGAGTGGAGGTAGGTACGTTGGCGTAGTGACCGATACAAGTCCCGCGGGGTCCCGCATTTTCGAATTCGAACCCGACTGACACAGGCTAGTCGCAACATGCCAGATAAGAGAGCGCGGAATGAGCGAGCGGAGCAGGCGAAGCGAAGGAAATTAGACAATGGCGAGGAGGTTGTTGCACCGATATATGCTACGGAGTTTTCCCAGGAGGATATTGAGAACGAGCAGCGGCGGCCGAAGAAGAAGGTCGCTGTGCTGATTGGGTACTCGGGAACGGGTTACAAGGGAATGCAATTGTGCGATGTCATTCTTCCCGGGAGAGGGCTATTCTTGCTAACTAGAGTAGGAGCACAACTGAAAAGACAATTGAAGGAGATCTGTTCACTGCGTTTGTGGCAGCCGGCGCAATTTCAAAGGCCAACGCGGCCGACCCGAAGAAGTCGTCCCTCGTCCGTTGCGCACGCACAGACAAAGGTGTCCATGCCGCCGGAAACATTGTCTCGCTGAAGTTGATCGTCGAGGACCCCGACGTTGTCGAGAAGATCAACGCAAACCTCAGTTCTCAGATTCGTGTTTGGGGCATTCTAGTCACCAACAAGTCGTTCAGCAGCTACCAGCTGTGCGACTCCCGTATCTACGAATACCTCATTCCATCGCACTGCTACCTTCCCCCGCACCCAAACACGTACCTGGGGAAGAAGCTTGTGGAGATCGCCGAGAAGGAGGGAGACCTGGAAGCACACAAAGCGCGCCAGGAGGAGGTTGCCACCTACTGGGAGGAGATCGACGAGAAGGTCATACAGCCGCTCCTGGCAACTTTCCCAGAGGAGATTCGCAAGCCCGTTGAGAAAGCCCTGCACATGGACGACGAAACCGACGGCGTACCAGAGACTGAGGGAGAGCAAGCAACAGAGGCCGAGACCCCTGCAGCCACCGAGCCCTCGTCTGAATCAAAACCAGCCGAGTCCGAGCCCTTAGATGAAGCTGCAATTGCCTTCCGCAAGCAGATTTATGAGGCCGTCAAAACCGTCAAAGTTGCGTACCTTAAGGCCCGCCGTGAATATCGCATCCCGCCTGCCCGTCTCGCCCGCATCCAACAGGCTCTGGACCAGTACGTTGGCACAAAGAACTTCTACAACTACACCATCCAGAAACAGTACCGCGACCCTTCCGCCAAGCGTCACATCAAGTCCTTCCAGCTCAACCCCAAGCCCATCATTATTGACGGCACCGAATGGCTCAGTCTGAAGGTGCACGGGCAAAGTTTCATGATGCATCAGATCCGTAAGATGGTCGCTATGGCTACAATGGTTGTCCGCTGCGGCTGTGACCCTAAGCGTATCTCTGAATCGTATGGTGCATTCAAGATGGCGATTCCTAAGGCCCCAGGGCTAGGACTGCTTCTTGAACGGCCGGTTTTCGACGCTTATAATAAAAAGGCGGAGGATCTGAAGAAGGATCCGATTGATTTTAGCAAGTACGACAAGGAGATGAACGAGTTCAAGCAGCGGGAGATCTACGATCGGATCTTCAGGGAGGAAGAGCAGACTCATACGTATGATTTCCCATGACACTTGACGTAGCAGAGGGTGCTAACCATTTTTACAGCTTTTCCTCGTTCTTCAACCACATTGACCACTATGCCCAGGAGGAGTTCCTCTATATCACCTCCGGTGGCATCGCCGCAGCCAAGCCCGCTAGTACCCCCGGAGAAAATGCGGATGCCATGTTCAATGCGCCTAAGCGAAAGTCCGCCCGGGAAGCACTGGCTGAGGTGGAGCAGGAATCAGAGGATGAACAAAATGGCCCGGAGGACAACTAATGATGTCTATACATACAGACAGACAGACTTGAGTAGTAAATAAAGATTGCAGCGCTACTTGTCTTGGGTGCGTCGGCTCATCTCTAATAGACTGTTAGACAGCAAGTACGGAGACTTGTCACATTAAGGCACAAACACCCTCCCAGGGTTCTTGATTAGTTGACGGCTCTAGGTACTGCCGCAGCGCACACAATAGACCAACATGTCAACCAAGTTAGCGGCGCGTCTTCTGTCCAAGTCATTTTCTGACTGGCGCAACATCAACTCCAGTCTGAGCATCAGTACGTCCTTCAGGTATACTCGGTTTATTAAGAACCACGGCTAGTTTGATCGGCAAATGAGGTGGTACAGTAGGTAACCATCTCACTCCACATGATAATCCACATTCAGCTGCAGAACTCTCCCAGATTCAAAGCTGTTCAGAACTCACGCCGAAATGAATCCATACAAAGACCTCAGAATTGCAATTGAGGCTGGCGACACTCAAAAAGCCGAAGGCCTGCTTGACAGTGGTCTTGCAGTGTCGGTATACCACTTCGTGACTGCGACACAAAACAAGCATTATGGCATGCTTGAGATGCTCCTGTCCAAGGGATATGACATTAACTCTCCTATTAACGACAAACTGCCATCCGCACTAGTGTACGTGTGGATCTCGTGCTTCCTTTCTATGTTGTTGCTAATAGATCGACCAGGCATACCTTTGAAGATGTGGAGCTTGTTGAGTGGTTCCTCCGCCATGGCGCGGATCCTAATAAACAGTCCCGCCTACGAAACTCTACGCCGCTTTCCTTCGCTGTTGAAGGTGGATTGTTTGATATCATCAAGTTGCTTTTTGAAAATGGGGGCGAAGTCCAGCGCGGGCAGCTTCTACATTACGCCGCAATGCGGACTAAAGACGACAACCACGAGGTCCTCCAGTTTGTCTATAACAAAGATCCTACCTACAATAGGTCCTGCATCAACAAGATGCTCGATGAAGGAACCCCGGAATATCTTATGAACGAAAGAACCGGGCTTGGGACTCCACTTCACTATGCCGCTGGCTCAGGCTCAGTGGGAATGGTGCAGTTTTTGCTAGACAGAGGGGCAGTCCGTAATCCCAGAGATCCGTATGGCCGCACGCCACTTGGTTATGCTATCCATAACGGCCATTATCACAAAATTGGACCAATTCTGAATGGCGGCGCGGAATCGGCTACCGACTTGGAATGGGACTGACAAACTGAACTAGCAAGGCTTTGCTTTATAACGACCACTTGCTATTATTACAATCTTTGATTTGGAAAACTCATGATGTCATGAAAAAGGAACGTACCTAGTAGTGTCGTTCTTGTAGAAGGCTACTCGTAGCTCGCCGGTGCCATTTTATAACTAGCTGTATGACAGACAATATACGGGCCACGCTCTTCAAAGCCCGCCCACCAGTCATCCTTTGGAGGATCATCACGAGAGACGATGCCAAGTTATAGACAGTCTCCCTCCTTGAGCTTGAAGGCGTCGAAAATTGTTCACGATTAGACATGAGGGCTTAGACATGAGGGCTTGGATCTCAGTAGAAAACCTTCAGCCTCTGCAGTCCCCTTCTGAGCGCCGGGATCTGTGATGGGGGACAAGCGATGTTTCTCGAAGTCCTCGTGTCTAGGTGCGTCGCTCTATTGCCCACTGTGGATGGCTCTTCAACGGAGGTGTCAGTTGAATAGCAATCAACGCGGGGAAAGATGCAAAGGGAATGGGGAAGTAGTGGCCTTGGAAGGAACGGAATCCGTGGAGGATAATGAGAGGAAAGAGTCAGGGGCTTTCACTCCTCCTTCATAAGGCAGAATACCCCCCAATTTAATATGGTTATTCTTTATCTACAGATATCAGCTATTCCATAGCAATGTCTATGTCGAGAGCTGTTCCATGTTTCGTCAACCTCGCTGTCTGAATACCGTACCTATGACTCCCCTCTCCGGCGTCACTTAATGCACACCAATCACATTGATCTTTAGTCACACTATTGTCCTGCCTTCTTTGATGTCGCACCATGTAAGGCCCTGAACTACATATGGTATGGTGGATCCACAGACAGCTATCTAGACAGGTCCCCCGTAAGCGGTATAGTAAGCCTCGTGGAGCCCTAAAAAGTAGAGGAAAATGGCCCGAATAGCCTGATACTGGCCTCAATGCTTCTGCATTAGATACACACATGGCGTTGCTCCTCAGCCAGGTACGTTGCTCGCTCTGCTCCCCAACGTGATGTGCATGAACAAGCCAATGCAGCAACCCTCAACCAAGAAAAAAGAAAACTATGTGAAAAAAAGCCACAGTCATAGACAGGCTCGCTGGAGGAAACTTGTGAACTAGCTAAATACGTACGCCGTACGCCCTCATAGAAAGCGAAGCGAAGCGAAAAAAAAAGCAGGCCTGATTCAAATTCCCTGATAACGCCACTCTCTGCACTCATACAAAGAGACCCAGGTCGGAGCTGCTGCAATTGAAAAGGTCCATAGCGCGTGGCCCGAAGCCTGTCTCTAGTACAGCTGAGCTGTTTGTGAGAAACACCGGTTGATGCAAGCACAGATTGGTGAGGGCATTGTGCATTTTTCGTTTTTCATAAATTCATCTCTTCATGTGTGATACGACCGCGGCGTGTTACTAGGATTGTTCGCTGTGTCTCGCCCTTCAGGGAGATCCCGCTATCCCCATCTCCGAGTCGCTCGCTATCATTGAGCCGTCATCCCATTCCTCTGGAGAAGGTACATCAGACTCTGGGGCCCAAGAGTTAGACGCTAAAATGCAGACAAAGTAAAAGGGAAGCCTACCTGAAGGTAATTCTTCGGGCACCTCCACTGCCATTTCTTCGATCGCCGATATGACCGCTGAGATGCACATTAGTAAGTGCTGAATAATGTAGCTTCCAGGAGACAAACCTTGTGCTTGAGTGGCAATTTTCTGGTCTTCCTCAGAGCCGGCAAAGTAAGAAGTTAAGCAATGATCAATCACGGTCCTAATGGCCTCCAACGTCCCGGATTCGGCGCTGATACCCGGAGCTGCAAGATACATCTTACGTAGCTTGTCGACGCTCGTAGCTACCAACTTCTTGGCCACGTCTGCATAACGAGCCTGTCCTTCGTCTTCAACAGCTGCCGACTCTTCATTGAACAAGATCTTGCGCAGGAAATCCATCGTACCGTTCCGTATAGTTCTGTCAGGATACAAAAGCAGAGCTGGAACCCAATCCGGAATCAAGTCAATGACACGGGAAGAAAACCATGCGTCGTCGAGGCCCAGGCGCTCATTTTGGCTGCTCATCATGTTCTGGAAGAACAAAAGGTGTTCTATGCCTCCGCTATCATTAATGGTGTCCACACCCTTCGCGGCATAGTCGAGAATAGATATGATTCTTTCCTTGGAATGGCCTCTTCTGCAAAGGACGAGGGCGGCTTCCAAGAACGGAGCACAGCGCTCAGCCGGTGCAATACGAAGACCTTCTACCAGAACCTGGAAGACTGGCTCCATGAGACCGGCATCTGGCTCCGCATCCATGAGAAGACCAAAGATACTCCTGCATGCCGGGGGGCTGTGGTACTGGGTAAGGATTTTCTTCAGGACGACTAGTTCGCTGCGTTGCCCCAAGGGTCGAAGGAGATCATTCTCTGCAAGCGTGACTGGGAACTTGCCATTCGGTAGCACTTCTCGTTCATCATCTGGAACCGGCCGCGCGGTAAAGTCAATCACGGCGAGTAATTCTGACATCAAATCCATCAGCTTCCGGTGCGAAAACTTTCTGCCCTTCTCAACAAGTTTGCAGTAGGTCATGTACTGTCGCTTTAGCCTCATAGAGTCATCAGAGTCCAGCCATACCATCTCTAGGCACCTCGAAAGGAACCCGCGGCTGAGGATCACTTGGACTTCTTTTCTGCCAAGACTTGCTAGCGAGCACAAAAACTCAAAGTAATCATCCCATGAGCGACTGACGTTTTGCAGCGCCGGCCACATGTCGTCAAGGGTGCTAACGACATGTTCCAGACCATCCAGGTAAATAGCATACCAGCTGTCTCTTTCATGGCTTCCTTTATCGGTCGCCATCTCTCGAATCTTTGACAAGGCGAGTACCAGGAGCCTCGTTGACCCGCAGCGAATCTGGGGATGGAAACTCCTCAAAAGATGGGAAATTCCAGATGGCCTATCATAAATCCACTCGAGGACTCTATAAGAAGCCTTGGGAAATTCGTTTATGATCCGATAGACCTCCAAGACAATATTTTCAAACATCGTCGTATCCTTTGTCCTGGATACCAGTTGTTCCACTGTGTCAAGAGCAAGGTAAATTACTGATCTATCCAGCTTGCTCCTTGTTCCACTCGTAGCAAGCTTTTCCTCGGTGAGTTGGTTGATGAGGCAACGAACGAAAAGGGCATAGAACGGATCCACGAGACAGTAGGTCCGTACGAACACCTCATTCTCCATCACGATATGGTTGGCAAGCGGCACTGGCAGAGGAACGCGTATCGGGTAATGATTGTCCGCCACTTTGTAAGTTGACTTGGCAGATTCAATGCTTGAAACGCGTTGATAAAACAGCATATAAGCATTCCAGACTTTATGGAACCGCATTTGTCCAACAGAGGTTGAGTGTAGAGAGTCGCTGTATCCGCCAAAGCATTGCTCTCCGATCCTGCCTGGGTCGAATCTGCTGACATCGGAATCGTTGAACTCCACCCATGTGCCGCTCCCGTTCACACTCGGCCTTTCACGAATGTAGGAGTAGTAATGACCAGACTCAGCGGTCCCACTGTGCACCAAGACACCGACTAACTCAAAAACATCCTGCTGGGTGTTCACGCTCGAATTCGAGAGATAATCAACGGTAAAGGGTGTCATGTCTACCCTATCGGGGAATTCAAATTGATCATTGATCTTGCTGCGCATCATGGTTACCATGTCAAAGTCAAATCGTTTGAGATGGAATATGAGGTTATCAGGCACATCTTTGAGACAAGCTCTGCACGCAAGTCAGCATCAGGAAAAAGCAGCAGCAAGATCTTAACATACCGCTTCACGGCATCGACATGACGCCCACAAGAGGTGCAGGAGTATTTGTTATCTGTCAAGTCAGTAAAGAATCACCAACTGATCGTGGCGCACTTGCCTCCTTGCATAATTTCTCCTTCGACATAAGCCTGCAGACTCTCCTCGAGGCTGGCTTTCCCTTTGATATCACATTGAATAGCGGAGAAGGGCTCTAGACGCTCGGAAATATGGTCACACTCCTTTGATTTAATTTGTTGAACAAGCTGGCCCCCATAAAACGACCTGAATTTCTTTCTGTCCTCAGGGTTCGATATCTGGGCTTCCCAACGATCAAAAAGAAGATTGTAGAACTCATCGACGTCCATTTGAATAGTCACATCCACGGGCTCATTATCGTATGTTCGAATAGATTCAACGAATGCCTGGGGTTCGAAGCCTTTGAGCCACGATTCCTGCATGTACCCGAACACTTTCTTCGTTTCGTTGAGCAGCCTTTGAGACGTAGATGGCTCCGTAAGGTTAAGCCTAAGCATGAAATCACGAAATCCAACGTTCATGAAAAGTTGGCTTAGAAGTGAGTTCAGGTAACAGGTGTTTGACAAGTTCTTCAACCCTGAATAGCCCTCTGGTGAGCGAATCAATTTTTGTCGCTCAAAGGACCAGCCGGGCTGATAGGTGTGGTCTATAAAATGGGTTGTCAGTCACAGGCGTTAGTAGGTTGAAGGCATCCAGTACAGACCTTCTGGTATGATTTCCTCCAGACGCGATATGAGTTGACTAAAGTTATCGCCATATTTTGAAAGATGATAGACTATACCATAGAGCTCTTGCCGCGTCTGATTGTGCATAACGGGAATTTGTGGGACAACCAGGTCCTGTGAAGAAGGCGAAAGGTCTGGGAAAAGGTAAGTATCAAAGAGCTGCTCCGTGAGATTGCTGTGAATGAATGCTATTAGCGGTGAAGACTAGATCAGAGAATGTATCAACACACAAGGTATCGAGCGTGATATTAGACGCCTCTGCAATCTCCAAGCAGGACTTCAAGAGCCGGGAAAAGCCAAAGATGATGTGATCTACAGGCTCTCTACCGACAAACTTGGACGACGTTAGCTGAGGGAGTGACTAGATAGGTAGATGGGACAAACCTCAGTTGTTCTGTGGTTGAGCATAATATTGCTCCATTGCTTGAGATACTCGCTGAATACAAGGTCATGAGGCGACTTCTCCGCAACTGAGGAGAATACGACGTAGGCGGTGTCGAAGAACTCCTGAGATTGTGCTGGGTGTTCTAGCACACGCGAGAAAGCACGGACGAAAGCATCCCATATCGTCGCAAGTATATCAATTCTGGTTGGGTTCTCTGTAAGTGCCACTTCTCGTGCTTCTTGTGCTTGAGGGGATGGAAGTTTTGGTTTTTTGAACTGCTTTGAAGAACTACAGATGAGACAGATGGTGTCCGATATCCCCTTTCTGATAGGCTGACGGGGTTCCTCAATGAGAAGGGAGGATAGGAGCTGTTCGAACTTGACTTGCTGCTTGGTTGCGCTCCAGAATCCGGGATCTCGAAGAGACCCTTGGATAAAAACGGCAAAAATGCAGCAAACCATTCTGTGCGTAACGAACTCTGGAACTTGAGCGCTGCGAAAACCCTGCCCAACCTCCAGGATGCGGATTAACCGATTTACCAAGGTAGCGGAGTCAGGGACTAGGGACACATCGTCTGATACATCTGACACATCGGCTTTCACTAGTGACAAATCAATGAAATAGTCAACCAAGCCTAGAACAGTTGACTTACCCATCAAGGCGGTGTAAAAACAATCGATCAAGCTGTTAGCCATCAAGATACTCGTCGTTGAAGTCGCCAGTGACTCCGATATTTCACGCCGAGTCAAAGCGGCAACCACAATCCTAATACTGCGAGAAATGAATGCTTCACTCGGAGTTTGCTGAGGATTACCATTAGCACTTCGGGCAAATATAGGCTTGACGGATTATCAAATCACAAACCTCGAGGGCTTCCTGTCGAAGGCATTCAGAAAGTGCATGAACAGAGTAGAGTAGGTTGTAGGGCTTGGCCATGGGAAACATGTTGTCATCGTTTGCATCAGCTGACTTGACCAGATCCATAACTTTCTCCTGAGGTGGAAAGACCATAAGAAACTCGTATATCTGTCAAAGAAAATCAGCGAGAATTCCTGGGGGGAATTTGAGGTATTAGTACGCACCTCCCGGGCCAAACCGTCGTCAAGGCTGAGGAGTTCGTATAGGTCATCGAAGTGCTTAAGTACCTCATTATCAACCGAAGTCAAGGGCTGGGATTTTCGTGCGGCCGCCCGGCGGCAGCTCGGGTCCTTCCGGACGATCATCAGCCCTGACGAAAGCTTCAAATCGCGAAGCGTCTGGTCTGGCTTTTCGAGAAGCTCAATCCTTTGTCCCGAGAATATGATCATAAGTTTAGGGAACCCGGTCACTTTCGAAAGCGTTTCAACAAGTTCGGAAGCTGTAGACAAATCCCCAATGTGCAATGAGCGAACCTTTGATTGAGCGCCGCCGTCAAATGCCTGGTAGCGAATGTCGATCAACTCGCCATTCTGCGGCTTGGTTGGCAAATTGGCGGGTGAGTTTTGCGGTGGACTATACTGGGGTCGAGCACGTAAGGCTTGCAGAAATTGACGAAGAAAGAAAAGCGAGCGGCTGAATTTCAGTTCATCCGCGGGCGTTTCTCCATTAGTGGCTTCAGCAACCATCATACCCCCCTCAGGATTTGTACGGCAACTGGAAAGCGATTTGAGCCTTGATGCAGCAGATTTGAGTTGATCTACACAACGATCAACTAAGGCCATGTGCGTCGCTTCGACAGATGAGCTGTGAGAACGATGGATAATATTATGGTCGAGATAAACCTCTATGGCGAAGGCAGTCGCATCGACTTCGATCGTGCTCGGAGGCGCGGTCAAGATAAATTTCCATATTCGGTCCATGCCAGGAATGGAGACCACTTCATGGTCGGTGACTGACGCAGGAGGATTGAACCGGATCTCGTAGTTGATGGTCTCCTTCGCAAATGCGAGCACCTCGGGAGAATAATCCGAGGGCGACAGCTTAGGCAGATGGTGTTGGATGCAGCGATCGATAAATGAGTTCTCGACCATGCTATGCCGAGTGGTCGTACACAGCATGTCCCAGAGGAGTCTTCTTCCTTGTCGAGGAAGAGACGGAGACATGAAAACATCTTGCCATAGGACGTCACCAAGTTCTGGAGTAATGGAATCAGGTGCCCCTTCGATAATTTTGGAAAGCATCTGAACACGGAAACTGAACCCATTGCTTGACAGGGTATCTGCGAAATCGTTTCGATTCTGTTGCACCAGCTCAGCCACCTCGGAAATAGCTAGCTGTGTAAGATTGAATTCAATGGCAAGTTTCCGGACTTCTTGAGAATCTTGGCTGCTAAGAAGAGCATTCAGGGCTTGGATACTGCCGACGCTAAAGTGGTTCTTTTCGGCGATATCCTGCACACATCGCTCATATATCTCCGTCTTGTCAGCATCGCTTAGCCCGACTTTCATAAAGGAGCTTAATTGACTGCCAGCGAAATTTTGCAGATGGGCTTTTTGATCGACAGCAAGGTCTTCAGTGGCAGCGCTCTCACGAATTAGGCGCACACATAGATGTAAAGGCCTTACATCAATGTGTGGCTTGTCCAAGGAATCCTGCCTGGTGGGATTCCTGTCGCGCAGGGCCATGAAAAGCTGTTGGCAGAAATCCACCATTCGCGGGTCAAAATGTGTCAGAGGGAGTTCCAGCAGCTTCGAGCACATATAAAGAAGGTTGGACACGTCGTTATGCAGCGTAATCGTCTTTTGGAGCATCCCAAGCACTTCCGACACCGTACGAGGATCTGGACTTTCGGTGATGGTTGTCCAAATCGTGTCAGTGTCGGCATCGGTGTATGTTCCGGTAACGACAAGGAAGCCTACAATATTATAGCTCCTGAAAATTAGCTGGGGATGGGATTCGATGCCGACCATGTACTCAACGATCCTACTCTCCCTAAGAAGCTTGAGCATGTGTTGGACAACGGGATTATGCAGTCCAGTTGATGGATCTCTTCGCATATACTGCGTAAAGACACTGACAAAGTCATTCTGCATTGCATCAATTCCCGCGACACGTAATTCCATTCGGCCGCCCATGATGTGCTTCTTGAGAACACCAAATCTCCAGCTGTAATAAACGATGGCTGGAAGACTAATCGGGGGCACGTCTTCGGGGGCATGTATAGCCAGATCATCGGCAATCTGTGAGGCTATTTTTGTACTCTGGTTGCAAAGAGCCATATATGTGCTCGACAAATGCCGAACCACTGTGACGCTCGCCTCGTTGTTCATCCAAGGGGACTTTTTGGTGATGTGAGTCTGGTATGCCTCGTCCACGGATCGTATGAGGTTGTACATCGTACTCATGGCTCGTTGATCCCCATGGGAATCCGTCAAATGGTTATCTCCACTGTACCCGCCGTGGTTGTTCCTTGCTTCCGCCAAGGAATTAACGATCCTCAACGCTTGGAGCAAGGACGGTAAAAGTTGAGGACATTCGGGGATGAGCGCCGTCAAACTGGACGCGTACTTGCAAAGAGGCTGCACACCATTTATTGGAGCGGCTAGGATTTGGTCGTTGAGGCGGGTTATCATGTTCCAAACCTCGTGCCCGTATTGCCCCTGAAGGGCAACAAAAAACGGGGTCTTCTCGTAGCTTACCAACCAACCCAGCGGCGGAAGGTAGTTGCGCGATATCAGATCCAGCCCTTGTAAGTTAATTTCGTTGGTCAACCGTCCTAGATACTGAGCGTCCAAGTAAACGAGGTGGAAAGCTAGCCGAGCATAGTTGGTGAGGAACCCTTCTATACACCTCCAGATTCCGGCGCTGTCATCTGACTGAAATGGTTCACTGGGAATATATTAGCTTTGTTGAGGCCATTACACGAGACCGCAACGGTCAAGCTGGATGACAACTGAAGAGACGCAAAAGGCCACTTACGCTCTGCGAAGCAGGAATTCTGCTAGCAGCGGAACCTCATCCCAAAACGCCCTTGAATCCATATAAGTCTCATAGGTGAACTGCTTTAGAGAGGTCACCACATCATCCAGCCATTGTTTGACATAAGTGAAGGCTATTGTGTCATGCTCATGTCCTGGATACGATATTAGCCCATATTTGGCTGAAGCTTGAGAGCAGATGGCAAACCCATACCTTTCTCAATCATAATGAGTGCGTCATCCAGATTCTCACGCGGATGTTCATGATTGATGGCCGGAAAAGTATCTAGGAAGTGGACCTGCTCACGGAGCTGCACCACGTCTGGCATCGAAGGGTCCCGCAAGGCTTCACCCAAGGATTTCCAACTTGTAGTACTAGGATCTTGGTCCATATCCTCCAACTCCGCCACTTCTATCTCCGGGCTTTTGGCAGGAGATGACGAGAGTGAAACCACATTCGAGGGTTGTTCGCCGCTGATCCGCGCATCGGTGTCGGTGTCGGCGATGGGTTCCCCAGCGGGAGTATTCTCGCGAGCGGAGGGGAGAGTGTCGGTGGTAGTAGGGGATTTCATGTTGATAGTCATTCTGCTAGCTGGACGATTCGGCACAGCAGCTTCCTGGTCCGCTATGGCAGGCGCATTCGGGGCAGTTTCGGAGAGCGCGGTGGACGCCTCGTCGGGAGCAGGCAGAGATTCACAAGCACCGCTCCCACTGTCGAGACGAGGACGTTTCCGAGTGGATTGGGGGTCGCTTTCTTCCATGGAATCACCGGGAGGACGCGTTGTGTCGGTCGATGTAGCGCCAGGCGGGGTGCTAGAGCTCTCTAGCGGGGCAACTGCCATGACATTTTCACAGCTCGGCCGTTGAGAACTGGCGATTTAAGTTCGGCAAGCCTTATCAAACTAACAAAAGATCTCGAGAGAAGGATGGAGGGTCGGAACAGGAGTTAAGAGTGAGCGATAGCTAAGGTCGGGAAAGGTACCTGGGCAAATGACCTCACGGAGAGCGGAGTGGAAAAAAGAGAGTGGAAACAGAAGATAAGAATGGAGGCAACACCAAGGCCAGAGAATCCTGACCGATGGAAGAATCCGTCTCGTAAGCTCAGCGCTTTTTAAGTGTAGAGATTCTGATGCGCCTTTTTTCCGTCTTTTATGGCGGTTTGGAGCTGGAAAAGCAACGCGGTGTTGAAGGAGACGGGGAAGCAGCTCTGACGTTGGCGGTGGAGCGGCCGACGCGGGCGCAAGGCTTCTTCTGGCACTTTCACACCATTTATATTTCACATTCACCTACACAACATTCGAGAAACTAGAACAGCTAATCTTTTTTACAGTTGATCTTCAATTGGTTCAGGCTCTGCACTACAGCATCTGGTCACTACAGTTAGCCTCAAGCCGGCTATGTACATGCCCAGGTGTCTCTCTTCTTCGCTCCCTACAACACCAAACGCTGTCAATGGAATGTCTACGCAACTGGCGCTTATCCCATTTATAAATGTTTCTTCAACCACGCTTCCTTAACCCAGTCGAATTGTGGCTTCAATTCTTCTTACCAAATTACTCCCTAGCGCGTGTCTACGGATGAAATTTCCTTGATCCCTTGCAGGAGGTGAGGTGTTCAAGCATGATGCTGGAGACAGTCTCTTTGTGAAAAGGATGTGTGGATCGGGCCTGGGCCACTGTCTGATGAGCGCACATGTCAATTTTAGCTTATCGCCTGATCGAAGCTCCTGCGGACTAGAAGCTTTTTGACCGTAGGGTGGATATACGTGTGTGGACTTGATGCTAGAGCCGACTTATCTACTTCCTCCAGAACGCTCAATCTTGCGGACAATCCTAACAGGATTCCCAACAGCAAGATGATATGCAGGGTCCAAATTGCATCCTTCAGTCAAAAGACTTAGAACCAAGCCTTTTAACCTTAATGGATAACGGGCGAGGACAAGCATACCTACCACACTTCCTGCTCCAATCACCGCACTGTCTCCTATGGTCACCCCTGGAGACATATTCACATTCCCCTATCCAGCAGCCCTCGCCAGTATGGACCTCCTTCCCTGACCCGGGCCTGAGTTTCTATTGCGAAGATCCGGGTCTAAAGGGTGCGTTCCGCTGTACAAGCTCACCTTAGGTCCCAACAGAGTTCGCGGTAACTAGACAGGTGTCGATTATGACGCAGTCGAAACTGGTAAAAACGCCCTGCCCGAGTTCTACATTGTAGCCGTAGTCGACTCTGATGAGCTGCTCAAGTTAGGGTTCTTTTTCTAGGACGATGTCATCTTCAACTGGATCTTCGTTGGATGGCGGGAGAGACGTCTTGTCTTGGAATATGCTATGCGGCATGTTAGCAAGTATCCCTCCCGTCAGCACGTCAGCAATATGAAACTATTGTTCACTCTTCATAGATTTCGATTGACCGTCCCTCCGGGTGGCCGTGTTGAATCGATTGACTTTCGGAAGCGGGGACCTGAAGCTTACGCTGGAGACCTCAGAGTGGCAGATCGCCCGCCATTATATATAGTTGCGGCCCACTAGTCCTTTTCGGGCTTGGGATGTTTAGACCGTAGGCACTCAAATTTCTTTCCCTCGCACTCTCACGGACACGATATTCTTGATGGGATGAATCGGAAGGAACCGTATGGTAGTAGCCGCGATAACTTAGAGCACTTGCTGTTTGAAAGAAAGAGAACCAGACAGGGAGCGAAGAACGAAGACAGCATTGGTCCCTGAGGCTCCATTGGAACCGTACCGGACAGCTATCCCCACTTGATATTGTTCTCCGCCAACTCTCCGATTGTCCTCGACCACTCTTTTCCTCTCTGCTCCAACCATTTAAGCACACACCAGTTTCCCAATTCCTGCCATGCTTCTTCCTTAGCACAAATCTACAACCTCTCATTTCTAAATTGACGGAAAATCAGCACAAACCATGGCCAACGACACCGGTATTCCCTCCGCGTCCTCCGAGACACCAGCCGCGGATGCAACAGAATACAACACCTGGAACCCACCCAAAGCGTCGCCATCCCAATCTCCAACACCCACTGGAACGAAGACCACAACAATCGACGCCCTCCTCTACCCCTCGGGCTCAAAATCCCTCTCGGGAATCTCGCTGCGCGCGTTCCTCCTCGGCACAACGCTCGGCCTCTCCACCGCGCTGACCCTCACCCTGCTAAACATCACTGACTATTTCAACCTCGACTCTGACTGGTCGCCGCACTACCTCTGGCGCCTCCCCTTCTTCCTATCTAGTCTCGCGCTCTTCCACTTCCTCGAATACTACATCACCGCAGCGCACAACACGCGCTACGCCGACGTCGCCGCGTTCCTGCTCTCCACGAACGGGTGGGCCTACAATGTCGCGCACTCTTCGGCGGCAGTTGAGTGTCTGCTGGGATACCTCTTCTGCCCGCGTGACTCGTATTTCGAGTTCACGGCTTCTGTGGACGGGGTGAAAGTCCAGGTTGTGGCTGGGCTGTTGTTTATGGTTGTGGGCCAGGTAATTCGCTCGCTGGCGATGGCGCAGGCGGGGAGTAACTTCAACCATACGGTGCAGGTTGAGCGGAAGGATGGACATATGCTTGTTACGCATGGAATATACAGTGTGTTGAGGCACCCGAGTTACTTTGGGTTCTTCTGGTGGGGGCTCGGGACGCAGCTGGTGCTTGGGAATGTGGTTTGCTTTGTGGGGTACGCGGTTGTGCTATGGAAGTTCTTTAGTAGTCGGATTCAGAGTGAGTTTCCTTGCTTTGTTGGTTCTATGATGGTCTGGCTAACGTTGTGCTTAGGAGAGGAGCGCTTCTTAATTGCGTTCTTTGGGGAGGAGTATGTGGAGTACAAGAAGAGGACCATCGTTGGTATCCCGTGTATCGCATAGGGTGGTCGTTGAATCATGTCTCTATCGGCTATATACAAGTAGATAATTTGTGCATCGCCCAGCATTGAGACGAAGGGTATTGCAGCAATCTGTCATGCTGGGCGCAATCAGTGGTATCGGATGCCTCGGACGCCGTACAGACTCGCTTTAAATAGGGTAAATCTAGAGCTTACTCTCAGGAGCAACTGGTCCAAGAGCCCCAGACATGAAAGCTCCTTGCCCATCGCCCTGCGCATTCGTATCGTCAGCTCCTAACAGTATCATCTCCCTTCCACCCTTTGTACTCCACCAGGTAACACAATAATGCGCCCTCTCAACATCCATCTCGCCATTGCACAGCGCATCCCAGAACCTCTCCACGCAGGCCCTGCGCATCTCCGCCGCAGCAATAGCATTTATCAGATTTGCAGTCAGGGGAAGCCACTCTTCCAAGTCTTCAACTCGGAGAAAGCATAGGCTATCAATAAGAGCGAGGGTGAGGTACGCTTGTTCGGAGAGCAGAACTGGGGCTTCTTTCGCCATGTCTGGATCGGGCGAGATGCTGGGCGGTTGTAAAGATGGTGGAAGGGGTGTTGTAGAGGCGTTGTTGAGGGCACGATCGTAAAGAACTTCGAGGAGTATTGAGGGGAGGAGTGGCTGCCGGTTCGCGATTGGCGATGGGGGTGCGGTGACTTGAAGAACTGTTTTGAATGCGAGGCGGAACTGGCGACCGGAGAGGTTGGTGGGAAAGACCTGGGAAGAGATTAAGCTGGAGCCCCTAGAATGAATGATTAATGACTTACGGCGAAGAGATTGTCAATGTAGAAAGGAAGATGCTTTGCCGCCACGGCTGCGTTGTTAGGGATTGCAAAGACGGCAAGCGCTAAGCTGTGGGCAGCCTCAAATATCTCGAGAAGGTGATTGTTTCCACCTGCTGGGAGATACGGCATAGCCGCTTGGATAAGCAGGTCTTCACTGAACTTTGGAGAGACAACAGTCGTAAAAAGCTCGGAGATATTCAAGAAATAAAGGTCAAGGCATCGCTCAAGAGGATGAGCAGGGATCTGCCCTATCTCGCTTGGCTTGATGCTCTTCAGGAAATTTTCTGTCAAGTCCGGATATTGCGCAAGGACATCAACGGCCGCCAGTGTTACGAATGTATGCTGAGAAGAAGAGTTCTGGCCAACTCGAGAGGAGATGAAATATAAATTGCGGAGGATATGGAGAGCTTGCATCGAAATAAATGGTGCGCCTAATACCTTATTAGTAAGTATTCGTTCAGTCGATCTAGGGCACTCACTTTTGTCGGACGCCAATGTATGATCATTGATCACCCGCCCAAGGACAGCTCGAAGAATAATAACAACAGAGTATAGACAGTTGCGTAGAAGCTTCCAGAGGCCTGGAATCGTATCCCGCAGTGACTCAGGCTCCAAGAACTCAAGCTCTTCAGCCTTGTCAACCTCCGATAACTTGTTCTGTCGCCATTGCACCATCATTGTCCGAACGAAATCCGCGATCTGATCCACGGAGCGTGCAACCAATCTAGGATCCCGAGCACTCTCGACGGCATGAGCAATGAGTCTGGAGAGCGGACCTAATGCAGAAATGAGCGGACTCGAAGCTATTGCCGTTACACGCTGAACGGTAGAAGCCTGCGGCGGCCACGCGAATCGCTTCGAGGGCGTTTGAATGATATCCTGGTCAACGGATCCGAGGAAGTAGGCGCTTTCAAAACCCTCAGGTGAGAAGTAGGTCGTTTGAACCATAACTGGCAACAAGCGATCATAATCCAGCCTCTCCCTCTCCACGTCCGAAATGAGTTGAAACGAATAATTGAGCACCATAGTAACGCAGCGACCCGCGGTTTCATCCCGCGGGTCCAACTCCTCCAGTGCAAATTGGGCCGCCGTGACAAGCGCAGACTCGAGCTTCTTCCGCACGTTCCATGGCAAGCCTTGCCTATCCTGACCCTCGAACCCTAGCAGAACGCCGCAAATTAGGAGCAGATGCCTCCATCGCGGCGACTTTTCATCAGCGCCACCAACAACAGCCTTTACCCATTCCTCACGATCCAGTTTCTTAGGACCAGGTCCACCCCATGGTATCCGCGGGTCTTCCGACTCTTCGCTCTGGAGAATTGCCATGGATGCCGTATTGAAGACGCTGATAATCCGTCGGCAGAGGTGAAGGTCGACGGGTTGGTCCCATATTGCCGGAGCTGCCAGCAGCTGCGAGGAAAGGAGCGTGATATTCAATGGGTTCTTGAGGACGGCGAGAAGGCTTGTTGCGGTGGGAAGCAAGCTGGAAAATAGTGTAAGGTTAGCTATCGCATTCGTAAATGGACCGGGGAGCTTATCGCGAATCCTATGTTACCTTAAGCCATCCTGAGCGTAAGATGGAGCTTGGAGAGAACGCAGAAGAGCGCCCAGAGAGCGCTCGGTCGCCATGTCAAGAAGCACGCCCCAGTTTGGCGGATATAGATGGCATAAGGGGTATCAGTGATGGACCGATGGATGTCAACAGGCGTGGAGCAGCTAGGGTATCAGCGGACGATTACCGCGGCGATCACCTGCCGAGGTTACTGCTGTATGGGTGGATGCAAACGATGCAAACGGGCTCTTTCCGCGTAAAGCGCTGTGGAGAGAACAAGCTTGATAGCTTCAACTCTGCGAAACAATATTATGATATCTTCTTCAAACTTACTTAGCTCTTCCTAATGACGGGCCCCGCTATACATGTGTATCCGACATGGCAAATAACCGTGTACCGATAAACTATGTGACACCTCCGTTCCCGTCCCTCTACGATCCGTTCCCCGGCCGCAGCAATGTCGCGTTTTATCTATACCACACCAAAGACATCTGGCGCTTCACGCTATACTGGACCTTGATTTTCTATATCAGCTGCCATCTGGCGGTCGCAGCCTGTGCGCTCATTATGCAAGGTCGAAACTGGAAGATATGCTTGGGGGTACCACTGGTCTATGCCGTCATCGGGGGTATAGAGGCGGTTGTAGCGGGGAGTATTGTCGGCGGAATGTAAGTTGCCGGTCCGATAGGCAAGCTGGGGAGGCTGTGTGCTAAATCTTACAGGCTGGGCTCCGTGTATGAAGCAGGGAATTTTCGAATGTCGACGTGGATTCCGATAATCTGGGGCGGCGTCAATATCATGGTTCTGATACTCTCCAGTTTCCCGATGCCAGGCGGTTTATGATTGGGAATCGTACAAAAGGTATGGCTTGGATATAAAAGTGAGAAATTCGAACTCATTTGTTCAGGATATCAGAAACTTTACGCCGAAAATGCAACCTCTGCTCCGATTAGGAGCAGGTCAAAGCGTCGAGATGCTATGATACATTCATAGATAAGACCATATCCCCTGCCATGCTACTATCCGAGAAAGGCACCTGCCGTTTCGTCCCCGTCCAGTCCCATCACATGCCGTGTCATTTCCACGTTCACCGTCCATAGTTGTTGTCTGGATGATAACCGCCCTGTAACCCAGGGAGCCCGCCGCCGCCCATTGGCGCAGACACAGGAGCGAAGTGGTGTGGGAAGCCCGGTGGTAATTTGATTCCCTGCGCGGCGAGCTGCTTTTGAAGCTCTGCTAGGTCGACGTTGGGCGGATTCATTGGTGGTGTACCGGAGGCAGGAGGAGCTCCTGAAAACGGTGGCGCAAAAGGAAATGCGGGAAAAGCAGGGTTGGGAGGGAAAGCATTGCCTGGAGCCATGGAGGCGGCTAGTCCTGGTGGAGGTGGAGGTTGGGCCGCGCCAATACCTGGCAGCAGAGAACCCATCCCGTCCGGTTGAGGTGCGCTCTGTATACCAGGAAGACCTGTCCCTGGAGCCTTCCTTTGGTCGACAAGGCTGTCCGCCTCGTCTTGTAATTCTTGCTCCTCCTCTTCACGCATTTGTCTTCTTCCAAAGTTGCGGCTCCATGTCCCCTGAGCTTCCGCGGCCTCCTCTCCAATGTGAAACCTATCTTTCAAGTAACTTATCTCTCCGGGTCGCGCTCGAGACCAAAATCGCGTAAAATTGTCTTTCGACCCAGAAGCGAGGATATGACCAAGAGGATGCCAGTCGAGAGTCCAAATAGTAGCAGCATGAGCATACTGTACTCGGTGGGCTGGAAAGATGACCTGAGCAGGGGTGTTTGCTGGGTCGGGGCTGTCGTAAGGGGCGACAGTAGGCATCTGGCCTGCTGGTAGATTGGGCTCATCGAGTAGATAATGGTATAAAGACCCATCTTCGCTACCAGTCGAGATCAAAGAGCCGTGGATTGGATGCCATGTAAGGGTAGAAATTGGTTTTTCATGGCCGCGGAGAATGCAGATGTCCCGCATCATGCGGAGGTCGAATACGCGCGCAGTCTGGTCGCGCGACGACGTCGCGAGAAGGTTGTTGTTCACCCTCGAGAACTTCGTAGCGGTCACTGTGTTTTTGTGACTATGAAGCGTCGTCAAGCAGCGGGTGGTACGGGGGTCCCAAAACTTGACCTGATGATCCTTCGATCCCGACACGAGCAGGCCCTTTGTCGGATGCCAGTCGCACGACTTGACGTCCCAGTTATGCCCGGTCAGGACAGTGTCGCATGTTCTCGCCGTAAAGTCATAAATCTTAAGTGTCGTATCGTCGGAGGCCGACAGGAATTTTGTATCGCTCGGGGACCATGCTAGATCGCGGACGGCATCGTGATGTGCATCGTCTATTGTCTCGACGTTGTTGAAGTTTGGCCGCCAGTACTTCACATCGCCTTTTTGTCCTCCTGAAATCAACCAATCATTGCTATGCGACCACGCTAACGACGTAACTCCTGCTTGCAGTTGATCATAGTGTGCCTATATGGTCAGCTCTGGAGACTCCACGGCAAGAATGTCCACCTACGTCCATAACTGTCTCAAAATTGAACGCCGTGCCATTCCATAACATGAACTCTCCAGTATGTCCGCCAGTTAAGAGACGTCTTCCCTCCGGAGTCCACCTGACGACTGTGATGGGCTTTTTCGACTTTCCGATAGACTGGTGTAGATGTCGCACGGGAATCGAATCGACGGGGGAGTGTACTCGTGCCAGGGGAGGCAGCATCTGCGAAAGCAAAACCATTAGCCTTGAGCTAGTTCGACCTGCCCGACAGCGCTTACATCCACCATATAGCTGGCGCTTGGCCTCTCCATCTCCATCCGATGGCCTCCCTGGTATTTTGGTCGCCGGTTGCGCATCCATTGTACCATCGACGAACCATAATCGGTTACCAGCCCTGCAAGCGTTTAGCAGCATCCAGCAAGCGAGCGACTTGAGATACGTACTCGGTCGACGAGGTCCTTGGATCCCACCCTGGTTCCTGCCGAATGGCTGCGAGTCGTTTCCACCATCGTCATAGTAGGCCATTGCGATCGGAGTTAGCAGACAAAGAAACTGGCGAACTCTGCGACCATGGCAGGGTGGAGGCGGAGAGCTCGACGGGCCGACGAGTCAATGACGGCGATGACACGGCAAGAACGGCGAGATCGGTCTATCGGCCTTAATGAACGGTATTAAGTACTGTTGGTTGCGACGTCGTAGATGTAGCTAGAGGTTAGAGCAGCAGCAGCGCTGAGACGTGAAAGGCGGCCGCAGGAATGATTGGGCCGGGCCAGAGCTGCCTCCGACGCTAAGCCACTTTCGTGACGACCGTCCAAGGCCTCGAAAGTCCCCGGCCAACAGCGCCCGCTCTCAGTCGCTGGATCCCAGATTCCCAGCATTCCAGGCATGCAGGTGGAACAACGGCTCTTCTCCCCTGTCTCTTAGTCGGCTCGTCGAGGCCTATGCTCAACTCAACCTTTTGCGACAGTATGAGAACCCTCGACAACCCCGCCGTGCTGCTCGGGTTCTCCTCTTCTCATCCTTTGTCTCTGCTTTCCTGCTGCTCACCTCCTGGACACTCACACGCCAGACCATCTCCTGTCGTCAATTGACCGGTCCTGGTCTGTCATCGACTGACGCATTCTTATCCGATGCTCTGATCATCCCCACATTATCCGCAGGGCCGAGTAGATTCTGGAGAGCACGACGGCGCGTTCTCGCAGCTATCTCTCACAGTTATTCAAACTCGGTCGCTATCTATTCATCATTTACCTCATCAATACTTCTCATATATTCATCATATATCATTAATATAGATAGAAAGCAAGATGGGCGTCGGAAATTCGTCGTCGCCTACTGCTCCAGCCACCAACGGCACCCACAAGGCCAACGTCAACCATTCTAATGGCCATGCCTCTAATAACGGACCGAGAAACACAGGTGTCAGAAAGACAGCCACATATGGACATGTTGTAGCTGTTCACTCGCAGGTCCGCCACTCATGCCTTAGCCGGGACTCAACCAAGGCCACGAGCTTTATTGGGTTCCGGAATCTGATGGTGGTCGTGTTGGGTAAGACTGCTGTCGCTGTTGTATTGTATTATGATCGCTGACTCGCGACAGTGGCCATGAATCTTCGACTGGTGATAGAAAACTTCCTCAAGGTGAGCTTCCTGCATATGACGCAATGGCTGCCCATCTAACCAGCGCAGTACGGCGTTTTGATCTGCATCCGATGTCATGACTATCGCAGGCAAGACGTCGTGATTGGCGCGATCCTCTTCGCCCTGGTCCCTTGCCAGTTGCTGTGCTCGTACTTTATCGAGCTGGCTGCATCCGGGCATGCCCAGCGCGTAATCGGTCGAGCAAAGAAAGAGGATGTCCTGAAAGAATCTAAAAGGACGTGGTTTCTGATCGCGTTACTGCATTCCATTGTCAGCTTTTTTGGCCTGGCAGCGACGAGCTATGTCATCTTTTACTACATCAACCACCCGGGGATTGGCACTGTTGTTGAGATTCAGGTCATCATCGTGTCGCTCAAGTCGTACTCGTACGCGCTGACGAACCGCGATCTTCGTCGCGGCATGCTCGGCTCTCCATCGGCGGACTTTGATATCCCAGAGCTCTACCGGTCGTGTCCGTACCCTCGGAACATTACTCTTGGGAATCTAGCATATTTTCTGTTGGCACCAACGCTGGTATATCAGCCAGTCTATCCCCGAACGCCTCGAATCCGCTGGTCATTCGTGGGGAAGCGTTTATTCGAGTTTGTGTGTCTTTCGGTGGTTGTCTGGCTGCTGTCTGCACAATACGCTGCGCCCCTTCTGCGCAACGCGACCGAGAAGATTGCCACATTAGACTTTACATCTATCCTAGAGCGAGGGTTAAAGCTTTCCACTATTTCCCTCGTTATCTGGCTTGCCAGCTTCTATGCTCTTTTCCAGTCGCTGATGAATGGTCTGGCTGAGATTATGCGGTTTGGGGACCGCGAATTCTACACGGACTGGTGGAACAGCCCGAGCTTCGGAGTGTACTGGCGATCCTGGAATCGCCCTGTCTACACCTTCATGAAGCGGCATGTGTACATGCCGCTCGTCGCGCGAGGCTGGAGCCCAACGTTGGCTGGTACCGTGGTTTTCACGGTTTCCGCTGTACTGCACGAGGTCCTCGTGGGGGTTCCCACCCATAATATGATCGGTATGCTTCCATACCACATCTGGGACTTCTTCTAACGATGTCAGGTGTCGCGTCCTTGGCAATGATGTTCCAGCTTCCGTTGATTATTCTAACGGCTCCTTTCGAGAAGCTAAAGTCCCCTCTAGGCAAGGCGATTGGAAATTCGTTTTTCTGGGTGACGTTTTGCGTCCTTGGACAGCCCTTGGGAGCGCTTCTATATTTCTTCGCGTGGCAGGCGAAGTATGGCAGTGTCAGCAAGACACATCCGTAGTTGGTCAGGAGATGCGTTGGACGGGCCTTGCGTGGTGGAAATCAAGCTCGACATCTGTCGAATGTAATGGAAGGGTCCTGAGGACGAGTTACCTCTCCAGCTAATGTTGGTATTAATAAGCAATCAATCGTAATGTGTTTACTGTTTACGGAGTTTCTGAAGTATTCGACCGGCCCCCGGATAGTTGTATTTTTACCCCGGAACACGGCTGGCCCCAAGCTCCGGATAGATTATCTGGCCCGTCCTCCGAGCACCCTTAACTATATAAGCCTCCTTTGCACAAAATTCTCATCACGCCATATCTCAAAACGAACGCGAATTCCAAGCCTCTGAATCCTCATATTTAATTATTTGAACCAACCTGCAAACCTCATTCGCCAATTGCCCGCCATGGTCGAGATCTCCATCCCCGGTAACTACGGGTACGTCCGCGTCGGTGACACTGCACCGGACAGCTCTGGCTAGCCCAGTCTCACCCTGGCCCTGAAACCGCCTCATGCTAACTATATCACCTGTTTATCGCTATAGATACGCCATCGCCGTGTCACTCGGCGTGATCCCTGTCCTCGGCTTCATCCACGGCGTCCTCGTCGGTTCGTGCCGGAAGGCTGCTGGGGTGCCATACCCCCACGCCTACGCCAGCATTGAGCAATGCAAAGCCAACGTACGCGCCCAATAAGCATCTAGTAGACTCCCCACAAGAATACTAATTGATATTCGCGAACAGCCCAAAGCCCACCAATTCAATTGCGCCCAGCGCGCTCACGGCAACTTCCTCGAGAATGCGCCTCAGACGATGCTGTCGATCCTGGTCGCCGGCGTCAAGTATCCTCAGGCTGCGGCGGGCCTAGGCGCGGCCTGGGTTGTTTTTCGTACCCTCTACATGCTGGGCTATATCTACAGCGATAAGCCGAACGGAAATGGACGGTACAACGGTATGTTGTGCTGGTTCGCCCAAGCGGGCCTTTGGGGTCTGAGTGCCTTTGGCGTTGCCGGCGATTTGATGTAAATCGTTATGTATGAAACATGGAAATGAGGAGGAGAATTGGTTTCAGGTAGTGTATCATAGTTGACTACATAATTGAGCTCCAGAATGGATCTTGGTGGAGATTTGATAAGCGCATCTTATCGGGCCGGAGCAAAAATTCCACCGCGGCGGGGTGACTTTTTCTCTATACAGCCATCCCACTTGGGCTTCAATTTACCAATTCATCTCAATTCTGTCTTTCACGAACCGTCATTATGTCCTCGAAATCCCATCTGCCCTACGCCACTCGCGCGGCTAACCACCCAAACCCGCTCACCGCGAAACTCTTCTCCATCGCCGAGGAAAAGAAGACCAACGTCACCGTCTCCGCAGACGTAACTACATCCGCTGAGCTCCTCGACCTCGCTGACCGTACGCCCTCACTCACATCCAATCGTCTTCTCGACATCTAAATTTATTCCTCAGAGCCCAGTAACTGATTGATCTGGAAATAGGCCTCGGCCCCTACATCGCCGTCCTCAAAACGCACATCGACATCCTCGACGACCTCACCCCCTCAACTTTCTCCGACCTCCAAGCCCTCGCGCAAAAGCACAACTTCCTAATCTTCGAAGACCGCAAGTTCATCGACATCGGCAACACAGTCCAGAAGCAGTACCACGGCGGCGCCCTGCGCATCTCCGAATGGGCGCACATCATCAACTGCGCCATCCTCCCCGGTGAGGGAATCGTCGAGGCCCTCGCGCAGACAACCCAAGGGGCCGACTTCAAAGACGCAAACGAGCGCGGTCTTCTTATCCTCGCTGAGATGACGAGTAAGGGATCCCTGGCGACGGGCGAGTACACTGAGCGCTCGGTCGAGTACGCACGGAAGTACAAGGGATTTGTGATGGGTTTCGTGAGCACGAGGGCACTTAGCGAGGTGCAGGCTGAGAAGAAGGAAGACGGCGAGGACTTTGTGGTCTTCACGACTGGCGTCAATCTGTCGGATAAGGGAGACCAGCTTGGGCAGCAGTACCAGACGCCGGAGTCGGCTGTGGGACGGGGAGCGGACTTTATCATTGCGGGTAGGGGTATCTACAAAGCTGCTGATCCCGTTGAGGCGGCCAAGCGGTATCGTGATGAAGGATGGGCGGCTTACCAGAAGAGGGTTGGTCTGTGAGGTTGCCATTGAGATTGGAGGAGTTTGGTATAGTCCGGTTGGGAATAGAGGTTATGCATGAAATGAAGCCACCTAGGCTATGCATCTCGTATGCAGCAAACTTAGTGACACGGCTCAGAGCGCCTCGCATTGAAAGGACCAGGACCAGCGCCTGGATCGAAATGCTCTGCATGACGTAGCCCTAAGGAACATGCTGCCTCGCAGTTAGGGCTAGACAGGTCCGGCATGTACCTAGGTACATAATCCTTCCAATATACACGACCTTGTCACTGCCATATCTATCTACGCATCAGTCTAATAAAGCCCGTCGAGCTAGTCTAGTTAGGAGATAGAGCACAGATCCGTGGACCTCATCGTCCAGAATGCCAATCTAGCTCCGAGTTAGGGTTTGGCGACGAGCGTCTAACGCACCCAAAGTAGGGCACGTAACAAAGATTAGTACTTAATGCACTCTTGCACCTCAATAATCAAGCTGCCTGGCGGAGTAAATATCGTGTTTGTTGTACACCTGTGCCTGGATTAGGGCTGAGTTCCTGGCCAATCATTGACACAGTGGTTCTGGCTTTTTCGACACGAGAGTTCCGGAAGTTTAAACTACAAACTTAAAGTAATTACAGATTCGGCAGCAGAAGGAAGCAGCTGGAAGCCTTGCATTACCAATCTATGCGGGCCAACTCAGGTTGAGGAACCTTAATGGAGTTGGTCTCCGCGTCCCGGCCTTATCCTCTTCCTCTACCTCTACTTCCCTATTTCTCCTCCTCCCTCTTCTTCTCCTCTTCATCCTCCTCCTCTTTTATTCTCTTCCATCTCCTCACTCCTCTTTATCCTCTCATTACTCAGGTGGGAGGTAGGGAGGGGTAAGGCCTGGGTCTTATAGATGGCGTTGGCTTATAGATGGCGTTGGCTTTTAGACTGCGTTGCTTCTCTTGCTTGATACCCTTTGCTAACCTTTCTCGCAGGTACCTCCATGCTCTGGCGGGTGGCTGGGATGGGCATGGGCCGAAAGGGCCAAATCCCCTCTGCAACTCCGTTCCCTCCTTATCCTGCTGGTGCCGTCCCCCTCCAGCTACCTCTCCCTTCATATTCTTCGACCTCAACTCCATCATTCTCGCATCTTCTGCTGGTTCCGTCATCATCCAGCTTTCCTTATTTCTCACCACTTCCACCCTCTTCTCATCTTTCCGCTGGTTCCGACCTCCTCCGGCAAAACCTTGATCTATTCTTAGTCACCTGTTTGTAGAATCTTCTTGTTAAACTCTATCGCCATTACCAATCTGTGATTACCAATTCTTGCTCCATACCCTTCTCCTTCTCACTCTCTGCTTACCTCTTCTTATCTTCCTCTACCTACCTATCCCCTACCTCCATCTCCTCTACCTCCTCTACCTCCTCTACCTCCTCTACCTCCTCTACCTTCTCTACCTTCTCTACCTTCTCTACCTTCTCTACCTTCTCTACCTTCTCTACCTTCTCTACCTTCTCTACCTTCTCTACCTTCTCTA